CTGGTTCTGGTAGTGCTGCTAATGTCGCCGCAAACATGTTTAGAAGCTTTAAGAACCTTCGGTTCTTGCTTCTCGTTGAGATCGGCGGCGGCATTCCACGACCAGACCACGATATTCGGCTCGGTGACGTGGTCGTCGGTCGCACGATGATTCAACATGAACTTGGCAGGGAGGATTCTGGCGATGGGCTAGAGGATACCGGCGATCCATACATGCCGCCTCGGGACATCAGGACGACGCTTTCGGCAATCAAGGTTCGCGCAGAAATGGGGCAAAATGCTTTACATGGCCTTCATGACCAATTGGAGAAGCGCGGCCTGGTCAACAACGAGTACTTGGATGGAAACCGACTAGAGGACCATCTTTTCAAGGAAGATTATGACCATCTTGACGAGACGCAGGAGTGCGACAAATGCGATATTGCGCAACGCGTGCAGAGAACATCAAGGCAAAGTGCCGACCCGCAGATACACTATGGCATAATCGCGTCGGGACCCCAGGTCATCAAGAACGCCAAGGTCCGAGACGACATAGGGAATCGCCACCAAGCTCTCTGTGTGGAGACGGAGGCTACCGGCCTGATACACAAATTTCCATTCTTGGCCATCTGTGGCATCTGCACCTACGCGGATTCTCACAACAACGACCGCTGGCAGAAATATGCTGCCATGGCGGCAGCCACGTACGCAATCGATTTCCTTCGAAGCTGCCAGTCCGTTGAGAACTAACCGGAGCCTGCGTCTACAATGCATACACGGGCATTTCGTCGTGCACGCGTGTATAAGAAGGGTCCTTTACATAAGCGGCCGACTTGCTCTCCTCGGAGTTGCGAGCCGCCTGATAAAACATTTTTAGAATGCCTTGACTGTGGCAAATACGGAGCCCTCGCATCCTGCAGGCAACTTCTAGCCTCTACTTAGTAAAAAGCTAGCACGGCATAACACTTGGCAGTAGGCCGCAGTAGAAGTCGTGCCTCAGCTTCTGCTTTACTAGCAATATTACGGCCTCCTTTAAGTCTTCATCTTTTGTCTTCTGTGACAACGGTCCCCATGGTGACGAGGAGGCGAGGTTGGGAGCGGCCTTCGGTGCGCTCTGCCTTGCGGATAAGTCTAGTCAGCAGGAGGTTAGCTCTGTACCTGGCGAAGTAATTGGTGCGGACGACATCTGAGAAGAATGGATCCTGATGGTGATCAACTCGGGAAATAGTTTCTCATGTATCCCCTTGCACACCTCTCCGGCTTATTGCTCCTTTTGCGGCACCTCCTGGATGCAGGTCCAGCGTTTCGGGCTGTGGTCGACGAGCTGCTGCAGGCCGAGCGAGTTGACCAGTTCGAACTTGGGGCTGAAGTTCTCATCGCTCTCGTCGACCACGTCACGGCTGTGGCGGTGTATGAACTCGTACTGCTGCAAGAGCTGGTCGGCAGTCCTACTCTTCTGGCTGATCTTATGCTCGATGCCCATCAGTTGGAACGACAAGATGTGTTCGGGCTGGACGAGAAGCACGCCACCCTCGTCACTGCAGCGATTCCGAAGCTTCTGGAGGGCGCTGACCTCAGACTGACCGACCTTGATCGAACGAGAAGAGGGGAGATGGAACACTTGGCGGTCGACCAGGTCGCCGAGCTTCGAGACGAGTATGTGCACCATCTGCTCGCTCTGCGGCTTGGCTACGATCACCCGCATCAGCTTATCGCCGTCTGCGAGCGACGCGATGAGCATCGACATAATCACTGACGACTTGCCTCCGCCCATGTTCAGCTGCATGGCGGCGTTCTTGTCGTGGGCGGGTTTCTGCATGTGCGTGGCAATGTCAACCTGGTCTTCGCGGATGAGGATGGGCCCTTCAATCTCGAGAAGGAGCCATTCAGGGTGCTCGGCTGGCTCCCAATTGGCGTGGCCGTTGTTCTAAAGCTCCTTGGTCCGTGCCGCCTGACTCTTTCTTCCCGGGGTCCCGATGATGTCCTTGTCCGGTTGGAAGCTGCGCCTGTGGTCTCGCACAATCTGAAGGACGCTGCCGTGGTTGAACGTGCGGCTGCGGCTGGAGGCGAACTGTGTATACGAAGTCGGCAGGGGACCAAGCTCATCCTGCTCGAGCAAGTGAAGAACGTGCTTGGAACGTGCACGATTGTGCTGTCCGCCTTCTCGGCGCAAGAGAGCGAGACCAGCTAGGTCGTGAGCGTAAGCCACCTCTCTCGTTGGCAGCTGGCTGTGAACGCGATGCAGTTTGAGCCAGTCCCGCACGATGAAGCTCTTTGTTGCGTTCTTCCAAGGTAGGAACTATTTTGCGTTATAAGAAAGCTGATCGATGCGGAGATCTGCAGAGCCATGGGCAACTGATGGTTCCAGATGTGCGTTGGCAGATCCCTGACTACAGAAATATGCAAAGCGACCTGCGGGTATGGAGTGTGTTGGCTACGGCGTATGTCGCTGTTGCAGTGGGAGAACCACTGGCTACATCCCGGGCCTGGTAGACGACATCTTGTTCAGTGCTGTGATCTTCGGTACCGAAAGTCGAGACGTGGAATTGGGCAATAAGAATCTTGTGACGCTAAAGGAGTGTACTTTCGATGCCGGAAGAGGGATTATGGATCTAGTATCCGGATGGCTTTCGTGGAAAAGTTTGTTCTCAGCGGCTTGGTCGGGCAACACCTTGACCTGCCCGACGAAGCTATTGTGCTGAGCCAGGACTCCAATCTGGTCGTCACAGTGCATCGTCTGCATCACACGCAGCTGCTTGGGGATGAACTTCCCGCTTTGGAGTCAAGGCAGCAATCTTCGTGAGTATTGAGCTGGATACTTTCGTGAATCCATTGGCCGACCTGACAGCGGCGGATCGCAGAATGCGCAGCGCCTCCTCTATGCCTGTCCACGAGGTGAGCTCGTCAGGCATGCAGAAAGCCGTCAAGGCATGAGGGAGACACAGAAATAGCTTGCTCACTAGGTCTCCGCCGTCTACAAGACACCCGAGAAGTGTGTCAACTCGATATGCGGAGAGACAGGGTTTTGTGCTCTCGATTATGTGCACAGACACGTGTCCTGGAGTTCTTTCGACTTGCGGATTGCCGTTTGGTACCATAACGATCCGCTCAGGTGGCGAAGACGTGCTCGTCAGCACGAGCTTGTTGAACAGACCAACAAGGGTGCCGATCTCTTGGTTCTCATCAATAGCCATGCCACGAAAGTCTCTCCACCGCATAGCAGTGTCTCCCGCTTTGAGATAGAACCGAGAACGGAGAATGAGCAGCTCAATGTCGAGCCGCTTGTGGTCGGGCGATGATAAGCAGGGGACGAGGGCCTTCTCGAGGGTACCCAGGATCCCAGCCAGAGTCTTTGGAGTAGCCGTGCGAAGGCTAATGACGGTCGTGTTATCCTGTTGAAGCTGCCATTGATTAACAGCAGCCTCGCGCACGAGAGTCCACAGCTGTTCGGGAACATCCCAAGGCTTTTCCAGCGGACGCAAGCTCACAGTCTGGGTTGTCTTGTCGTGAAAGTGAGCATAGTCCGCAACGAAGGCTCCGAATACGAGCCACTGAGGAGCCTACTGGGCACATAATAGAACACGTGGCTGTCCTTTGTCGCTCGCACGTAGAGCTCACTCGAGCAAAGAGCCAACTGCATATCATGCCCAGCAAACGGAACGTTTGTGGGAAGCCGTGTGAGCTCTTTGGCATCACCTCAACGATGGACCTGCCACACAGAGTCTTGTAGGTCGGGTGGCTCTCGTATTCTAACAGAAGTCAGTTTAGTGGCAGGCAGTTGACGAGAAGTTCTCCCGTGAACAGATTGAAGCGCACGACAGGGGCGTACGCCTCGTACGCCTCGCCCACAAGCCACTCTGGATATTGACTCGATACGGGTACACAGCTCTGTTATTTGCTGTGACCTGACCAGGAGCTGTGGATGGCTTCGTCAAGGGCGGGACTGCCGTCCGTGATGGACTACGTGAGGAATCGGAACGCGTAGTGGCTGATCCGCTTCTATTGCTAAAGAAGGTTATCATTGGAACCAGAGCCGCCCTCACTGTGGATGCCCTCGCGTGGAATCATGGAGGACTGCAGTAATTGAGACGCAGCGACATGAAACTGAAGTGCGGTTGAAATGTGACCATGATCCATATCGAGGGACAGCATGCTAATGAGGGCGCATCTCGCGGCGGGGAGTCGGAAGTCGTTCCGGATCTCGACATTGGTGCTGGCTCGAGCCCTGTCCATGAGCGCAATGACCGATTTGAGGGCCGTGCTCCTTGCCGGTGCCAAATCCTCCTGGCATTGACGCATGGTGAGGGGATCTGTGGTCAACTACAGAACACGAGTGGCACTGAGGATGAATGTCTGGAGAGCTTGGACGAGCTGCCACGATGCCGCGACCCGGGAGGTGGCAGTTATCACACCACCCATCAACTCTTGCGAGAAAGCCGGGTTGGCGATGGCATGGGATTCCCGTGAGATGTCATTTGTCTTCGGGGGGCCGGCCTGGTTGATACATTGCGCGTGAAAGACGAACGTTGACAGCTGGTTGAAAACAACTGACGGTGCGTGCAGCTGCCGAAGGATACTCCGCCACTGCAGCTTGAAGCCCAGAGGCAGCACACAAAGCTCCCCGAACCCAGCCCGTGTCATTTCTTGTGGACAGTTCTGTTGGGAGGCAATGATGGCGTTTGGCGGTGGCCTATCGGGATATGACAGAGTCTTTGGAGCGCAACTTCACCATAAACTGCCGCGGGTTGCCTCGGTCAACATGGCAGAACCGGCCAAGACGCCCGCGGACGAGCTGAAGTATTCTCACTAGAGGCATGGCCGACAAGGACTTGCAAATCGCTTGTGATGAGGTCAATCTTAAATGTCTCGTAGCGCGATTCGAGGAACGATTTTGCCTGAGAGATTGTCGTGATCCTCTGGCTCTGCGGAGCTGAGCAGTAATGCCTGAGTTCCTCGTAGTTGAACAGCTCATGCTTCTCTTGCACCTCAGCCTTGTTCACATACGCCTTAAAGAGGAGGAATACTGTAGCGTCTCTCCAAGCCGGGAACCACTCTGAGGGTGCTAGCTCGAAGACGACACCCTGCGCGGCCAGGATTCCCTTCGGAAGCGGTCACTCGTGCACTGCGGTTTCTAATGCTTGATACTCTTGCACCTTCTTGCACCCCTTGCAGCCCCAAGCGTGCTCGGTAGTCTGGTAGGCCCTCCACCTATTGAAACTATCACGGTGGGTGCAGTTCATGAAATCGGCCTGAGCTTTGAGGTTGGCGTGCCTGCTCTACAGATATGCGAGCTCGACCCTTTTCCTCTGGCGAGCATCCTGCGTCTCACTTTCAATGAGAGTATGCAACTTCTGTTGCTCTTGAGGTGAGTTGTAGTATCTAACGTAGAGAGCGTTTCGCTTATAGAAGATATCGAAGACAGAAGGCATGGCCGCCTTCGAATTGCCAGAGAGTAGGTCGAGGTATGATTCGATCCGCTTGAGCCTCTCGAGCTGAGACTTGTGCGGTGATATCAGGCTCTCAAGTAGGGTATGGATTAAGCTAGGCTGCACACTGGCCTCATGGCACTCGCCAAGCGTGTGACAGATATCGACTGCTAACTTGTTACGAGCAATCCACAGCTCGAGCCAGGTCAGAAGCATAAGCGAGGTGGAGTCTGGATTGTTGTAATAAGTTCCTTGAGCTGCTCCATGATACTCGTAAGCACGCTGCAGACTTCCTCGCAGGTGGGCGGACTCGAAATGTTACGCCGTAGCCAATCATCCAGGGAAGACTCGACCCAGCGCTCGAAGCCCGCTAGATTGAAGTGGTGGTAGGCGTTATTACCTGTGTGGATACGAGGTAGCTTCTCAGAGTCAATTAAATTTAGGCTAAACTTTGGCGCGAAAGCGGCCACTGGCTCCCGTAGATCGAGCTGAGTGACTGTCTCGAGGTATCCAAAACCGGTAGCCAGGCAAAGGCGTCTTTGCGGAAGTCGAGAGTTGTGAGTGGAGCGTAGTCCGGACTGCGAGCATCGTTCTTGCATGTGACCTTCCACCGGCACTCCAAGACAAGATTTGTATCTCTGACGACACCGCTGCCATAATCCTGAAGCCAACTGTTGACGTTGCCACCTAGCTTGGGCACGTCGGCTGGCTTCTGTGCGGCGATGACGAACGCAATGAACTCTTTCTATACAGGAGCTCTGGAATTTTCGGTACTCGAGTCAAGTGCCATTTCCAGTCTTAACAGAGTCTATTAAAGACCAACGCGAAAGAGGAGCCACGTATCTGATCGAAACCAGGGATCTTTGGTGGACAACTACATGGCTTCCTCGCGGATCTTCGTATTGATGGCCTGCACCTCGATCGCTAAGCCGAGGGTGAGCAAGATAGAAGAGAGGTATTCAGTCACGATGAGGGGATTGGTTGAGTTGCGGACCTCGGCTATCTTTGTGTCTGCCTTTTTAGCCTTAGGCTGCAAACACGACGCGTCCTGTTCGCTCGTTTTGCTGATTGTGAGGACCACGGTTCCTACGACGTCGACGTGCAAAAGAACATAGACAGGAACGACGATGGCCTGGCCGGGAAACGTTCGGATCAATCTGCCTTTGGTGTCCACGATGGGTTCGTTGGAAGGAGTGAGTCGAACATCTCGAAGTGAACATCGTCAGCGACACAATTTATGAGCATGACAGCATTCTGCGAAGTGACCCGGAGGAGCATACAGCCATCTTAAAGGAGACAAGAGGTTCTTCAGTCAGTTACCAAATATGGCAGTGCAGGTATTATGCTCCGTACCTTTCGTGCACAGGTTTTGGAGCCTTGTTGCAAGCATCTCGGGTTGGATGGATACCTGGCTGTCGGCGATGGCGTGCAGCTCGGAGAAGGTGAGCAGCACATTGGCAGCCGTCTTCGTAACAGACTGATGAAAACCTCCTGAGTGGTGCTCAAAATCTTGCAGAGCTTGGGTGACAAATCCCACGAGACTCCGGACACATGTCTGAGAATAATCGTGCTTTTGAGGCAGCCGCGGCGGCAGAAAAGGTGATTGATGGCGTAGAGGATGCTCTCGCGAGTCTGCCCATCCCGCGCAGGCGCCATAGCGAAAGCCCAGTCCCAGCCAGGGCGAATACGCAATGAGAGAGATTCTGCGCGGCAGCGAGGGGTTCGAAATAGCGAGCTGACAAGGTCTGCAATATCACCTCTCTCAGATTAGGGAGAGGGGTGAAGGGGGAAGGGGAAAGGGGGGAGGGCAAAGTCGGATCGAGACGGGTGGGAGAGAGTCATGTAGGTTGCAAAGATAAGGAAAGCAGCCTAACAGAGCAACTCGGTGCACATCTTTCAGCGGCATGGCAAAGAGCCTTGCGGCTGGCTTGGGTTGCAATCAAGCTGAGCTTCCTTGTTGCTGTGGTTATATTAGGACACTACCCAGAGGAGCCAGGCACATGTGGAGTGAAAAGCACTGTTCTTTTTCCCTATCTTGTGGTCTCGTGGATTTTTCTTCAATGGAAGACTTTCCAACACTTTGTTTAATCTGTTTCATATACCGCGCGCAGCGCTGCCCTCGTCGCTGAAGTAAGCAGGCCTGCATGGCTGTGCTTCAGCGACTGCGGAGCAATGTGCCGCGGGATACTGTCATGCTGTGGCCGCAGCATCTAGCGTGCATTCACTTTGCTTCCCATAAAAGCTCAACCAGTAACATTCATGTGATTCACCGTAATGGACAAGCTCCAGATGTGAGTTATGAGACGAGCCCGGCTACCGGCATCGTGAACTCGGTCACTGGCCGCAAGGCGTAGCTCTTACAATTTCTGCTGATCCTGAGGACGACGGTGAAGTGCAGAGGTGGGTTACTGAATATGTGGCGTGCAACCTTTTGCTGCAGCGACTCGCACAGAAGGCCATCACGACCTCGTCTATCGTATCCTCGGCCGGCGCCGTCGCTGTCTTCATTCTGGACGCTCGTGTCGCTACTATCGAGTTGCCGGATAATATCCTCAAGTCCAGCTCACTGGACATCGTTGAATCGGATCTGGAACCTATCCGTAGTCTCGTCTCGGCCAAGCCGCAAAGGCCGGACGCAGTAATAGAGGTAGCGCGCCCAGTAGAGCTGATACCGGTCCTTCGTGTCCTGGCCGTTATTCGTCCAGGACGGGCCAGAGGTCTCGCGATCGGGGTCTACACTAGCCAGGTACTGGAGTACCTCTGTTGGCACCTGGACCTGTCCGTTCAATTCCTCGTACGACAAGCTTGTCAAAACTGCCCCGAATCGGAGGAGGCGCTCTTACTCGGAGGCCTAGACCTCTTCGTCGCCGTGAGAACGTTGCGACCTGCTTGGAAGTGCTCGCCAAAGACGCTGCTCGCTAAGTGCCTTGCCCAGCCCATCTCGCAGACCCACGTCGACTCGAAGTCGACTCCTTGCCGGCTGTCTACCGTCCGGCGTGTCTCCTTTAGCTCGGTAGCTACCTTCTCTTGGTGTCTAGCAACGCCCTCGAGTAATACGTGCTGTTAGGAGGCCTCAGTAGTTGTGCTTGAGCCTGCCGCGTTTTCGTTTCTCGACGACCCAGAACCGGGCATGGCTGCCTTGCTAAAGGATCTGGAGCCGTACCCCGCTCCAACCACTGTTACCACCACGGCCGCTAGTCTTGGTCGTGTCCTGCTAGCGAGCAAGGGACCCTGATCCGCTTGAGGCTCATTGTCAGGAAGCAGCAGTCCAAGCAGCCAAAGCCGCCTACGACCAGTGACTGCTTTATATGTGGCGATTCGTCGGCTGGTACTGGTACCGGGTACAGTCGAGAACCTGGCGTAGTGCCTCGACCTTGCCACGGCGCGCCCGCCAGAAGCGTAGTCGTATATCATTGTCCAGCCGCAACACTGTCTTGCACGAGACGCGGAGGAGACGCGATACTCCAGGCTGGTACTGCTGGCGTCAGCCGCCGCATGCAAGCTCAAACACTCCGGCCGATGTCCCAGTGCGACCACGATCGGCCTCACAGCGGATCGCCATCGCTAGATTGTCCTTTCGGTTGCAACAGAACTATCAGATCGGAAGAGTAAGATGGTGCATAAATCAGGTGTGTCTGTGTTCTGCTCTACGTCTAATCACTAGCAACTACGACGGCTTTCCACTCCGCAGGTTTGCGAGTCCCGTCCATCCCAGGTTGCCTTCGACCCTTACTATGAGGACAGCCGAGCGTAAAGTCAGGAGCCTGCCGTTACAGCAGAGAGTCCTCAGCTTGAGGAGCCCTTCTGGGAAACGGTTTTACCTCAGATACGCAGGTAGCAGTACACGGCTACACCACGCTAGGTCTTCAGGCTTGGCAGGATAACCTTTGAAAGCCTCTTCATGACCATCGAGGTGATAAGTTTGCTTGAGCATCTTGTTGTTGTGTTAATGCTGCTCTCGGGCATCTGGTGCAGGCGTCACGGAAGTCTGTGGATGTGACCAGTCGATCCAGCTTGCGTGAAAGCTGGGGATCTAGCGCTTCCGGAGCTGAATATTGCACTCGATGAATGTGGTGAGTGCTAGCAAGGCGAGCGAGTCGATCTGAGAGCTCCTGCTGCCATAGTGTGTGGTATTGAGGACTACGGTGAGCGTTGACTTGGCCATGTTAGCTGTCATCTGTTCAGCTTTTGGCGAGGGCATTACATTTACTTTATTCTTGTACGTGGCGCCAGCGTGGCGTTGTAGCCGATGAGCTTGTGAGTGCCGAGGCGATGAATGCAGTCACGTTTGAAGACGATTGCGCCTTGGTCCACCTGGTCCTCCACTATGGTGTCGCGGCGCTGCTAGAGAGAAAGCGATGTCTCCCGCAACATAGCACAGGGCTAGCATGGCGGACGTCGATGGGACGCGCGAATGTGGGCCTTCATTGCTAGACTTCGGTTAGGTGATCACGAATCTCGCGATACGATCTACTCTTTAACCGCAGAGTTTTTGATACCACTGGCAGAGTGGAATCAAGGCGATTGATGATATTTGTTGAATTTGCTGGACGATCTTGTAAACCTCAATAGCAGTCTGCGTGGTGCCCAATGATTGCTTGTGCCACAATATCTAGAGGTTCGCAGTTAGCCCTGTATCAGATAACGGAAACTGATTTGTCAATCAACCTCACCACTTTCTGCGTAACGGCACATCTCGAACACGCTACTAAGTTCCAGTCATGACCTTGTATCAGTAGTGCGAGCAGGTATGCAGGTTTTTGCATCCCAGGCGAGGAAGCCAGTGCACAGAGCTCGTCAATTTTGAGCCACTGCGCACTGAGCCAAGTGAGAAGCTGCAGCTTGGCGGCATCGGCGCCATCGCCTGTGCGCTTGACCTCAACAGACAAGACAATAGGCTTATCACGAAGTCCCGGATAGCTGGTATGATTCAGACTCAGTTCCGGAGATGCGGAAGCTAACATAAACCTCTTAAGCTGCTCATAACGCGATGACTCCGCTGGAGTCTCGCTGTCTCTGTGCTTGTCCTGTGGACGGTATGCAATGGCGAAGTCCACCTTTTTAAAGGGCGTCCCAGGCTTGCGGCACTGAGGGACGATGGAGGCTGTTGAACACGGGACAACGAGAAGGTCCGCCAGCTCGTCCGCGGTCGGACTTGTTGTATCCATCCACCTGCCTGGTTGGATGGCCGAGACTGCCTTGTATAGGAGCGGGTAATAGACCATGGATGCCCATGCTTGCTCGTCGAACATGCCCTCGCTGCACTCCCGCGCCTGGCGGACAATGTGATCGACAAAGTCTGGCTGTGGCGTCGGGCCGATGGCGCTTCGTTCTGAGCCGTAAAGCGCTGGGTCGCGCCACTGCCGGGTGGCTCGTGTGCCTTCGTAGTGTGCCTGGATGTCGTTGCGCGCTGAGGGACTCACCAACGGTGACTTCGCTTGAAGGGCAAGGATGAGATCCGCAAGGGCGTCAGGCAGTCGCTCATCTTCAACATCGATGTCGCAGACCTCTGCACCGCCCAGCTCTGCAGGGATGATGCGCAGCTGGGCGAGCTGTTTGCTCGGAGAGCTCGAGGCAGACGACTCGGATCGAGCGGACATCGAGGAGGCACGACTATGATTGATGGCGAGTCGGTGAGAGCGTGTCGGGCGCGGAGTCGCTTCTTCGGGTGTGTCGTTTGATGGTCGGGGTCTCTTGGACGGAGACGAGCCCCGCGACGTGGGCTGCGACGTGGGCGGCGACATGAGGCCGAGGGGGCGCTTCGATGATGAAAGTTGTTGTCCCGGTTGTCGTTGTGACCCACTGCTGCGGTTCAGGTCTTGATGTGGAAGACTTTTAAGCCACTGCTCAATGTCGGACTCAAGTTCATCCATGGCCGTCGCGGGCTATCCTCTCGCGCACTCGCCGTCACTGTTGTCGAAAGGACGACAATGGAAGTCGTGGCGACTGACGACAAGCGACAGCTGAAGTACGCTAATATTGCAGGTGGGTCTCTACCGTTGGCAGGGCAACCACAGCTTGCCGGTGTTATCGGGTGGGGCCTGTCGGAGATATCATAGCGGAGTCCATCCACAGCAGATCTCTGTGTACTTACAAAAGTCCTCAAGCGCGAGAAGGCTACAGTACTATTATCGGACAGCTCGACAGCCCAGAAAGTCATACTGTGTGTAGCAGCCTGGCCGATCGAGGCATGTTCCGCCCAAGATGTTGCAGTATAATGAGCGGCTGGATGTCGACTTATGTCTTCTCCAGGACCAAGCTGGTCCGGAAGTTCATGTTACGGCTCGCGGATGCTGCAACGAAGTCTTTGTCGGGCTGACCCTCCGCCAGTAGGTGAATTCATTAGGTGCCAATCCCAAAGCTTAGCGCGTACAGGGGGCGACCATTTTGTGAGTGCTAATCCCGCACAAGATCGTCTGATTGTTTCGCGGTTGTCAGTAAAACTATGCTCGCTGAGGCCCATGTAATCGAGACACTTGTGGTGCAGGAAAGGGTTCATTTTGTCGAGACGGCTGGTCAGAAGGCCGCCGTGACCAATATGACAATCCCGCATCCACTTCTCCCGCACCCAAGACGCGCCAAAAAATGCCAAAACAAAGCACGTTCAAACAACAATGATTCTGCCAAACATGTGTATAAACTCAAGATACCCTAATGAAATCATTGCCCTTCTGCAGCAGAACTTCAATTTCAATTGTAAAGAGTTTTAGAGCTAATGAGTTTTTGAAGGTACATGCTGGCTTAACTGATGTGATTTAGTGCTTTCCCAGGAAGGTTCTAATATTTCAACAAAGATAAAAAAAAAGCATTTCTTCTGAATCTCGAAAAGGTGAAGAATAGAAGCTACCTATTATTTGAAAGCTGTGTAGATAGGTAAACTCTCGTCGAAGAAACCCACAGAGGTACTTTCGTGCACGAACGCGCAAAGCCCGTATAAAGGAGGCTTTGCGACTGTCAGGTCGACTCCAAAAACACTGCGTCGCGTTGCCGCTTCGACCCAAATCTGGGATCTTGGCACGTGGGGATCCAGAACAAGTTAGTGGCTGGGCTAGATGCTGTAAAGTTTGGCTAGTATGATACTGCGGTTTCACAGAATTATATGTGTGTCGGCACAGACTTAATGGACTGTAATTTGCTTATAGCTCTACGCCATGGATATATGACCGGTGATAAACTGATGTGAGTCGATTTGGCCTTGGCTATATTTCGCGCATGGGACACAGTCTGGCTTATATTTAGCCCTGCACGGTACCGGCGACTATCGTGCGGGACTATGCTGTTGAGCAGGTGGTCAAGACGGCAGACTGGAAACACCACGTGTTCTGGGGGAATAGCCTGCACACGTGAAAAGGAGGAACAAGGACCAGGAACGTTCTACAGACACAATGAGTGACGTCGCATGACCATGGCCTTGTCACTCATGCTCTGAATATGTGCCAGCGCGCATTGAATTCGAGAATGCTGGCAGCCATCAGTGCATGGTTGACCCTGAGAAATTGAACAGCCAAACGACTATCACTCGAACCGCTAAGGACTGAAGGCATTATCCTTCGAGTGCGGCTGGTCTCCGGCACTTTGGGACAGCACGATCCTCGCTTTCGTTGCGGCGGCAACCTTGTCTCGCCACGATGAATCCAGCCTCCCCCAGAACAAATTCCTCAGCGAAGGCAGATACTGCGCGTCATTGATGCAGTACAGCGCCATTTGCGTATCCAGGGTTTGCTTGTTGAAAACCTCGTACGAGTCTCCTTGCTTAGGATCGAACGCCTCGGAACCAACGTCCTTGATGAGCCTCGACTGCATCTTCTGCGCCGAAGGACGAGATGCAAACATGTCAATGCACTTCTGTAGTCCTGAGACGAAGCGCCGGCGACCGGGCGGCCTATACCGAAGTGGCTGTAGACCGCGTCCGAGTCATTGCGAACGTCGCAGAAGATCTGGTCCACAAGCATAGCCGAATACTCATTTTCGCTTCCCTTCGGTCTGTGCGCCACACAGTGATCTATCCAGCACATTACTCGATGATCCCTCGGAGTACTCTCAAGGAAAGGTCGCCCCCATAAAGCCTGAATGCTAACGTAAAATATCACTTGGTCTCGAAGTCGGTAAAGCTCTGCGGCATGCCTAAAACATGGCCAACTACAGTACTTTCCATGACCAACCATGCAATATACATCTCTTCTAGGCAGCGTCTTGTAAACTCAATGAGCCCCGGACGAACGGAGACCCGGTAGACTGCTCCCCGCTCCTGCCCCGGGACTCTCATCTCCTCTCATTACGCCTCACTATCTGAGGTTTCGAGAACGGGGAATGAGGAAAGAAGACGAGCAGTACATTCCACGTGTCACCTCTGTCTTGCGGACAAGCAAAAAAGACCCCTCAGTCGCCTTCCTCCTGGAAGGTCGGTTTTGTATTACACTAATCCAGTCAATCATTTGCTCATCTCACTGATAAGAATTCATACCATCAAACCAATAGTCAGTGATCTCTGGACCGCCCAAACCAACTATTATCCCCCGTAATATTCTTGCCCCCAGTTAGCGCTTTCAACCCGGACTCAACACTCACTGATGCACTATCGAGTGAGGAAGGATACCAAGTACTGCCCGTCAAATAGGTAAGTTCGCGGCTCAGAGATCGCTGGCCTCCAGGATTTCTGCCGGGAGGAATGTAGGGGCGGAACATTTCCGAGTGTGCTTATCAGCAATGTAATCACAGTGTGCAGTGGGATTTTCCCATCTGAGAAGTTGGGAATGCCCTCGTCGCCGGTGCTCTGCAATGTTGACTGGGGCGAACCCTGCCCAAGGTCAAGATGTTGAGCGGCCAGAGCTAGCAACAACGATACTTGTTTATGGATATTGGACGCAAATTAAGGTTGGAAAGGCATACACCGTTTCTCGCATTAGCCAGAATTTGACTATGATACAGCACCACGTTCCTAAACACGACCATGGTCAAATGACAAGCTTTATTCGATGACCAAATTCACAGTCAAAGACTGTACTTCAATCATAAATACCGCAGCGTGCCCTTTGAAAGTCGAGTATGGCCGGCATCTTTTCTCTCTCCTCTGCCACTCCCTGGGTAAACAGGGCTGCGCTACCTAGTACCAGTCCCAGACCTACGAAAATAGGAAAGATAGGGAGAATGCCATTCATCATGTTCATTACAATGTTTCTCGCGAGCAGTGCGGTCAATGTCCTTGCTCTTGTGCCGTCGCCAACGCCGCAAGGTAATGCTTGCCCAGCATCCTATTGCTCTGTGGAGTCGCAGTTCCATCCCATCATGCTCCAGGGGATAACATGTGACGACTGGACAATGGGCGGCAACGTTCCTGATTGGGCTGCACAACAATCCGGGTGGTTTCCTGTGATCAACACGACTAGCATAGAGATGCTTGCGCGCTACGCATCCAACCGGCCGCAGTCGCCGCAGTGGGATAAAGGACATGACCTGATCGACGCGCTGGATAGAGTGGAGCGCCTTAGTAAGGACTCGTTGTTATCCTGGAATGGTATCCTCTATGCAGCGCTGACGGAATTCTGGCGTACTTACCGGATACCGCTGGCTGTGCGTGTTGGTGAACTTGTGGAAAATCGGAGAGACTCGCTACTGACCTCGTCTGAGGCTCTAGAGATGAGCGAATACTTGTATTTCCAGGGAATGGGCTCATCCTATGTTCCCTGGATGAATGGGACGGACCACAAAGTACGTGGTCTAGCGACACGCGTTAATTGTAGTGGCCTGCGCGAAGGAGGCCCATACAAGGGATTGCTGCATTCCGCTGCCGTGTTTCATATGCTAGACACGCATTGTACGCACGATCAGTGGCTTCTCGGCAGCATATTGCACAACATCAATACAATTAAGTGGATCGCTTATGCGATGAAATGGTCTTACATAGAGCAAAAGGCGGACCTAATGAAAGAACGCTTATACGTTATCGGGCGGGAAAGAGACGCGGAAATCAGTTCGTCACGGTTACCAATACAAACCACGACCGTGTCAAGAAGCTCCCCAGTGGCTTGGATGTAAGGAGCTACAGTACAGTACTGCAAAAAGAATTGTAAACAGAAAGGCCAAACCCAGTGCTTTTGCAAGATACTTTACCTGGATGCTTACGGGAGAAGCGCAATTACGTACGCAGTGATGAACGATCACGAAGAGTGCCTAAAAGTTCTATTAGAACTTCCTGGTAGCTTACAGGCACTGCGCGCAAGGGATTATGTTGACAGCCGCCCCGTTGATTACACATGCGAGGGCCGAAAAGACATTCGAATCCTTCTAAACGCAACTAAGTTAGCCCTTGAGACAAAAGGCTCTAGAATCCAGTATAAAAAGCGGCGTTGGTGAATACCGGGCAGTTGACTTTAATGTACTGTATAACGTAATCCACAAGTGAGTGAGCCACCTTCCAGGCACCCGTACGACAATGTGTAAGATAATTCAACCATAACGCCCTAAATCAATTGAAACTATGAGGAATCCTCTTCTTCAGAGGCAGATATAACTTTCTGACACGTACGAGTATTATAGCCGGGCTCGCCGTAGACGCTATATCGTCGCGCGTGCGTTTCTGGCCTCCTCGTACGACTAGTATTCTAACTCGTTTCCGCCCTTAACTGCTCCGTCGCGTCGATTTGAGCCTTCAAATCTTTTGCCTGATTAATCGTTAGGGGCTCTCCTTTCTATAGTTGTTTCCTTTTCGTACGACGACGGCGGCCAAGGCGGTCGTTTGTATCTCGAAGTTCGGCGAGGTTATGGCGTATAAGGGTCTACTCGTGTACTATCATTGTGATTCCTTTATTAAGCTACCGTAGGCTCTCAATAATAGATAACGGAGAGCTATTCTGGTGTTATATGATGCGATTTTTGATGTACTCTATCTACGATTCGGCCTCAATTGGGTCATTCGGCGTCGTTGAAACCTAAGGAGGTGGTGGTCTAGTAGAGGAACCTAGCGGTGTTAGCATATGAAACGTTACATCTAGCTACGAAATCATATAATTTGGGTCGTACGGCACTAGGCTAGTTGCTCTAAAGCCTACCTGGATGTTTAACTTTATTATCGTAGCGTCGTACGCCTTATAAAAGGCTGGGAGGAAGTCCTCCTTTGAGATATAGGTAATATACGCCCGTATGAGACCCTTGATTTCTTTACTGTACGCCCGTTTAAGAGGGCTAAAGTACCTAATATCGAGAGGCTGGGGCTTATGTGACGAATGAGTAGGCATATAGAGCGTTATAATGTTCTATTCCTTGTAGTAGAGCTCGAAATCGACGGAATGGTAGCTCTCGTGGCCGTCGAGGATAAGGAGGCGGTGGGTACCCTTCGTACGACTCTTCGTATGGAAATCGAAGTGTTTTACCCATTCTAGACCTCTCTCGTTCGTTGTCCAGCCGTTTTCTGAAAGCGCGATTACCCAGTCGGGCGGTAGAGGGCTACTTGCGGTCTAGGAGTCGAGGTGGACCTTCCCTACGAAGATGATATATGGTGGGATTAAATAGCCGTACGACGCGATACCCTAGATTACTGTAACCCATTCCTGATTACCTTATTATACGGCTCTTGGCCTCCCGCGTTGATCGGAGGTCGTAACGATAGTTTCGGCGGAGATCTTACCTATCGCGAAGCCCGTTTCGTTAAAGTTATAGATGTTATTATCGTAGATCCCGTATTTCGCGATTATATTTCGTACGAGCTTAAACCACGCGCGATACGCGTGCGGATCCTCGTAGAGGACTCTCTAGTAGTCGATTCTTCGATTAAAACGCGTACGGAGCTTAGATCGTCGTCGTACGAAGTTCGTAGCCAAGTTCGTTCCGACGTGTGGCGCGTCGCGTTCGCGGAGGAGTCGATCCGCCATTTCTCGAATACCACTTAACCGCGGTGGAAACGATCGCGAATCTAGGTCGATTATATATCGAATAACGCTATCCTCTTCGTACGAGGTTAAATTTTGGTAGGGTAGTTGAGTATCGCCTCTCGTAGGTCGGCCGCTTCGTCGTTGTTGAAGTATCGCACGGGATATATTATACAATAATGCAGCTTGTCGTATACTTAATTCTGGGTCCGACCGAAGCGCATTAAGTACCAGAATCAAATCGCTTTCAATTAATTGCAGTCCCATAATTATTGGTGGAGAAAAAGGAGAAAGAGGGTGGCCTGTACGGAAATGACAGAAAGTGGCTCACTCACTTGTGTGGCTCACTCACTTGTGGATTACGTTAGTTAGTTGATCTCCATAAGCTCGGCTTTTTCTGTGCCAGGACTGGTAAGCTCTAGTGCCACAAGTATCGCTCCACGCGAACACTAGCATACGTGGCGACTGGTATGTCCGTTGTGGCGGCCTTGATTTATGGGCTCGATATATTCGGGCTAGACATGATGAACAAAAAAGCCTTCATTTATACTCTGGTGGCAAAGATAGGCTGCCTTCTATCTGGAACCGCGCTTTATGCAGTGTGTCTCCCATTTTGCCCATACAGGAGAAAAATTGATCCTAAGACACCTGATTCGAAAGATGAGGTTTCCCGAGAGTTGGTGGCCTGGAGGATTCGGCATGTGCAGCTCCCACTTATTCATGCACATCCTGGTGGTCTGCGCCGCTGTTATCCAGATGATAGGGTATCTGGAAGCCTTCGACTATGCTTACTTAAATATTACCTGCTTGGCCTCTTGAGTTACTACCTTTGTAGAACCTCTCATCACCGGGACGAGCGGAGACCTTCCAACTTAGGTAGCACTGTTGGAGATTCTGGCAGCAAGGTGCTTTCGGGAGTGGGCGAGAGCGCCAGCAAGCCGACAGCAGCACAAGCAATGCGGGTTGAGTGGGTACTCAGGGTCGGCCTGCTAGAAGCGGCGGATATCAGAAAGGCAAAACTCAATTACTACACCAAAGCCGTGCACCAACTAAGACAAATGTAAGTATCGTGACACCAGATTCCTGCTACGATTCCGACTGCTACGGCGAGGCATCCATCTATCACCACGTGCAGGTCCTTCGTCTCATCCACACTCTGCCACGGATCCTTTACAGTCTCTCCTGCCCTCGTTAACCCCTCTCCAGCCCAGTTCGCTTTTGGCCTTCCAAGCGTAAGTGCTCACGGAGCTCGTGGTGTCGGAGATTCTTTGTGTCTTTCTTGACTTTCTCGAAAGTTGGAACATAAGCAGACTGGAGATACTCTTCAATCTGTCCATACGTCTGGCATAGACCCTCGACCAGTTTTTATCTAACCATCCCTCAATCACGTCACGATCTAAGTTAGGCAAGGCCTTCATAGCTCAATAGGCAAGGCAATACTTACGTGGTTTCAAAGTCCATTCATTACAGTGCTCAGAATTGCGCAATCAGGATTATGATAAAAGTTTATAATATCTACCGTCAAGATGACAGATCTACCTACTATGTACTGTCTTGTTCCACCCCATAATTGAGTCAACTTCCAGGTGTCCACATGCTCCACATATGCAGGGTCGACCGTGCACACCTCGACGTCCCTCTCATTCCCACGTAGGACATGTTATGTCCTACAGAAGGCCTGTGTACGTAGCAGATCCATCTTATTCCAGTCCCTTTTCCCAGCTTATTTGAGTCCACTCTTTACCCCAAATTGCCCGATTCTTCCCCAGGTACGACCCATCGACAGTCCAGAATGCCGGTACTACGAAGCCAACCTACAGTACTACGATGCGGAATCAATTGTGAACCAGATCAGATACGAGACCGGAAGGCGATAGTTGCCCAGATCAAGTCTTCACGTCCCTATTACTCTGGAATATCATGTTCTGATCTGCCGCAGACCCGAGTGCCGACACTCTATCTCATCACATGGAGCCCAAATGACTGCACACCTCCGGAAACAACCAGTGTTACGATCCGGACCCCGGCGTAAAACGTCTGGCCGAGCGCTTGGGTTTCTGTACTGCAGAATTTCATTAAAACCGTTGCAATACTGACTCTGAACTCTTTGTGTTTCTTGGGTGTCTCCCGGAGAGATACCACTTCTGAACAACCGAATGACTATGTCATCTGTGCAAGAGAAATAGAACGCGGACTGATCGTTGAAGTAGAAGGGTAGAGACTGCCAATCAAGGACGTCCCATCAAGCTATATTTGCATTCCTCCTTTGATCCTGTGAGCCTTCTTGGGATGTGTTATCGTGAGCTGGATCATGGATATGTTTAAATCCACATATCCGTGACAAAACCGGGTTCTTCTGCCTTTATGTAAACATCCTTCACGCAGCGTGGGCAAGCCTCGCTGTTCATTGTCAGCTCGGCATAACCATAAATAGCCCTCAGGTCCCATGCTTCTACTGAGGCGTCAAGGCGAATCTGAACCACCCAGCATCCCCGACAGTTCGGTCGGATAATCGGCGCTTATTACTTCTCTCTTCTAGCTTCATCCCATTACTACAATACCCTTATTCAAGAGATCTCATCCTACTGTTCGAACATCAAATGCACGGGGCCCTCAAGATGATCCCAGCTGAACTTCTCGCTACTTCATGTTCGAACTTCTTCCTAATCATGGGACCTGGTGGCCCCGCATACGGGGCACCTGCCTTCGAAGAAACTTCGTCGGCCTTAGCAAGGATTGTGTCCCATAAGAACTGCGTTTTCGCAGCTGTAGGAGATGGCGTCAGCCGGTTACACCAATACTCAATTACAGATTCTTTGAGCACATTCCTTCAAAGTATTGACGGCTCATTCTGTGTCATCGTCCGAGGTCACGGAGACGACCGCTATGGCCAGTTCCATTTCAAGCTCGACGAGAACGACTGGTTGCCTTGTTCTGCGCTCTTGGGTCTTCTCACACATTTTTCATCGAAGACGGCTTTCTCAATCATCTTCACCTGCTGCTCGAGCAACGCAGCGACACGACTCATTCCTCGGGAAGTGCCCCATGGTACAGTGATTATTGGCTTTTCAGAGACGGCAAGTATAGAGACGGACGTCGGTCGGTGGATTGCGCTTCTTCAGCGACGTCCAGCTGTAGACTCTTCACCACTCGGACTATTGTTGATGTACTTGCTCGGTGCCGTGCGAAATCGATTTAGCCCCGCAGTCGTTGTTGTTGGGGCAAAGAGGGTTCTGTTGAATGATCTTCTGCTTCGCAAAATAGGGCAACGGGTTAGTCCGGATGCCGTTTCAAGGGCTCGAGAGGTCGAGTTAGGCGACGTTCAGGGAGTTGCCGACAAGCTGCTGTCTGCTAAGCACGAGTATTCGATCAACGCCGTGGATTACGGCACGGCGCTAGCGCTCGTCTATATAGATAAACTGTTGAGGCAGTCTCGTCGGCAGATGGTGGGTGACGAGTGCAAAAGGAGAAATAGGAAGCAGTAGGGTAGAGGTGCTTTGAGATTCAGTGGTGAGATACTGTACTGGGTGGAGTAGGGGAAATGAAACAGAGCAGGGTCTGACTCAGGAGGGCAGTATTTCATAAAGCTGATTTTCGCGATGCTATTCATAGAGAGGCACATACCACAGAAGACACAGCAAATTTCGAGCAGCTTTTTGCTATAACGTAATCCACGGGCGAACGGGTTACCTTTCTGGGGTTCGTACAACAATATATAAGTGGATTCAACCACAACGCCTCAAATTAATTCAAACTAAGAAGAACCCTACTTACTGTCTTATTCCACCCCGTATTTGAGTCAACTTCCAGTGGCCCACATGCCCCACATCTGTAGTGTCAACTGTGCACACCTCGACGTCCTTCTCATTCCCACATGTCATATCCTACGAAAGGTCTGTGCACGTAGTAGATCCGTCACATTCTAGCTCCTTTTCTAAGTAGACTTGAGTCCACTCTGAACCCCAAATTTGCCCCAATTCTTCCCCAGATACGACCCACCGACAGTCCAGAATGCCGGTGCTACGAGGACGACCTACAGTACGACGATGCAGAGCCGATTGCGAATCAGACCAGCTACGAGGCCGGAAGACGATAGTAGTCCCGACCAGGTCTTCACGTACCTGGAGCTCTACGCCGATCCAGATTACCACATCCTCATCTGCCATCGAATCAAGTGCCGACACGCTATCGTATATCGACACTAGTACTCGTGCAACCTCCAGTCGGTTCAAATCCTCTCTTGAGACTGTATCATGTGGAAATTATTCCAGTGCTCAAGCACGAACCCTACTCTGGCTTTATTATGTGATGTTTCCTCCGACAGTACTTCGAAGGACAACCCAACCTCGTCGAGTACATCACAGAACAGCTTGTGAGCCAACAGCCATTCTTCCTTGTCCCGGGGCATCAACCGTACCCGGTCACTCTTGAGCCAGTCAATTTTTGGCTCGCATAATATGATCAGTGAGGCTTGCATGCGTTTGTGCATTTGACGACACTCCGGTAGCTCCAATAAGCCCCGACTTTTCTGCAATCCAACGTACTGCCTGGCGTAGACCACTGGATCGATGGCTGAACGATCCGAAATGAAACCGGGGAGACAGGTGGCATTAGCAGCCGGAGTATCGGAAGTAACCGTTTCGTATTCGGCCCGGGCTTGTGCTTCGATGATCAGCTTTTGCAACTATGTGGGCTGAGGTGATTCTGTAATGTCTTTTGCCGAATAGCCCTGCTTGTCTAGTACTTTGCGCGCAACTTCTCTAATGAGCCTCGGGGATGCGGAAGTGGAAAGGGATTCGCGCTGGTTCGTAAAGTGACGCTCAAGGGCCTGCACGAGGGTTGTTTTTCCAGAGCTTTGTGCGCCGATGATGTAAAGCAGAAGCAACCATGGCCCAGCATGAGAACCGGCTTGCGCTGAACGACAGCCAGAGAAATGCGGTGCTTACCTCCCTAGTACACCCTCTCATGCTGATATGGGGACCCCCGAGTACAGGCAAGACACAAACGACTATTGCAATCATACTTGGCTTGCTGAGTGGATTCCCGAAAGAGCGTATCCTCGTCACAGCACCCACTCACAACGCTGTGGATAATGTAATGAGTCGCTATCTCCGCCTCCAAGGACGAGACGGACCAGTTGCCGTCCGAGTCTCAACCGAAGTGAGTACTATAGTGTTTGATGCGATTCTCTCCTTGCGTCTTTGTCAAAGGCTTGTTGGCTGTGACTGACATCAGCCTTGCGAGCCTAGGTGCGCAAAGTGGCTGAAGAGCTGAGGCCGTACACACTGGACGGCATGATGGGCACAGAGATATACGACTCACACGTGACTATGCGCGAAGCCAAGAGACGAATGAAAGCCTGCCGTGTTGCCTTTTCGACTTGCATCGGCGCAGGGATAGGCTTGCTACGATCTGAGGATTTCGGCATCGTTACTGTCGATGAAGCATCCCAGCAGACGGAGCCGGCTTCTCTAGTACCACTGACCAAGGGCTGCAAGCGAGCTATCCTAGTAGGCGACCATGTGCAGCTTCGCCCGACGGTGCAACCAGTCACGCTGCCCTTGGGGTACGATGTGTCGCTGTTCGAACGTCTTTACACCTTGTGCAACAACTCGCAAACAAGCGGCGATAGCTTGGCAGGTGTCCAGACGTCGATGCTCAATACACAGTACCGTATGCACAAGTCAATCTGCGACTTAAGCTCGGAAGAGTTCTACCAAGGGAAACTCAGAACAGGCGTGGCAGCCAACCAGCGGGTTCTGGCCGTTTCTGCTTTTCCTTGGCCCCAGAACTCTGCTTCTGGAGAGCTTGTGCGGACAGTCTTTATCGAATGTGATGGTCACGAAGACATTGGCCAGAAATCCAAACGAAACCAGGCCCAGGCAGAACTGTGCCAGCGCGTGTGTCAGTTACTCACAGACGGCTCTTCATCTGATCAATTTCACGAGGATAACCAGCAATCCATTGTCATATTGACGCCCTACACGGCGCAAAAGGCTCTGCTTACCACAAAAGCGATATCAGGGGTGTCAGGGAATATCGAAGTGTCCAGTATTGACGGCTATCAGGGTCGTGAGGCGGATGTTGTCGTTTTCGTCACGGTGCGGTGCAACGAGCAAGGAGAGATCGGGTTTCTCAACGATCTGAGGAGACTAAATGTTGCACTAACATGGGCGAGGCGCGGAATCATTATCCTGGGTTCTCACAAAACACTTACGGCTCCAGCCATCGTTCTCGCGCACGATGCGAAAGCGCAGCCAACGGCTGCTTCAGCCACATGGAAAAGACTGTTGGCGCGTTTTACAGAGGTGGTACTCTGAGTTTGTGGAAGCAGACGACAGCTGTACTGTGTTGTGGTGCTTACCGATTGAGATGCAGTCCCCATGGGCGTCGCAGATCAAGCCGCAGGATATGTTTCAGGCGGGGAGAAAGGAGGTCTGAGCTGCGTGCTTGGTGTGCCCTGTTACCATAACATTGTTATTTGCGATGGAGTGCGGAGGTGTAGAGGCTGCCGCGAGGACGTATAGGAAGCAGCTTCTAGTTGCGACACACTGGTAGTCGCTGATCCAGGCTGATGATGTCTGCCAGAGTCTTGTACAGAGCAGTGCGCTCTGGCAGGCGCGGGTGGAGGCAGAAGCTGCATGATGAGAGGAAGGAGGTGATGACAGGGTTAGGCGCAGAAAGTCACGATTAGGGAAGGAGACCAGAGGTACGATACCTGTGATGTCGTCCGTCGCTCCCTTCGTCACGACCGAACTATGTGAAGCGCTCACGTCATCGCGAACAGGCCGATGTAGTATACCGCCTTACCTATGCGCGAAACCGCCCCGCGCCACCAGCGGCCGGTCGCCCCCTGAAGCCTCTTCCGCCCGTATCCGAGCGTCTACTGGCCGACTCGGGCAGTCACCTCAGCCGCCATGGCCCGGAGCTCCCAGCTTCTGCACCACCGAGTGTACCGCGGACATAGGGTGTGCAATTAGCAGCTCAAGATATCCCTGACGTGACGTACAGCTCGTTGTTGCAGGCCCTGCTGCGGACTCCATCGTGCCAGCCTGCCGATGTGCCGCACGAGAAGCAGCAGGTGTTACGCTCGGACGCTATGGTCCTTCTGTTGGTGATCGGGTTGGTACTCGCATGTGTGGAGCAGGCGTTCTCGTACAGCTCCTGGTGGATCTTCCTGGGGTAGTGACCACTAGGTTACTGGCGAGGGAAATGGCCGTCCAGAGCCTCTGGACAGACTAGCGGGTCAGAACGGGTAAGTCGACGTCGAAGCAGTCGGGTGTGAGTTAGTGTTTATTGGGCGCGAGGAAGACGGTGATATAGCCGCGCAGGTAGCAGTTCTGGTCATTATCGTTCGTCGACGCAGAGGGTCCTACCGCCCAACGACGAGAAATCTCCTCTGCTTCTGATATGTCTATTCTCCATGCACACTCTTCTTGACTCTCGCATATCCCATCTCCTGTTTCTGTCCCGTCTGTCAAGGGTGCGCGGACAAGAGCATCAGACTGAGTGGATCTGCGGGCTTGAGTAAATACCCAAGCACCCCACCAAAGAAGGTTGCAACGGGCTGACACTTCTCGAGATGCAGGTACGCAAATCAAGCTGCAGAGATCTGATGTCGATCATGTAGTATCATTACGGACATTAGGAACAGCACAACTCGGCCTCTTTTGTAAAAGCAATACCCCTCATTGATTCATGGGACGAGTTGTGCGTGCGACTTCCGCTGGCATGATAATACACGCTAAGGAGCCATTCCCGACTTTCCGTTTAAGTGTTTTGAAAATGAAAATACAAGTAGTAATCCATAGTCATCTTGAAGCTGACGCCATCCGTCTTCGCTTCTGGTGTACATCTTCGATGACTCAACTTTTGGACGGTATTCAGTTGAGCTAGGCGGGTGAACTGTACTGTGAGATCCACACTTGCCCCGGCTGCGAAAGCCATGCAAGTGGGATCTGATTGGCTGCACTGTGCCGACGATACTGGACTATGCTATGGGAACTCAAAGTTCTCGATTGATTTGTAGACGTCGCCGACAACGCAATCACTTCGAGAATGCTTTTCTTAACTTCTGAACGCAGCAGCAGTGACAGCGGCAGTAGCTTCAGATCGCGGCAGCACATATTGCCGGGAACCCTGAAGCACCACCATCTGAGGCGTTCGGGGGATGTCGAAGTGGGGTTCCCCGCATTATTGGGTACTGATGACGCTTGTGCTGGCAGGGCAACCAACCACATGCAATTTCTAGGTCAGCCCACTGGAAAGACAAAATCAACATTTCCGATCATTCATCAACCCCCAAACATCACCCTCGACTCTTGCCTTGCCTAAACGCCTACAGAGATTGCGACAGCGCATTGCGTAATGTACGCAAGCCGAGCTGCTATCCAACGCTGGCTCCCCGGACGGCGCGGCGCCACCGACAATAACGGCAACACGAATACACCACCGAACACAGCTGCAGTGTCTCATGGGCGCAAGCGCAGGACCAGGCATAGGCATTCCTCATATCCGTCACCCGATCCGTCCTCCGACATGCCAGCCAGCAAGCGCCGCGCAGAGGATCACGATCGCGATGACCTTTCTAACAACGACGACTACCGCGATGCTGTAGACGAGTGCGAGCCCGAGGCACAGACGCCTAGAGGGCCGACGCGCAAGTCGGCGGTCATGACGACAGCGTTTATCAGCGACACATCTTCCACTACGACACGAACAACCGATTCACGAGCCTCGTCCCTGTCGAAACGAGCCCGCAATACACAGCAGCTGCTGACGAGCGCCTCGATCGCGTTTGCGTCATTGTCCGCCGCTGAGCCGGCTCCTCCACCGCGACTTAGCAAGCTGGTGGACCAGCTTAAGAATCTCGACGCCGACAGACACTTTGTGTGGCCTCAAGTGCGGGCCGCGGTCGAAGAGCGGGCGCAGTCCGATCAGCGGTTCAAGCAATTGGCGAGGTCCATCTGGTATGCTCCCGGGATCGAAGGCCAAGACGATGAGTTGCAGCCGGTACGAGGTCCGCCCCCGAGCGTCGAGATGCTGGGCGACATCCTGGATGACTCGGCCGACTGTGCCGCTTGGATGGACCCCGAGCCGTCCTGGAATGACGCGGTGCACTGGCAAATGCTGCGTCAGGCTGTCGTCAAGGACCCGCAATTTAGAGCAACTCTCCGGGTTTCGAACTGTACGACAGCCACCATCCGTGCGGCCTTCTCCCACCAGTCGGCAGCAGGACTGGCGACAGCAAGCGTAGGCATCCTGGGCACAGCGAACGCCAAGCTAGGCGCCGTGGCAGCGAGCACCAACACCAGCACCAGCACGTCTAAGAAGGTCGATTACTGCGTGACGATCCTCGATCGGGGGGACGCGCGCATCGCCCAGCTGGTCAAGGCAGGCGTGCTGCTTAACCATACTGCATTCGAGCCGTACACCAAGACGCCCATCGGACTGTCCATCGAGACCAAGGCCCGCAAGGCGGACGAGGACGAGGCCCTGGCGCAGATTGGCGTATGGATCTCGGCGCAGTACCAGTGCCTGCAGGACCTCATACAGAGGAGCATGCCCTCACTGGAGCAGGCGCAGGCCGCGTGGCGGACTGCGCTGAAGGAACTCGAGTTCCTGCCGGGCGTCGTGGTGCTCAAGCACCTGTGGTTCTTTGTGGCGGCCACAAGGCCGGCGCCCGAGAGGCCCGACACCCTCGTGTGGCATCGGGTGTACATGGGCAGCACGGAGACGCCAGAGGGCGTGTGCTAGGTCATCGTTTGCCTGAGGATACTGCTGTTGTGGGTGAGGGATGTCTACTGGCCGTGGTTTGAGAGATGGGTGTTGTATGAGGCACAGGCTGGATCTATGTAGGCGATGTATAAGAAGTAGCAGCGAATGATACCCATTGTGATTACAAGCACCAACACCTGACCTGTGCCTGGAGAACGAAAGGACCGCTGCTAAATATCGCGCAAAACCGGAAGACGCCAGCCCGGCAGCCCTGCGCATTTTCCACTGGCAGAGCACCTCAAAATCGCGTGCCCTCGCAACCGACATATCGAATGTATCTTGATCCGTGCTTTCTGGGCTGTCGCGCGGCCAGGACGACAAAGACGACTTTGCTGGCTTCGTGAAATTTCGCTCGTATCAATCATGAAGGTCCTTGGTCATGGTATGCACCCGCGAGAGAGTTACTGATGTCTCTGGTACGGACACTGCTTCTCAGTTTCCTAGTGTTTCCTTGGCGGCGGTTCTGTAGTGCCACTGACTTTGTGCTTACGCCGATGACAAGGTTGATATTGTTGTGTACAGCATGAGTTCGTCGCGGTGTGTCTGTAGCCTTCCCATTTCCGTGGTCCACTCAATCTTCTTCCAGTTTCTCGTAAAGGACTAGTCGCATCGTAAGCGGCGTCGCACTTCCGAGGTGCTGACCCTTCACACGCCACGCATTACTTCACGGCTGTATGTTCGTGGTGCCGTCTCAGGATGGTGCCTGCAGGCAGGCGGACACCGCGTTTCTTCCCCTGCAGCCCTGCGCTCGCCTCTCATTAGCACGACCTTCTCCGCCCCTGACAGCTCCCACTTTCAGCACATTTCATCTCACCACATACGAGGCAATCCGCCGTAGAAGACGACTTCTAAAAGTGTGTTCTTCGGACCTTTTCCGGCAGTCGTTCTAGAGATGGTAGACAGCTCACGTCCGGGACCTCCCCACCGCCAACTGTGCCTGTCAGCAGCCCGACCGAGCTAAACAGCACCCCTGATCGAATCCACCATTCTCCGTCACGCCTCCCGCCACGTCATACGGCTTTGCTGTATTCTCAATCCTAGGGCCACTCATTCTCATGGGGCTCATTGTCCTGGCCTTCTGTTATTTTTTGGTTAGTAACTGGGTCATAGCGGTGGCGTATAGAAGGGAACGACTCCAGCATATCCGCGAGGAGAGGACGACCTAGGAGGTGTTCATGGAGTGGCGAGTTGCCCGGGTCGCCTCGGAGATCCCCCAAAGGTCGTTCAGGAGAAGGCCTATCGCATAGAGTGCCGGGGCAACGATACCAAACCACGCCCACTCGGTGTGATGCTAAAGGGTCCGGCCATGCTGAATTATACAACGTATTGATTAATGAGCAGGCATGGCGTATCCAAAGACTTAAAACGTCGCCTCCACCGGGCCGATGCGGGTGTTATTACCCCTAGTCCTAGTTTCTAGATCAGTAGTGACTGAGGTACTGCTAACTAGCCTATACAGTGGACAGACAAGCAGGCTGTGGAAGACATTCAACGCCAACTCCAGGGCCATGGGTTCCCGAAGCCCATGGATGTGGACGCCACCTGCGAACCTCAACGCCCAGCACAGAAGCGCCTCGTTGATGCGTTGACTGCGCCGGTAGACGACACTCTCGAAGGCTACTATCAACGCCGGGACAACCTCATCGACGCTATTGTTGCTTACTGCAGCGTGGTGGAAGGCCGAACCGTACGCAGAACCAATAGCTCGGCAGTGAGCAAGCCAGCAACCAGCCCTGATTCCCGCCCCTCAGAAGAGAGCCCGCTAGAAGTTGCCATGTTGTCTGTATTCATCAAGCACGAGAAGGAGCGGCCGAGGCGGTGCTTTTTGTGCATCGGCGCTGCACTCTCTCTCGAGGCGAATGTCCCTCGCTTGAAAGAGCTCACTCATGAATTTTACACGCCTGGTGACCTATCCAAGCATTTTCGTCGAAGGCATCTCAATCAGTTGTCTACTGATGCTAAGCTGCGATGTGAGGCGTGTGACTTGGATTTGGAGTGCGAGATGCATTTAAAGAGCCATGCCTTGAAGGTTTACGGCACGGTTCCCTAGATTTGGAATAGACTAGAATGAAAGGAGTTGCTATTCGAATGCTACGGTATCCGGTCAACGGGTCCGTCAGTGAGCAGCAATGTCTAGGCGGCTCTCATCTTGTCTCTGCGTTGTCGTCGTAACACCAGGGACATGGTGTACAAAGCAGATAGTGCCCTATTAGCCTACTGGCCACCAGGCGTAATAAATTTGTGTGTGTGTGTGTGTGTGTGTGTGTGTGTGTATGTGTGAAAGACCGGCTGGACCGCTGAGAGCATGACACATAGCCTTAGGCTAGTAACAAGCCACTCACGCAATCGCGTGTTGCCCCTAAGGATGAGGCTGATAGGACAAAGTCATGGAGGTGCTGCAGCGGATACACGATCTCCTCGGCCAACGAGGCCCGTCATGGGATGCGGACTCATAGTGCCGCCCCCTCTAGCATACCTGAACGTAGATGCGAGCTCCAAACTTGCTGCTTATGTTGTCAAATCGTGTGTCGTCTCCTTTGCATGAATGCTGTGATTCTCCTTGGCACAATTACGTTTCTTTGGAACTAGATTGGTATGGTTACAGTGGTGAGGCAGAGGGGAGTTAGGAATAACGCCTAGGATCGGGCCGGGCCCTTTCTTGAAAGTGGATATGCGTCAGGCCTGGACCTTTTTTGAAGCTCCACCGCTCTGACTCCGGCCGCGGTATCTCCCCCGACACCTGGAGACCTGAGCCACATTGGCGACGAAAACAGCTGCGTGGAGGAGCACGCCGACGGCCGAAAAGTCTTCCTGGATGAGGAGGACTTCCACTGGCGAGCGAGATCCAGCCATGGCGGCAGGTCTAGACCGCCGGATGAACATCCCGACGGCCGGGAAGTCTTCTTGACCGACGAGGACTTGCAGTGGTTGGGCAGCCTTGGTGCCCGTGGACAGCGAGCCAGGTTTGAGCACCACACTGGCGTGATACTGAATGAGCAAGACCTGCTGGGGTTGGAGAGCCTGGGCGACCTCAGCCGACAGCACCTCGCATTCGGCGATCACCCGGACGGCCGTTGAGTCTTTCTCGACGACGACCCCCAGCCGCCAGGGCCCTGGGACCATCCAGACGGCCGTGAAATCTTCCTTGACGGGGACGATCTGTCCTTGCTAGGCCCTTCGACGGGCCATAGCCGATTGATCGCCAGAGCAAACCCTAGCGGCGACAAACCCGCGAGCAACAAGACGTGGGAGAACAAGAGACGCCGCGACTAGCGAGGACGGCGACTGTCCCTCCAACGGAGCGAACTGAGCCAACGTATATTAAGGGGCGAAATGACTTCCCGAGCGAGTGAGCGGCAGGGCTAACTGCCTTGCAGACGTTTTCAGTATGGACATAAGCGTGTTTTTATTCGGTCTGGACAGCAGAGCTTCTTGCGGTGCACGGCGGGGTGGTTCGGCGCGTGCATTCAATCCACACAGTTGTGTGGCGCCGTGAAGGTTTTTCGCCAGCACCCTCGAACCACAAACAGACCACGAGGTCAACGACCACCGCACCTCCACGCTGCTTCCAAAGCCAAAAGGCTGTGCGAGGAATACTGGTGTTAGAAAACCACTCGACTTGACATTGGCTGACGTCGATGGAGAGACAGGACACGACACCTTCCGATCCATCCGGCGGGAGGCGGACGAGGCGAGCAATTTGGGAGCATCGGCGCATCTCCCGGCAAGAGTGCGGAACAAGCCTATGTGCTGTCGACTGCAATGGAAGCTGCTAAGACCGGAGGATCGACTGCAGTGTCAGCAGACCTGTTAAACTTCGTGCACAAGACAAGTGACCGCACCGCTCCCTAGGACGCAGCGCGCCACGATTGAGCATTATCGGGAAGATATGTCTATTCTGCGTCTCTGGTCCGCAAGACGTGGTCGGCTGCGTTTCGGAGACGATTCGTGGTAACGGGAAGCTGGTCCTGGGGTTGCGCCTGGGGTTACCGGTGGGCCGGAGCGCCGTGGTTGTGGCCAGAAGCCAACGGGAGAGGGGCGGTCCAGCTCGTACCTGGGCCATCATTCAGACGTGGTATCGCGGGATCGTGGGATATGCTCCGAGTCATTTCTGGGCCGTCATGTACCATGGCACCGCCCGCGTATCCTGTATTCCCTAGCTCATACCTAGGCCGTCTCGCGTTGACGTGGTATCGCCGGCGCGGTGGCCGCTGCATTTGAGACCTGCGGAGACGACATGGTGGCTCGAGAGGACGGTGCGCATGTCGATCGGCCTAGCTGTTCGTATACTTTGCATCCAGTGTCCCCGCTTTGCACCTTGGCTCTATCGGCTTCTTCTACGCGGGAGAGGTCGACCGTACAGAAGAGAGTGTGCGAGACGTTCGAGGGGGTCCCAACGAGGACGGGGTTTGGGGGTCTGGGGGCTCGTTGGTTGGGTCGTCGGGGGGCGTACGTGCAATATCTGCGTATGCCGCCTGTGGGCTTGTCTAGGGAGAGGACGTGAGGGCCGGGCTCTTCATGATTGCGTCGAGTTGCTCTCGGACTCGCCTTAGCTCCGTACCCATGAGGGACTTGCTGTCTTCGAGCTGCCTTTGGGTGTCGTCGAACTGCTGTCGGGTACTCTCGAATAGTTGACGCGTTTCGTTCAGCTGTCTCCTGGTTTCTTCGTGCTGCCGCTGGGCTTCTTCAAGTTGTTGACACGTCTCGTCGCGGTGCCGCTGGAAAGCGTGTGACGCTGCCCAGGGAGCAGCTTCTGATTGCCCCAAATTTGGGGGTCACGTGCGAAGAATGGTCCGTGCACTGGTCTCCCCGAGGTGCTTCAACCTCCATGAGGATGTATCTCATGATGTTCCTCCATGGTTTGAGTACTTAAAGGCCATCTGCCCCCTCTCTCCTGGCTCTCTGACCTTCTCCATTTCACATCTCTCGACCCTGACCGTCCAATAGCGAAATTGCCGCATCTCCCCTCCCCTCATCTCCGCCAACATCGTCCATGCGGCCGCCCCAATCCCTGACGTCGCCATGCTTGCTCTCGGCCACTGGCCGTCCAATCCCAGCCCCAGGCCTTGGAGACGGCTATGATCGCCCGTGGTCCTCCTTCGCGACATGGGCCGGCTCTCTGGCCTGCCCGTGTGAGACTGAGTGGCCCTTATTCGCTACTTTGCGAGGGGATCCTCATGCGGATAGACGTCAACTCATCAAGGCCACCCGGCCCAGGCGGTCTGAGCGTGGCGGATGCAGCATGGCACACGCGTGCGGCGGCTCAGCAAATCTATTGGCTTGGCGGCCACTTCGCGGACATCAAACCTGGTTGGAAATGGAAAGGACCGCGCTCCAGGCTGAACCAACGGCCCGTTATCTCGTCAGCCAGGCCACTTCGGGGACCTTTCCTGCTCCTCATCGAACCCTCTATTGGACGACGGAGGTCACCGAGGGAGTGATGCCATGTCATGGGCAGGATGCGGCAGTTCGTATCCTCGCGAGGTGGAAAAGGGGGGCGGGGGCCAGGCGCCAACGATGCGCATCCCAGTCTGCCCGTCCGCCAAGCGGAGGCCAGCGGGCAAGCGGGCAAATGGAACAGGTCATGCGAGCCTGGGAACAAGGCCTGATGGCCGCTCCGGCGACCTTCCTTCCTCCTCATCATACCCGCCATTGGATGGAGGTCACCGGGGGAGTGCCGCCATGTCATGGACATGATGCGGTGATTCGTATCCTCGCGAAGTGGAAAAAGGGGCCAGGCACGCCAACCATGAGCATCCCGGTCCGCCCGTCCGCTAAGCGGAGGCTACCAGGCAATCAGGCAAGCGAAACCGCAATCACGCAAGCATGAGGAAGATAGCCTCACGGCCATTTCGGGGACCTGCTTGTCGAGAAGTGGAAAAAGAGCATAAGCGTCGCTACTCAGAGCATCATGAGAGATCGGGGGTCGTCTATATAAAGACACAAGCACCACGAAGAGCAAGAGCACTGCCTCGGAATCCTGCATTCACAACCCATCGGGATCACTCCGCGTTCCATCTTATTACACCCATTACCTTCCACCATGACAGCTACTCCCTCACCTCACCAAAACGACCATGTCGCCACCACGCAGGTGCAGGATGCCACGGATAAGCACATAAGCTCGCGATGCCCCAGTAATGCTAGCAACGACACAATCGATCATTCCGCCGCACGTCATCCTCGTGTTATTGAGCTTGAGGGTGAATGGCTCCGCAACCACGATCCTATCTCTATCCTCTCAGATAAGACATCTCTTCTTGAATCCATGAAGCAGCAATGCCTGGTGCAGAGGACTGCCGCAACATCCCATGCACATGAGCTCTTGAACTGCCACATGTCCAAAGGCGTTAAAGACAGCATTGCCAAACAACAGTTCATGGACGCCTCCAAGCTGTACGGAATCATCTACTCGCTACAGGGAATCCCCCTTTTTCTCTGTGACCGGGATGGGCCCCTTGGCATGCTTGACATCAAGGCCATGAGAGAGGAGGTCACACTCCAAGTCAGCGAGCTGCTTGAAATGGCGGATCAGCATCATCGGCGGGCAACGGCACGGGTTCAAGAAACGGATGATGCCAATGGGAACGCCGCAAGGCCAACCAAACGACAACGGTCGGTCTAGTCAGACTGGACAACCTTACTTATTGGAGGCAGCTCAGACTCTGCCTTGCCCCGGTTCCTCTGGATTCTTGTTTCCGACCAACAGGCGCAAGGGTGGGGGCGGCGCTGTCATGAGGCCCGTCTATAAAAGACAGGTCATCCCCTCCAAACATCACACTCTGACCATCGTTCTCTTTCATTACGCTTTCTTCGCCAGTCTTCACTCCAGCATCAGCATGGCCTTCGACCGACCAGCACTCAGCCGCAAACGCCACTGGCAGGCCAGTGGCACCGACCACCTACCCCGCCACCGCCAGAAACGGGTCTTCCCCCGCCGCGAGGTTATCGACATTAGTAGCGATGAGGGCGAGCTCGGACGAGTTCCCCAGTGTCAGACACCGGCCCCTTCCCACATACCGACCCCTTCCCACGTACCGACCCCTTCCCACACACCGACTTCTTCCTACGAGGTCATCGACATCAGCAGCGATGAGGGCGAGCTCGGACGAGTTCCCCAGCGTCAGACACCGGCCCCTTCCCACACTCCGACCCCTCCCTACGGGACAGGGATCCAGCGGCATCAGCCGGACGTCAATCCCGCTGATGTCTTCGCTTCTGGCAGGGGCGGGGCAACGCGGTGGCGTCTTGAGCGTCGCCAACGACGGTCTCCCCCCCCTGCCAGAGATGATGACCGACAGTGATCCAGCAACTCGACATCAGTCAGAGGCCGTTGCAAATACGCCCTCGCCTATGTCTCCTCCCCGCTCCCCGGCACGACAGCTTCAAGGAGAAAGATGGGTGGTAGTAGCAGGCGCAGGGATGAGTACACCAGCAGGCTTTCCAGTTAGTAGCTTCTCCCTCGTGAACTCCTTAAAGCTAATAGGTCTAGGACTTCCTATCTCGTAAGGACCTTCGGCGGAACTTCGACGCCGCTATGTTACGCTCCCCAGACGCGGTCCGCGAGTACCTGGCTGAAGTTGTGTCCTTCCAGGCCAAGTCGAGCATCGCCTTACCTACGTTGGCTCACAAGTTCATCGCTCAACTCAGTTCGACTGGCCAGCTGGTGAGGGCGTACAGCCAGAATATCGACGGGCTGGAAGAGAAGGCTGGACTCGCCTGCGGTTTTGATGCTTCTGCCGTCTGCATCCAGCTGCATGGCTCCATCCATTCTTTACGATGCTCTCTCTGCCTGTATCGGCCTTCGCTTGGTACGGTCGCCCCCGGAAGCGAATACCTCCGTTGCGAAGACAGGGCGAGGAAAAGGGAGGACGCAGGGAAACGGAAATGCTCGAGCGGCGCCCTCCTTCCTGATATTCGACTCTACAACGAAGTCCATCCAGAGGGTGATTCAATTGCGGAGGCAGTACGCTATGATCTTGAACAGCAGCCGGACGTTCTGTTGATTATGGGGACAAGCCTGAGTGTGCCGGGAGTCAGGGAGCTGGTCAGGGTCATGGGAAGTGCCGTTCGTGCCAGCGGCGGGAGAACGGTGCTTGTCAACAGGAAGCCCCCTCCAATCGCGTTCCAAGGTTTGATTGATGAGTGGGTGGCTATGGATTGCGATGAGTGGGTGAAGGGCCAGCTGTGTTGAGTCTAGTGATGTAATGAGGGGCCTTCCAGAGACACGATGTACGTACGCTCGCTTTTTGCAATAGGAGATGTTCTGACACGACGTGCTGTCAGATAAGTCCTGTTTCCGGAACCGTCAGTGGCCGGATCCGGAAGGCCATGAACTGCCGGATCCGGGTTGACTCAAAGATGAGGTCTATATAAGGATAACCAGAACCCAACCTTGTAGCAGAGAAGATCAAGAAGAAGAATCTCTTTTCTCGTGATATTTCATCACCCTTCCCAAGACGTCGATATTAGCCCTGATAAGGGCCCGTACGTCTGACACGTGCGAGCTGCAAGTTCACAACAGTGGCTGATGTCAGAAGCCCAGGCTGTCAGCCACCCTGGTAGGTGGCTAGGTTTCCTCCGAAGAGGTCACGTGCTTGGTCATCTGATTGCCTGACAGAAAATGTACCCACCTGCTCAAGTTCCCGGAGCCCAAGGCACCACGCCGTTCCCCTTGCTTGGGGCGTCGCGTCGTCCAAAGACCAGCGCTGACGCCTAATAAATACCGAGCACCGCCTCCGCGTGCGCCTGAGGTGCTTAGGCTCCGAAGCCATCTCCTTCAACCAAACTATCATTCGCAATCGTGTCTGTCTGAGCCATTCACGCAGCATGACAACAGCTGTTCGAGCCCTACATGCCTGGCCTGCGAAGGGTTGCTAACTTCTCTTAGATTGAGCACGCCGAGGCCGGAACTTCTGCCTTCATCGCCGCCTACAAATTCCCTGCCCAACAATACGCTCGAACACTGCATTGGACGGCACAACGCGCCCCTGGACGGTCTCGGATTGTTGTCGGCGGGGAGGCCGTAGACGGCAAGCGTCTTGATTCCGAAGATAGCGTCCCTGTCCCTGCTGGCAAAGTACCTGAGGTGTATGAGATGGAGGTTCGATTTTCTAGTTGACATCTGAGAAGAATATACTCTGACAAAGGAAGTTTCCAAACTCTGGCGATGTTTCAATACATACGAGGTTTGCCTTCCTGAAATGTAAAGTCCCCCATTCACTATTGTTGTCGAAGACATCTCCAGTGGTCAGGTCAACTCCGTCGCCGACTTCTATCTCCAAGCGTACCTTCTCCCCAAGAAAATGTGCTGTCACGGTTGGCGTTGTTCGCATTATGCCCCAGCTTGGAAGTTTAGCAAGATGAATCACAAACCCCTCGGAAAGGAATCCCCGGAGTTTGTCCTTAAACGCTGCCGTGAAAGCCCAGTCTGACACAAGGCTGGTGGTAGTAGGCTGTGGGAGATCGGGCTCGTCCAAGATGGCGTTGCTACTTTCTGGGAGTGAAATGAGTACCTGCATTTAATCGACCGAGAGGCAGGGCTTACCCTTGAAAAACCGCCGAGACAGTGCCTCGTCCTTCGTTTTCCAGTGTCTGTAGAGTTTCCACCAAAATGGTGGATATTCTGGCTGCTGAAGGATGTAATTCACCGCCGAAACGAGCGCTTCCTCATGCTTGACAATGGTTTTTATCTCGTGAACATGGAGATATCGTACAAGCACGGTGAATGCCTTGATTGGCACGCCTAGTTTGACAGTCGACGCTTGGGAGTAGCGGTACCTAAGACTTTGGTACTCGGATGGTTGGGGAACGGGAAGGTGCCTGGAAACCTCGCCTTGAGCTTAGTGAAAACAGCTGAGGCGTCGGTACGAGTCGAGGCGTCGTTCCAGGCGGCGGCACGTTTCCTCGTGCCGGGACGTTTCCTCACGCCGGTAGGTTTCTTGGCGCCGGTACGCTTCTTGGCGGCGGTACGATCCTCGGCGGCGGTACGATCGTCGTCCGACATAACGAGGATCCTCAAGGAGGGCTGATGGAGGGGGGTTGATCTCAAAGGGGGGGGGTTGACTCAGGGCTGGGGTTTTCTTGATTTCAAGGTTTCTTGATTTCAAGGTTTCTTGATTTCTTTTGTGAGGGGAGCTGAGGTATTTATGGGCCAAAGGGAAATGTGATTATGCAATATTTCGATGCTCTGCCAAATTGCATGTAACAGAGCGTCATTTTAACGAGGGTGTGGCTCATTGCCGAACCATCACCATCCGTACCAGTAGGTCTGCATCGCCGAGAACGGCTCGCCTGGGCTGGCTTCCTTGGCGTAAGGCCCGGTAGGTGTCGAGGACCCCTACCTACTTCATACCCCCAAATGATCGTACACTATTGGAGGACACAGGTGCTAGGCCATCAAGTCGCACAGCCCTAGAAGATTGCACGGATTATCTATGAGTAACGTATTCCACGGGCGAGTGGCCCACTCGCCCGTATGGACCACTCGCCCGTGGAATACGTTAATGCTATTCGGACGAACAACTATTGCTATCCGGACGAACAAGGTCACGTGACAAGGAAAATTTTCTACAGATTCTAGGCTGATTCCCCCTCTTCGCTTTTCACATAAAGTTTGTATGCAATTGAGAGCGCGAATCAAATCACATTTAAAGCACACATAACAGAGCAAATTGCAAGGCGAATCAATTACGCTCAAATCGCTCAACAAAGGCATTTCCCTCAAAATCAACAAGTCCGCGCTTCCATCGCATTTGGAAGCGTGATGAAGGTGCGAATGCGTGGGATTGCGTGAAAATGAAGGATTGTTGTGGTTCGGGAGGAGCTGTGGGTCCATCAGTCCGGAAGAACCTGTTTCCGATCACGTGTGCGAAGGCATCTATGACGTGTCCGACATTTTCGATCACGTGCAGGGTCGAACAGTCACGTGTGTGGCTTTTGTTCGTCCGGATAGCAATAGTTGTTCGTCCGAATAGCATTACTCTTATCTATACCTTATATGTCGGTGGCAGCCTTCTGACTCGCACTTCGATGAACGGGCAACAAGAATCTTCCCAATTCAACATCGAAATGCATTCTGCTGGGCCGATGCGGACTTCGGTACTGTAACCGTAACACTCCCCCAGAAATAAGAAACGTAGGTTGAGAGGTACATGGAGCAATGTATTTCGGTGCCTTGCGACTAGCGACGTTAAACCCAGTTTGACACATTGTCGATGATTTTTGGGACTCGTTGGATCAACGCCGAAAAATGCTCAACAAGCCCGGCCTGTGTCTGAAAATTCCGGATACGACTCTACCGGCGAATGAGAGGCATACCAGGCTATCTCAACGTTACTAAGTTCACCCCTGATTTCTCTGATACGACTATGACTATTTATCAATTGAACCAGTAACAGGTTCGAGAGAATGCCCTAGCAATACTAATAAGAGTGTGGCATTTAACCGTCGTAACCTATTGATTCAAGGTACGCGGGCAAGGAAAATCGAACCCCAGCGTACCAACCGTCTAATCTCGGTGTCGTCGGTCCAAATTTTTTTTTTTAAGAAAATTGGGGGGAAAGATATCGTAGGTTAAATAGGGTGATCTGGCCAGGTTGTGGCCGGGGCATGAGTTTCTTGTGTGTCGTCGTTGTGGCCGGAAGGCGCATGGCAGGCCGCCCGACATCACAACGGCCTAGTTCGGAGTCTTGGGGAATGCGAGAGACTGGGGAGATACTCAGCCTGACCATCAGCCCGGCGGCTTCATAAGACACAACCAGGTCAGGGGTAACAGATCAGAGTTCAGAAGTACCGAGGTTGAGTTGGTGGTGAGGAAAGAGTCGAGGTCGACAATACCCAGTGACGAGAATGTTGTGTACAGGCCGCCTGGGCAGTCGTTCTCGAAAGGAACGTTCACGTAACCAAGCAATAAGGCAGAAAGCAGGTGGCACGGCTCTTTGGGATCTTTTTGAGCTGCCGGCCCAGTTTCACGGTCATGGAGGACCAGGTAGGTCACTACGATTCCAGAAGAGATCGTCAAGGAATCGCTGCGCAAATGGCAGAACCAGTATGGCGGCGGGGCGAAGCTTTTGTGGGTTCTCCGCCTCGTGTACTGTTAGAGATGCCGAAGCCATGAAGAGGGCCTGACATGTCAAAAGGGAAAAGGGAAAAAGAAAAAGAAAAAAAGGGGGGGGGGGGGGGGGGGGAAGGGGGGCTTACCCCCTGTTTGTATATGCTGTGGCTGAGTGGGAGAGGCTGGGCGCCTGCTACCAGGTGCTTCAACTCGATAAGATACAGGCGTGAAGGCAATACGGCGGAAAATTAAATTCTATTATTCCGTCCTCCGACTTTAGTAGATGCGAATGTGGTGCTCCGCCGCTCAGCCATCAAGTAGAAAGTTCATCATTTCGTTGTTCTCCTGCAACCAGCTGCCCATCTGTGCACCGAGCGGGTCGAGCTCCATGTCGAAGTCGTTGAAATTTTGGTCTTCGAATACTCCAGCTCGGTTCTGATAGTTTCCTGGAGGTACGATGCTCCATGTCATTAACTTGTCTTCGATTTTCTCCTCGATGCTGGCCAAGGAGTCATCCAGAGGCACGGTCCCAAACGGCTGCCTCTCAATTTCTGTTGTTTGAGAGGCGACTTCGGCGCCGTTCACCCGTACGGAGGCCGGCTGGATAAATGCAGTGTCTTGTAGGTCCTGCGCTTTGGTCTTGATCTCCACATATTTCGAGGCGACGCTGAACAGTGCTCCGAAAATGCGAAGCTGCCTGGTGCAGCTCGAGTAACGAGGAATCTTGGACAGAGCCTCGAGGGCGTCTACTAGCCTCTGAAGATGCCCTAGATCGGACCAATCGACGGTCTCGACGATGTTGCAAAAGAGAATATTGAACGGAATGAAGGGCAACAGAAGCAACGCCCCGTTGATCCACAGGTCGAGATGAATTGAGTTGAGTGCTTCGTCTGGGAGCATGGAAATGCATTTGCCATGCTCCTGCAGCGCGGCTCTTGCCGTAGACAGGCACTCACCGGAGATTCCAGCTCTGGTGGAGCCGTCGACTGGAATGCACCGGTGAATAGCGGTGAGCAATGAATAGTCGCTGACCCTGTCCGCATGCTTGAGAAAGCTCAAGAGCACAGGCTCGACCGCTCCGGAAGGTTCTCGCTCTAGCTGTTTCTTCCAAGAGTCAGATCCACAGAGAAGCCCGATCACCACCACGCTCTATGTGACTCACATAGTACTCTCCCCTCTTGACCATGAGATCCTTCCAGTCACTCGCCAACGCCTTGGCACGAGCCACCCGGGAAGGCATAGCCAAGGCCAGTGAGCTTGGACTGAACAAATCATCATACAGTCGGCCGTAAAGGCTCGCTTCATCGATCCAGTTGATCGATCTGCTTTGCAGCACCGATACTGGCCTGCGCTCGAGTTCAGGTCTTGGTATGGTGATGTCGTGGTCACGTATGGTTGATGCTCTGGTGAGACGCAAGGCGACGGCTTTTTCCAAGGCATACACCGCCCAGAACAAGTAAGTCTTGCTCCGTCTATCCTCGGAAGTCTCACCAGCCATGGAAAGCTTGCTGTGCAAACCCAGGCCCTGAGCCATCAGTGCCGCCTTGCTAATGAATTCCCATGCCACGAACGGCTTGCTTCGATGAAAAGAATAAAGCGTCTTTCTTGTTAGAATGATAATATCACTCTAGCATTGGAGTTTGGGTGGACTTACCGCCATGTACATGGCAAACACGTAATCGATAGTCATAGGTATGTGAAAAGAAAGACATGAAAGCACTGTTTCAAGGCTTTGCTTGCACACCAAGGCCTGTGCTCGAAAGTCTTGTTTGACTTCGTCGTCGATCATGATACTGGAACACTCCGAGAATAGCCAATGAAGGCCAGAATGCACTATGATCAAGTCGGCATCCATGACAGGGCCAGGCGAGCAGACCTTTATGACGTACTCAGTAAACTCGCCCAAGGAGCTGGACTCCTGGGGCCAGAAAACCAGAACACGAGGGTGCTCCCGAGCCACCCGCAAGCAGGCCATAATCTTGGCCAACGGCGGGATTGGCAGGTCGCTCATGCTAATGCCTGGCGCGGGCGGTTTGGTAAACGGGCGCAACTGGTCGGAGGCATCGTTCTGCCGTTTTTGAGAGTCGACGACCGATCGCAGTGTGTCCAGCACGGAGGCCATCTCGGCTGCCACGTTTGAGACGGACGGGTCAGCATCCACAGTGTCTTGCAGAAATTTGGTAGCCATGACCGCATGCGCAAAAAGGGACGAGTCGATGAACTCATGCTCTGCTACGGAGAGAGTGCGTTGTTTGTTGGACTGTCTGACTGTGGCTGGAGCTTGGGCGGCGGGTTGAGACCGGACTCTAGTCGGCCGAGGATCTGACGCTGGCTGGGGCAAGGCGTCGCCATTGGCCAGCTGTCCGTAGCTAAGTCGGGTCATCATCTCCGTGAGATCATCAATCTTCTTAGAGATATGTTCCACCCTACTCTCACTGTAGCACAAGTCAACGTAGGAAATGGAAAGCCTCCGCGTGACACATACCACACACTAGAGATCAAGACGCGTTGCTTTTTTGCGCGGGGCTTCTGGGCTGGTTCGTACAGACACTCCGATCGCGCCTTGATGCAGTGGGTGCAGGGGTGGACTCGGTCACATTTGATCTTCAGTTCTGGTCAGCCAGGTTGAGGGCTACCGGGACGCGGGGTCTAACCTTTCTGCGACGACATCTTTGACACTGGCACGATCAGGTCAGGAAGTCATTGACAAGTCTCTGGGAAGAGGCGTACCGCCAATTTCTCGGGGGCCAGAGCTCCCTCGACCGGGCTTAAGTTGTGGCCATCGGCACTGGAGTCGGCAGCTTCGTCCATATGGACGTGGCGATGGCTTGGGCTAGTATCGGCATTGGTGGAGGGATACATGGCTGACTGCCAAGCGGGCCGCCCGCTGTAATGGCCAGGTTCAATCGTACTCAAAAGGCGGGAGCCAAGTCGCAGCTGTGGGTAGTGAGCGATGCTGCTGGTGATGACGGGACGGACGTTGGGAAAGTGCGTCCGAAGATGATGGGCTAGTAAGTGAGAGCAATGTCCTTTTACCACGAGATTAGTGGAAGTGCGGAGCGGAGCGCCAAGAGCCCGCTCTCCGTCGCTTTACCGAGAACGGCAATTGTTCAGTTGTTAGCACGATACTCAATTCTGGGTCCATTTTGGTTGCTTTTGGCACTTGTAGATCGCCATCCAAAGTTCCTAGCTAACACAGGTCTAGATGCCGAATCGCACCCAACCAAGGTAAGCGGTCCTTCGTGGGTCGTTCTTATCTCTAGCCAATGGATGCAAAGTGCGTGTGTGAAAAGAGTATTCTGTGGGTATTGTGGCACCATAATTTCTAAGCACAGCAACACCTCGTAAGACCGGAAGAAAGTTAGGAGCATCTTGTCCTCCATACTGTTTGCAAAGTCTGCCGCAACATGGGCCGAATGGGTTACCAATCACCCCGTGGTCTTTACGGACTTCGGGACGAATCTCTACCGTCGGTGTTATCCGCAGGCCGTATTAGCCCGTGATTGCTCATCAGAGCATTGCCGGATTCGTAGGCAGGATACATAAAGAGCATACACAAAGACAAATCAATACTCATTCATCCATTTAGGTGCACACTTTTGACATTTGGTTTTCACTTAGTTTTTTCCCTACAGCATGAACATGCCCCCCAAAGTGCTCTTTATTCTCGGAGGCGGCCCTCGTATCGGCCACTCGGTAGCGAGGAAGTTCCTACAAGAAGGATATAAAGTCGCCATCGGAAGGCGGAACCTCCAAGAGGCCGCAGAATCTACAGGCTTGGACGGAGTTGTGCCTGTGTACTTGGACGTGACGAAGCCGGAATCGGTCGAAGCTGCATTCCGTGAGGTCGAATCGAAATTGGGAGTTCCGAATGTTGTCGTGTATAACGGTAAGCATCATCCTTACCGGGGATGGTATGCGCCATCCCAAATTCTGCGGTACCACAAATAGTGGGCATCCTGCGGCTGACTCAATTGCTTATCCAGCTGCTGCTTTTACTATGCCTCCGGACGCCAACGACCCGTTCCAAGTGCCTACTGCATCCTTTGAGCAAGATCTCGCCGTCAACGCATCAAGCGCATACGCGGGGCTGCTTCATGCAACTCGGGGTTTTCTGTCTTCGAAGGCCAAATCTACAGAAGACAATGATGCCTTGCCATATGTTTACATCGCGACAGGAAATGTCACACCCTTCCAACCAAATCCTGTCGCCGTGACGCTTGGCTCCGGGAAGGCCACTCTGGCCTACCTCATTTCGGTTGGGGCGCAAGCGTACAAAGCAGCAGGGTACAGGTAAGTCGGATTACTACACCTTGCTCTTCTTTCCAGGGTTTCTGTTTTAAGACGTTCATACTGAAACAATGTCAAATAACGTTAGGTTCTACTTCGCTTCGCAGGTAACGGCTACCGGCGGGCCGGTGCCTTATCCTGATGTAAGTGGCGAAGCGCATGGAGACCTATTTTGGAAGGTGGTCAACAGAGAAATGGGGTTGAACAGTTGGGATTTGAGATTTGTGGTGAATTCAGAGGGTGGAGTGTCGGATAGGGAGGAAAGGAATGATTGATCAGTTACTTGCACCGGCTTATAGGCCGAGCAAGACCGGTTAGACCACCCTGATGACGGCAATGGCGAATAGAGATAGCCTGGCATAGGAAAGACGCAGCCGAGCGGCAAGAGTTGAAGCAATACTCCAAGGAACGAGGTCATGGACTCTCACTTGGTGCAGCGTCGTCAGGACGTCCATGCCGGCGAGCACTGATGCTTCAATGACCTTCTAGGAGACATCGTTCTTGAGGCCCCGCAGGACCGCCTACAACGCAGCGGAGGAATGCTCGAATCGAACCTTGTGTTGATAGACCAAGGGACCAAGACTTTCGCGGAGTTTCAATGGATATCATGACCACGTATACATAACCATTTTCAGAGGGTCATGTGTCACCGAGGCCTACAGTCTTAGGGCCTTTAAGGTTTGTTGCTTATTCTTCTAATATCCAAGTCCCTATTCACATCCAATCGAACTATATCTCTGCTACAAGATCAGCGGAGTAAACTCTATAGCAACCACCTGTAGACACAGTAGTGGGCAACACAAAAGGAAAAATCTAAGCTCTATCTATCTTCATCCAGGCTCAGAGCAGCTACCGCTTCACCAACCGCTGCCTCGTCCCTGGCACCCTCAACCCAGTGATCCGTCCCCCCTCGGTGTCAAATGTCAACTCATCCGCCGGTAACCCTGCATACCTGAACCCAGCGACAAGGAGCCACTGGTCGCACGCCCCCTCAAACAACGCCAGCGGCGTCCTTGTGTCAAGCATCAGCTGCCACCGCTCACCCTCTCCAACGGGATACGCCCTTGCCTCAGCCACCCTCGGGTCCGCTACCTGGATCATCGCCCGCGGCGTTGATGGTGATGCCAATGCCGTACTCGGGGACGAGGGCCACGTAGGACCCAAAGCCAGGGACGCCGCCCTCCTTGGTGTAGATCTCGGTCGGGCGCTGTCGGCGAGGTTGGTGGCGATAAAGATCTCCCAGGGGGCGCCGACAGCGCTGTGCGTGGAGGAGGTGAAGACGGCGGGCTTAAGCCAGGCATTCACTCGGGCTTCGGAGAGCAGGGTGTGGCTGAGGATGCTGCGTGTGATCTCGGCGACTTCCTTGGGTGTGGAGTAGAGGCCGGCGGTGCTGAGGAGAGTTCGATGAGTATATCCGTGGAATATTCTGGAATGGAACATGACTCACGCATTATAGATGCCCACGGGCATGGTGATCCATTCGGCACCCATGCCAACGGGCACGATGGCATCTTCCAGGGCCGTGAGCTCCAAGCTCGTGGTGGCAAGGCCGAGAGGCTCTCTGATGTATTTTCCGATGACTTCCCCGTACGGGAGTCCAGAGATGTTCTCGAGGGCATACCCAAGTAGGGGGAAGCCTAAATTGGAGTATGCTGCCCTTTGCCCCGTTTTCCAGGGATTACCCGCGGTACGAATGGTGTCGAGAAGGTCTGCTCTCGTTGTCAGGCCTCGTATAATCTCGGCTGGTATTGAGACTCCCGGGCAGAGCACTCACCATCTCGGGTGCACCGATTATCAGGGATCAAGTTGCATGTCGGGTAACCTGGGTGAAACTCGGCAGGAGGAAGACCAAGCATCTCGGCCGCGCCAGGGGGAATCCTCAGCGCGACATCAAGTGCTCCACCCAGATAGGAAGTGAGCCAGAATCACCGGTAAATCAAGGTCTTTTTGTCTTACTGTCTCGGGCAGCACCGCCTATCTGGGTCATCAGCATTCTCAGCGTGATATCCCGGTACGTCTCTAACCCTGGGGCCGAGAGCTCGGGGACAAAGTCGGTGATGGGATCATCGAGGTTGATGCCGTCTTGGAGCAGCAAGACATATGCCGTGATTAGCTTTGAGATTGAGGCAATGCGGTACACTGTGTTGCCGTCGACTTTTTTCCACGCCCGAGGGTCCCTTAATGGGTGCAGTGTGGTGATACTCGAAGAAGGTATACTTGGGAGAGGTGACTTGGACAGAGAATGACGTGGTGGACATGTTGAAGAAGGGTATGGAAGAGTAGAGAGTTGCTTCAGAGACTGCTGGAGCGAGGCCGTGAGGTTTCCGGGTGTACACAGCCTGGGCGGTGGGAGGACGGGGCCTGTAGGCGGGCAGGTGGCCACGGCCACGGAGAGGCCAAAGCCCAGAGAAGAACCGATGGTGATCTCATGTTTATGTCGGAGGTTGCAAGGGCGTAGTCGATAGCCAGGTACGACGGTCTGATGGGGAATACTCCATCGGGGCGGCCGTTTTATATCCATGGGGATCATCTCGGGGACCATCCGACATTTGCGGTAAGCATTTTGCCCCCTGCGCCCACGGCGTGAATAAACGAGCAATACGGCCGGTTCAAGGGTGGTTGCGGCAAGACACGGTACCTACTTATCTGCCATAGAGTCTCCGGAAGCCAGGGCCTATCCGTGAGTTGCCCGCTTTTTTCGCATTCATCGTATTCGGCGTGGCCCTGGTACCAAAGGAAGACAGGAACAGGGCATATCTTGCCAAGTGGCAGTGAGCTCGGCCACATCCGCCAGAATCATAAGCATACGGCCGAAGAGGGTGCAATGTTCCACCGAATGTCATATTTGGTGCAGTCACCTGTCAGCACTCTGCTCGGTCGATTGATTTTCAACTGAATTGGCACTTCAATATCCCGGCCGAAGATGATGGGGGGTTGAGGTCGGAGTGAGAAAGATATCCCAGGGCCATGAGGGGACTCCTGACAATCTGCCACAACGGAGTGTAACGGGCTGGGCCCGATCGGGCCTCGGCTGGGCAGTCGGCCGAGTGTTGCTCAGCCAACTATCCCGGTCACCGCGAAGACCGCAGCTGGAAGACTCCTTTTCTGCAAGCTGGAATTCTTCCAGCCCCTTTTGTTCTCTTCTCTTTTCCTCAGGATTAGTTTACTCGTAGTAGTCACCACAGCCTGTTGCAAATATACACGCTTGGACCGTTACACAGGACAGGGGGATCAAGGCTCACATTCATAGAGATTCCTTTGAGGACGCGGTTGTCTGGTGCCAGGGGGTAAGGGAAGTGGACACCCTGTGGTGTTGTTGGATTGCGCAGCAAATGCTGGGTGTAAAATTGGATGCTTTCATTCTTGTGTTTCCATTGTCTTCAATGGATCTCCAGGCCACATATATATAACCGTTTTCAGAGGCTCATGCAACACCGAGGCCTACAGTCTTGGGGCCTTTTAAGGTTTGTCGCCTTATCTTTACACTGAAGTTGAGGGGGACACCCAGTTCTTCCAACAGTAAGGCGTATGAGCTGCAGCCCGTCACCCGGGCCCTACGCGGCACGGATTCGTCGGATTGACGACAGGTCGAAAATTTAGCGTTAGATACAACATCAATCCACCACGACGTCCATGGTCTGATAATGTCACATACATCTGAAATACTCATGTCAAGCCTGCTGACAGGATGTAATTATTCCCTCCACACCATCACGTTGCCGGAATGCCATCTCCACGACGCTCTCATCCTGGGACCTCGCCATAGAACAACATCAGCCGAAAATAATGTCCCTCATTCCAACGATCCAAATTCCGATTTGTGTCATTGTCTCATAGGTGCAATCGTTACTCCATAGTTCCGTCCAGATAAGTCGTAGCTAGAGTAGGCCCCCCTAGGGAAGAAGGCCGCAATGGGCGGCATATAGTAGCATCGAAAGTTAAAGCTAATGGGGTTAGAATGGCCCCAACACTCGGTTAGACACACCCAGAACTCTGGTAATTGTCAGACAACCAGGGATCTGATTGGCTACTACATGTGGTGGGCCAACCCAGCCCCTTTATATAAGGTCAGGGGCAGGGAAAACGAAGATGGACATGACCATCAAGATCAATCAATACAACGAAGATTTCTAGTGATAATTGATCACCCCTCCCAAGACGTCGAAGATAGCCCATATCAGGGCCCGTACGTCTGACAGTAGTCGGGTGAGTTCTACGGGAAGTTACAAATATCCAGAATAGATCCCGTGCCAATCTTAACAGCTAATTTTTCGATTGTGTTTATTACATGTTCGCAAGGGAATCCAGGATGGGGAACCATGCAAGATGTTCGAATGGGAAGAAGTCGCGAGCGGTGTTTGACGTGGGATCTCAGGAGGCGCCTTAAGAGCATCTTTGGAGCGGATCTATGACGTCAATGTTGGCTGCGCCCGGCTTTGCAACCAAGTCGGGTGGCAGCGTGACCGAGACCACAGGCGTCGGACATGGCTCACTTGGACTCCAAAGGCGGCAAGACGGAGCGGGCAATGAGATGTAGGAATATGCCCGCGACAACCACGCACGTGAGATCTGTCCGCATCGCGCGGTGTCGTTTGGGCCCGTCCACCGCTGGATGGGGCCAGGGGGCCAGGTAGAATTCAACGGAACGGACAGACCAAAGTCCGCTCCGCAACAGTCACTCCCCGACCATGACAAATCGTGCCGCGCTGTGGCGGTGGAGCTTGCTTCCAGTTGACCCCACCCGCAGGGGAATGCTGTGTCGTAATTAATGCGCGGCCTGGGCCCACTGAGCGGATATTTAAGAGGCACTTGTGTGCCAGAGAAAGAAGGCAACGGCAGAAAGTAATAACCGCAAACTAAGATCCAAACCCCCATTACACCATCCACCATGTCGCCGAGCAGGTTCGAGAAGGAGGATTTCGATCCCACGCCTCTTGGGGAGCCTCTCCATTTCGAGTTCAGCGGCCAGACGGCTAAGAACCGGTTCTTAAAGGCGGCAATGACTGAGCGATTGTCGACATGGCACCCGACCGAACTTGAAAAGCGCGGAATCGCGACTCCGGAGCTTATCAACGTCTACAAGCGGTGGGGCGAAGGTGGCTTCGGGATGGTTCTCTCTGGAAACACTATGATCGAGTATGACCATCTCGAGTCCGCCGGCAACCTCATCATCCCTCGAGATGCCCCTTTCTCTGGCGAGCGGTTCGAAACATTTAAGGCGCTAGCCGAGGCTGCCAAGAAGCACGGCAGCCTGGCAGTGGTGCAACTGAGCCACCCGGGGCGTCAGGTGACGGAAGACATCCAGAAGCACCCCATCTCGGCAAGTGACGTGCAGCTGGAAATGAACTTCGGTGGCAAGCGATTCGCGAAGCCGCGTGCAATGGAGAAGGAGGACATTGAGCGAGTGATTAAGGGCTTCGTTCGTGCATCGGAGTACGCATCGAAGGCTGGATGGGACGGGGTGCAGCTCCATGGAGCGCAGTAAGTGCTGCAAATGGCAGAACGGCGACCAATCTGCTGACAGTCTTGTAGCGGCTACCTCCTCGCGCAGTTCCTGTCGCCATTGACCAACAAGCGGATTGATGAGTATGGCGGGTCACTGGCCAACCGCTCGCGGCTGATCCTTGAGATTGCCGATGCGGTCCGAGTGCGCGTGCCGAAGGACTTCATTGTCGGTATCAAGATCAATAGCATCGAGTTCGAGGAGGGTGGGTTCCCGAGCGGGGACTGCGTGACGTTGTGCAGTGAGCTGGAGAAGCACGGGATCGACTTCGTGGAGCTATCCGGCGGAACGTACCAGGAGTTGGCGTTTGGTCACCGGCGCGAGTCGACCAGAAGGCGAGAGGCGTTTTTCCTGGAGTTCGCGGACAAGATCACCCCCGAGCTGCACAAGACGAAGGCGTACGTGACCGGTGGCCTCCGCACGGGGCAGGCGATGGTGAACGCGCTCAAGACAGTCCACGGCGTTGGGCTGGCGCGTCCTGCCACGCACGAGTTCGACCTTCCGCAGAAGATCCTCGATGGTAGGGCGCAGAGCGCGATCAGCCTGCTATTGTCGGACGATGATTTTGGAATGACCAACATGGCGGCTGGCATGCAGATGCGGCTGGTGGGCAGGGATAAGGAACCGGCGGATCTGAGTCGCGAGGATCACAAGCACGCGTTCGAGGACTCGTTCGGCAAGTGGTGGCAGTCGATGTCTGACAATAGGGACAATTCCAAGTTTGGAGGCGTCGACTTGCTTGGGGTTGAGTTCCAGCCTTATGGCACGCCATATGCGTAGGCCGAGGGTGTCAAAAGATATTCCGGCCCAACTGAGGAGGCGTCCCGACCCACATGGGCACCATTGTTTGTGTAAATAGCTGGGACCTTCGTCCCCTTGACTTGGGCAGTGGTTAAGGCCAATCCAACTCTCTACAACAGCGCTGCCGTCACGTCAATCAAGTCAAGTTGGACCCTTCAACTTGACTTGCTTGATTCAACTTGACTGCTTGACTTGGCCCTATTTGAAGTATTACCCGAGCTCACCGAAGTCCTCGTCACATTCCTTGGTAATGGGATCCGCGAGGAGGTTGCCTAATCGTATGCCACGTGTCCGGCTCCAATTCTTGAGGCATTGTAGGAACTCGAGGGTCTCCGGATGCATTGACTGACGCTGCGAGGTCATTGCAAGCTTCGAGAGACTGAAAACCCTCTCGCAGTCAGCCACTATCGCGGGGATCGCTAAGATATTTAGGGCAAGCTGTGACAGCGCTGGATACTCGCTCTTGCGCTTACACCACCACTCAATCGAGTCATCCGTGGCTTCAAGCTTGGCTTTGTAATACGTGTCAACCTCTCCGAGCAAGCTATCAGGCTGCCGCTGCGGCTCCAGCATCCGGCGCCTTCGAGCATCTAGCCAGCCTTTCCAGCGACTCTTCTCGCTCTTCGGGCCTCGGAAGGCAGAGGGCACCAAGACTGGCGGCTGGCAGGCCGTTATTGATCCCATGACCCAGCCTGGGATCCAAAGTGTGTGTCGCTGTGGCTGATTCTATTGCCACGTGGACAGCCTGTTGCCCATTACCTGGCAATGAGGTGCAAGTCGCATATGTTGGTGTTACACAACATCCACGAACAGTAATCCTTCGCAGAAGTAGGAGACCTATCGTAGGTCAGCATCAGCTGCTTTGCCTCAGCACACGCTCAAGGCGTGTGTAAAACCAACGGCGTCGTGTCTCTCGCATCTTGCTGGAGTAACGATCCTTGTCCACGGACACCCCCCACGCCCACCTTGGCTTCCCTACGTCAACCTCGTCGAAGGCCTTCCGCGAGTGCAGCGTCCTCGTGCTGACGAATAGACCGCAATCTGCGGTGTCCATCTTGCGCCCGTGCAGGTAACTACGCCGGCGACTGCAGGAGGGCGCTGAATTTGATGATGGCGGCGCACTGACAACATCGCCCTTGACACGGATCATTCGGAACTCGTCAAGTACGACTCCCGGAGCCAAGGCGACTACACAGTCGTGCGAGAACGAATCAGAAGACTCGTTGACGAGGCGAAACTGGAGGTAGATGGCTGGACGCCGCTCTCGTGGGCCGCCGCGAATGGACACGAGGCCCTGGTCAAGATGTTCCTTGACACGGGCAAGGTCGATGTCGACGCGAGAGATAAGAATGGCCGATCGCCGCTCTTGTGGGCCGCCGAGAGGGGGCACCGGTGGTCAAGCTGCTCCTCGATACCGGCAAGGTCGATGTCGACTCGAAAGACGAGTATGGCCAGACACCTCTATCGGGGGCCGCCGCGGGCGGCCACGAGGCCCTGGTCAAGCTGCTCCTTGATATGGGCAAGGTTGACGCAGACGCGAGAGACATGTTTAGCCAGACGCCACTCCTATCGGCCGCTCTGGAAGGCCGCGAGGCTGTGGTCAAGATGCTCCTGGGAAACGCTAGTGTCCAACCCACGAGGACAGATTGTCTCGGCAGAACCGCATTGTTCCTGGCTTCTAGAATGGGGCATCATAAGTGGTTGAGATGTTTATTGACCATCAAACCAGTTATAGCCGTCCGGGTTCTTCAAGCGCCGCGGCCGTTGCCAATTGATCGTATTGCTGGCTATGAGCTACATTTGAGGATGATCCTTGGGGAGGGCATGGGTGTCTTCAACCTTTCGGCGGTCTTGATTATAATGACAGGCTTGAGGCGCACCCCATGCTCGTGGAATATATGAGCACGAAAGGCCATCGTATCGCGTAATTCCAACGCCCCTTTTTTGCACTTTGGGAAAGGGCAAGGGACTGGACGGCCTGCGTTCATGCCCAGGTGGCCTTCGACATGTTTCCACATCGTGGTTGTCCGAGTGAAAGCCCGCCCGCAGAAGATGCAAGGGTCAGGCTGCTTTCGGCCCTTTGGATGTTGCGAAATCGGGCTGGGCTGCTTGATAATGATCCGAGGGCTTGGGGGAAGGAGCTTGATGGGTGCTTTGGCTATAGATGGTGCAGCAGGGCTGCAAGGCATCCTGAGGGCAAGATTGGTTGAGAGCGGGGTGAGTGGAAGCTTGTTAACCTGCGGGGCAGGCACAGCCGGAGCTACGTCTCTAATGAGAGATGCGTGCGTCGGTTTCTGTTTAGGGGGTTGAGGCGCACTTGGCAACTGGTTGTGGTTAACCGGCTCTGGCTGCGATTCTTTGACCTCGACCTTCCAAGCCAAAGCCACCCAAGCGTCGATGGCGTCGATCTTCCGCTGGACTAACTCGTCTTCGGGCATGTCTGTGTCCAAGTCGCCTAGAAGCGCGGCAACACGTCTCCGTTCTGGCAGTTTGAAGGTGACTGCAGGTAGGACGTGCGTAGGCTGAGGTTGGCTGAGTAGTTGCCTGTCGAGCTCCTCGTCATTTTTTTGCTCGAACCAGCGGCGCCGACAGCTGACAACCACCTTCCTCTTGTGCTTCTGAGCGGCAGTCCTCCGCTGCTGCAGCAAGCCTTCGTACTCGGTTTTGTCTTGACCAGTCGCCAGGCTTGCTCGGCCGTACTTCTGCTCAAGAGATGTCCGCAACGTGGCCACCTTTTCGTCCAGGCGAGAGACCTTGGTGCCCGGGCCAATAAATCGCATCATCTCGTCCGTCACGGTCGTCGGCGCCTCTTCATCGATCTGGAGCCCAAGCTGGTTGAAGATGGCGAGGTAGGGAGATCTGGTGCCGCGACCAAGGAATGCGTCTTGGGTCACCACGTTGGTCCTGGAGTTGTTGTAGAAGTCCTGGAAGGTGCCGTCATCCTTGTGGCGCGCGACTTGCCTCCGTACCGTTGAGCGGCAATTTCCTGTTAGATGTCAGAAGCAGGGACAGACCGGCGGCCTGCAGGGCCTTACAGTCAATGGCTTCGAGGTTTCCTCGCCGGTAGTCATAGTTGGTGAGATTGTCAATGAGACCAGCAGCTCGACCGAGATTCCTCGTGTTGTTATCGAGCTGGTCTTTGCGCAAAGGCTGGTCGCTCTTCGTATAGCCTTCCGGGCACTTGATGGTCTGTCGAAAGACCGGGGTATGCATGAACTCTTGCTTCCACCTGATCTGTACGCCGGGCACCGAGAGCTTGGTGCGGAAGAAGGGCTCGGCCCGCGAATAGCCGTCGTGGGCGACCACGCCTTCTGCCAGGGCCTTGGCGAGGAGATGGGAGACAGGGCAAAGGAGGGGAAGGTCTTCTTCGATGAAAATGAACGTGGTCGGCCGCTGCTCCTTCTCGTGTCCCTTGTGGAACCGGAAAAGAACCGTCATGACGAGTCGATCTCTGCCGCCGTCTTCGAAGGGGTCTCGGATGATCCACAGCTTGATATCCTCCCAGCACAACACTTTCTTTGCTGCGTGTGTCCTGTCGTCGTTCTTGCCGCATACCCAACAAGGCCCTCGTGGCGGCACGAAGTCGCCCTCCTCGTCCGTGTCGGTGAAGGCATCCAGCTCATCGTTGTATTCTTTCTTGATGGCGTCGTCGTTCGCAATCCTTGCATGGGCGAACTCGTGTGGCCGAGCGCCCGTGAACATCTGGAAGTGTCGAAGCGTCGCATCGTCAAGGCGGTCCAACCCGATCTTGAAGACGTTCTTCCAGTCCCGCACCCAGCGAAAATGGGAGAGGTAGATGTGTGCATCGGGGCCGATGTGGTTCTTGACTTTGGGCTCGGTTCTCAGGTGGTGCTTGCGTCGCGTGACGTGGGCAATGTACTCGAGCATGTGGGTTGGGAGTCGAGAGTCGATGGTGAGATTGGTGTACTTCTTGTGGACAGCCCAGAGTTGGATGAGATATCTCTCAAGCGTGGACTTGGTGGTGATCTTTGCCCCTCGCCGCTCCTTGCAATACTTGACGAAGGCTTCAACATCGCCGCGATTGTCGTAGGTCAATGTCATGACCTTCTCCCGCCAATCCGGGTATCGCATGAAATCGCAGAACTTCGCCCATCGCCGCTGGCCCAATACGATGTTGCGTTTGTACGCAGGGGCGCGTCGTGGCCGGAGGGGGCGCCGGGCATTGGCCTTCTCAGCATCAGCCCGTAGCTCCTCTGGTGTGATCTCGGGGCCAGAGTTGTCGGAGAGGTCGCTGTCAAGGTCCTGCTGGACGCGACACCAAAGTGGGTCCACGACAGGCTTCACGTCTTTCATGACTGGGGAGAAGGGGGAAAGTGGGGAAGAGCGCTGCTGGTGGCTGGGGCCTCGAGTTGTGCATGGTGCGAAGCGGGAGTGTCGTAGACCTTTTATCTTTGGTACGGACAGGAATCGGGGAGACAGGTTCCTGTATGGGTGTGGGTGGGCGGCAGTGTACCTGAATGGGTGAGGGTACTTATTCCGGCTGTGTAGGTACATGTTCGCCTTGCGCTATGTACTTACCGAGGGTGATTTGGGGGGCCGAAACCTGTCCCCACTGGCGTCCAAAAGAGGCACCTCGGGCAGCGTCACACGCACTTATGGTGGAAAAAAAACTTATGGATTAATGTATAGACAGCCTTCGGCTGAAAAACTTATGGACAAGAGCGAGGAGAAACAAGAGCGAGGAGAAACAAGAGCGAGGAGAAACAAGAGCGAGGAGAAATAAAAACGGTCATTTGGACGGCGAAGTCTTAAGCAGGCTTTGCTCTCCTGAGAAAGGGTGCGTTGCCGCCTTACGCCTGCGGCCGTCTCATGGCCAGCAGCTCAGCCCACAACTCGTCCATGTGGAAGGTGGCGGCGAGGTGGCCGCCGTGGAGGACGCGGAGAGCCGAGTTGGCGTAGTTGTCGCGGAGCCAGCGGTACATATCGTGGCCGAGCTCGTCCTTGTCGCTGGCGACGATGAGGACGGGCGGGCGGCGGTGGTCCGCGTCCAGCTCGGCCGGCACGAAGCCCCAGTCCGAGTGCAGCACGTCGCTGCCCTCGAGGAAGCCGTCCCAGCTGCGGGCGCAGCGCACCGCGCCCTCGGCCATGCGCTCCAGCCAGCGGTCCTGGGTCAGCGGGGCGGAGCCGTCGTCGCCGTTGTCCTCTCGCTGTCGCGCGAGCCAGTCGTCGAGCTCCCGCCGCTCCTCGGCGTCCATTGGCTTGACGATGAAGTCGTGCATAAAGGCCTTGGCCGTGGCCACGTCCTTGACCTTAGACCCGATGGCGACGCTCACCAGGCGCGGCACCGCCCGGAAGGGCAACCACTGGCTGACGGGGCCAACCGAGATCCAGTTCAGCCAGGTCATGCTGCGGCTGTAGCCGGCGTGCGCGCGGAAGGGCGAGAAGGGCGCCAGGAGCAGGAGGCCGCCGATGCTGCGGCCGATGGGGAAGAGCCCGTAGGGGGCGCCGTAGAGCATCTGGGCCTGGACCGTGCCATACGAGCCGCCCGCGACGTACAGCGCGTCGAGGCCGCCCGGATGGAGGTGCTCGAGCAGCCGCGTCATGTCCTGGCACAGGCCGACGTTGTACGGCGCGCCCCGGATGGCCGACGACTCGGCGTTGCCCGGGAGCGTCGGGCTGATCCAGTGCACGTCCAGCTCCCGCAGCGGCGCCGGGATGCTGCGCGCCATCCCAACCGAGAGGTAGCCCGAGAAGAAGAGGACGACGGTACGGCTGGCCCGGTTGCCGTTGTCAGCGTAGACCAGCTGCCGGTTGTTAGGCAGCTGCAGCGTGTGCTCCTCCTCGCGCATCGCAGTCCCCGTGGCTTGAGGCATCGTCTCTGCCGGTCGCTAGCGCATGCAATGAAGGGCTTGCTTGAGCACGTGTCTTCGTGGGCGATCTGCGGTGCGCCAGATCTGGCAACGTCCTGTACGTCGATTGATCTCACGAGGCGCTCAAGTAGCTCTGGCTGTCCGACCCTGTAGCAGTATGCGGCGCATCAACAGGCAGCAATATTCACGGTTAGAGGGGGTGGGCCGTGAGGGAAGGGCTGGCCACGACAATCGCGAAATACGGTGTTTACAAGGCCGCCAACCAGTTGCGCAACGTTTTGCGAGGTCCATACGAATTTGGGCCAATAAAAGCGCGAGAAACTTTTTGAGCCCCATAAAACATCGCCGTTGTCATCAGATATCTCTACAGTATTGGCAATGGCGACTGTGCGGCCCCTCCAGGAAGGCCAGGCGCAGGTGGGTGCAGTAACACTGGCTGCGCGGGGGAGTCGTCCGTCTGGCTGTGCAACGACTACAACTTCCAGCTCCACGTGCCGTGCCGACTCGTGGCAGAGTGAGTGCAATGTCCTCCAGGTCCGTGCCCTCGCTGGGGGCCTCTCCGTTTTGCCCTGCATCTTGGCGTCTACAAAGGATCGGAGATGATTTTCAGAGTCCGGGATAGCTCATCTGCGGCAAATTGCTGTCATTCGATGCTGCATCGGCATTGCCGCATGATCAACACCTAAGAGCTCCAATGACGGCATGCATCAGCCAGCCACGTTTGCACGAGCTGATGGCTAGGATGGGGCGCCAAGAACAACCACAGCCACCTCGTCACAGCTTTTTGTACAGCTTGCAGCGTACACGATGTAGCGATGTTGATCAGAAGCATCCATGGCTTGCAGTCCTGACATGCACTCCCGCGACGAATATTCATTCTTGCCAACGTCATTGGCTCAAGATGGAGCTTCGATAGTTTCCTAGCTGGTCTGGTCGCATACTTGATAGGTATCTTGGTGTGGGGCTGCTCGGCACGAGCCGCTGATCGTCAACAAGCTTTACAGCCCTTCTTCCGCAATGATTATCGCTCTAATATGCCGGGACTCGGTGGAGGCTAAGTTGCGCTTAGCACCGGCAGTCGATATGCCCCTGCCTCTAAGATTCTAGCATGTCGGCTAGTTCTTTTTGAGACCTGTGCATGCTTTCTGACCTCTGGTAGTGTCAAGCTAGCGGGCTCCTGACGCTCCCCGATGATAAGGGCTGTGGAGGACATTTGTCGCTAAACAGGACTAAGACGTCGCGTGCCGAAAAGAGAGTGGCAGAATCGCACGGCGTGCGCCTGAAGATTGATAACTGTACAAGCCAGAAGTGCGGACGCATGAGACGAGCTTGCAATGGTGCCGTGCTTAAAGTAGCAAATGCGGCTTTCAGCCGCCCAAGCCCCAGCATGACATGAGAGACATGGCCGACCAGCCGTCCGCGGCCACAAGCATGTCAATGGTTTCGTTGACCTATCATCTCTTACATATGGTGCGCGCAAGCGTCCTCCACAATGCAGAAACCCCTCCTCGTGCCCGAAGCAGGCTCAATAGATCTCCATCGCAGAAATGCCTGGGCCATGCAGAATTGAAGCTTCACGGTGGCACTGTATGCGTAAGCGCGGAAGTCTCTGCCGCGAACAGCACTAGCGTGCCGCGACATTTCTTGGCTATCATTGATTCGAGAGTGCACCGGTCCATTGCGGAATGTTATTGTCCCCTCTTGTCTCATAATAGAGCTGTCGGGTCGTCCGATTGGTGCTGGTTAGCTTGAGCTTCACTAGAGAATGCATACAGTTTCTACCGTCCCAACTTCACAGGGCACGGCAAGGAAATAAACGCCACAGAACTTGTCTTCCTCATCGTGCTTCCGTTCCAGGTCGCCAACAAGGGGCCAATCTCGATGACCAGAGTCCTACTCATTCATTCCCACTGTCCAAAGTTAAATCTTTGGGAATGGTGCCACATTGCCCGAGTAATCTCTCATTCAGCGTCCTGGGCGTTCACTGCTGTCCTACGCTCTTTTCGTGCCTAAATTTCCGTTTCTTCCATGGTGGCGATTTAGAGCTTGTTGACGTTGCACAACGCCGGAAGTAGTTGTAACGCCAGAGCAACTGGAAAGCAGTTTCAACTCGAACACGGTTGGGCTTCGCAAGACTGCGTTGCGGAACGCCTGTCATCCGTGCAGAGCACTCCATCGAGGGAGTGATTGGGTGAGACATGCTCGGCATACGCATGAGGCCCGGGAGACCTCCCGGGGGCGCCGAAGTGACCCATTCGCTGAGGTCTCCTGGTAGCAGCGAGCACTCAGCTCGTATGCGTGAGGCCTGGCAACGTCGATTGGTGAGGGAATATCTGCACTGCAATGGAAAACAGCATAGCGCTAGCACGCGACTTTGATCCGAATGAGGCACTGCATATGTACCTAGTTAGGTCATTCTCCGCCATCAACGTCACAGGCCTCCGATCGCCAACCACCCATGCCGGTTTTGGGCATGTCACCGAAAGGTAAGGACGTTTGTAGGCCTCCCATCCCGTGTTGGTACATGGTGACGCGAAGCAGGCAAGAGCAGAAGCATATAAATCTATGTACCCAGCTTTGAGTGTCCCGTCCATGCAGGCTCATCCATGTCGGATGAAAACGTGTATACCGAGGTAATGATCCCTTCGGCACCCAGAATACCCACACGATCACTTCATGACCGTGGCTCGCCATTTTCTCTACTTCTCTACTTTTCATCCAATACCCTGTGGTCTCAACCTCTCCAATATACTGCCTGAGTACGCCCTTACTGCTCCATGACGCAGAACTCATTGAGGCTAGCAAATACTAACTGATCGTCTAAATAGGCAGCCCGAGTTTTCACGAAGACTGATATCGCCAGTTGTGATCAAACAGTGAGCACATATCGAAGACAGCCAGCTGCAATACGTCAACATCCACCCAAATATCTTCGCCACGATAATCAATCCCATTAGCCAGCACAGCGAGCTCCACTTGTACTCGGTGTTGAGCTCACCAGAGAAGATGGCCCCCGGAACGCTTTCTCCCCAGCTGCCTTCCGCGCCCTACGGACTCGCCACTGGCTCCGCTTCCTCCAAGACCAGCCGCAATGCCAGCGCTGTCTACGGCCAGCATCATGATGAAGAGTACTCATCCGAGACGGTCGAGAGCCGCCAGCGGGCTATGAGCCAGCGGTTTTTCTCTCGCAAGAGCTCAATGCTCAACGTCTCCAACATTTCCAATGTCGTGTATTCGATCAAAAGACGCAGCTCTGAGGAGCTGGGGTCCAATATCTCGGCTCGACTCTTTAGCGCCACGCACGAGTCTCTACTCGAGTGGATCAGCGCCCAGCGCATGAGTGATCTGCCTCCAGAGGGCAGCAGCTATGACAAGGTCCTCGCATGGGCTCAGCTTTTCGCCAACCGCCTTCACTCCTTTGAGTATGCCATTCAGGAGTTTGCCGGAGACAGCTACCTAGCTGCCCAGCTTGCTTATGGATACTGTTCACTCCTTCTCGAGGTAAGTGTCTATGAATGCCCGAGTTGAATTCTCACGGTGTAACTAACAGAGGTCGGTCCATAGCTCGGAAAGGAGAACGCCCGTGCTCTGATGATCTCTTTTGGATTCTTCTACAGCATGTCCGTTCCGCTTCTAAACCTGCTCGAACGCATCGAAACCTTCAGTGTCTCCCAAGAGATTCGCGAGCAGCTCGTGCTCGCGTTGTCCGATCTGGTGTCCCTGGTCGCAAGCGTGGCTACGTATTTCCACAAAGCCATTGGCGAGACCACCACTTCAGTCTCGGTCAATATCTACTCCACCTTTCCGACCCAGATTAGGACTTTCCTGGAACGATGCGACAAGACGGCCGAGCTGATGTGGCAGCACCAGCTTCTGAAGGAGGGCGCCACAGAGAGCAGAGGTAGGTTCAAGTCCACGCACAAAACGTCACTAGAACTTTACCTGACCTTATACTTTGCCAGTCTCTCAGATCAGGGCGATCAAGGCATGGATCGCTCCGGAGGACCAAGTGCTGTCACGCGTTGTCAATTCGACTTCGCAGTTGGCCCATGACCGAGAAGAACTGACTTGCCTTTACATCGGGGCTTACCTGACCCGGTTTCTGAAGGGTTCGCAGAAGACCATGGCCTTGAGTGGTCCCCCCGGGTCGGGAAAGACGGTACTGGCTTCTGTCATTTTTGACTATCTGCAGCATCCCATTGCTGGTGTGACCTATAGCGCCCTGTTTGTACCAATTAGTAAGCATCATCCTGTCCAGTCCTCTTTGTCTAAATACGAAATACTGACAGTATCATAGATGGTCGCGTTCCTGGCGAGACGACTCCCCGCGCGGTCGCCAAGTCGTTGTTGTACCAGCTGTTCCAGAAACGCACGGGCAACGTGCAGCTGCTCAACATCTTGACTGAAGCCTTTGAGCGCACCGTCCGGATGACGACTGAGGACGAGTACGATAATATCTTGTGGCTGACTGTTGAGCGTGCCGTGACGGCCAACCTCCCAGGCGCCAAAGACCTTGTCTTCGTCATAGACGGTCTAGATGAGTGCTCGGCAGGGGAAGAAGCCCTCTTCAAACGTCTTCAGAGTGTCGCGAACACCAAAGGCGCAAGCACTTTGAAGCTCATCACACTGGGTACCAAGCCTCAGCAGGGTGTCCAAAACTTGCAGATCAACGAAGATCTCATCTTCGATGACATCATGGCTGTTGTGCGCAACTACTTTGAGACATCAAAGCTGTACATCTCGATGAGCGAGATGGAGCGCGAAGCGCTTGTGGCAGGGATTGCCACGGCCTCCAAAGGTTCTTTCGTCTGGGCGAAGCAGGCCTGCAAGCAGCTCCGTCGCGAGACCACAGTCAAGGAGCTCTTCTCTAGCCTGGAGAAGATTGGCAACTGCAGCATCGCCGAGTTCGTGCACCGGACTCTTACCGCGCCAGAGGTCACTTACCAGACTCGTCTGCTGCTGACCTGGCTTGTCACTGCAGAGCGGCCCCTGAGCACCAACGAGTTGGCCACTCTAGCATCCATCAACGTGGATAAGCAGAGCATTGACCATGACCACAAGATCGACGTTATGAGCACCCTGAGGCCTGTGAACTCGCTCGTGTTCATGCAAGATGGGCTGACTTACCTGCGTCACGATGTCGTTCGCAAGGCCGCTACAGAGTGTCTCAACGAGACGAAAGGGTCCATCAAGGACCGCCACGGCGACTTGGCCACACGTCTGCTCATCTACATCAACTCGACTGTCACTGATCCGCGCGAGCCCACATTGACAGTTCTGGACAGCCACTCAGTGCAGCAGCTCACGAGCAGACACACTCTGCTCGAGTTTGCCATCAGTTACTGGCCACTACACCTTCGCAAGAGCTTTGCCTTCTTGAAGCCCGACACCAGCGAGTCCGAGGCTGCCAAGCTCGTGTCCAAGGTCGTTCCCAAGAACCTCACTGTCTACCTGTTGCAGGCGGCGCTCTGGCAGCACCAGCCTCTTCCGAATCAGCTCAAGTACCACACGATGATGACCAACATCACCCGCCAGCTGCTCACAACGAAGAGCACCATCGCGCTACAGTCCATCATCTTCTTGGCACAGATCTATCGCCGGATCGAATTTACTCCAGATGCCACCACCCTCTTCTATGAGGCGACAACAGTGTCCAACTCCCTGCTCACAAGCAAGAGTCCCATCACGATGGAGCTCGCCAAGATCTTCACCGAGCTGACCAGCACGCGTGTGACTACGTCAAAGACGGACGTTATCATGACCCATCGCGAGCAGGTCCTTCTGATCTTGACCGAGTGCTACAAGATACAGTATGGTCAGAAGTCCGAGTATGTCCTGACGACGCTGAAGCTGTTGGTCGAGCACTACCGCACAGTAAAGGACGAGACCAAGGCTCAGCAGATGATCACCAAGATTCGGTCCATCAGCACCACTCGAGTTTGGTGGCGAGACCACGACCACAACCACGGCAATCGGTGACAAGAATGATACCCTTGATGGAGATCTACACGTCCACCTCCACGGCCGTAAAGACACGCAGGGTGGTCATGCGGGTAGCGGTGTCGTCCTGACGCTCGACACTGAGGAGCAGGACGAGGTCATCGAGGGCCGTGGCACGGGTGCCGCGTACGACTTTGAGTTCTTCCTCGTCAAGGCGGAGCGCTACCTCGCCGAGGGCCGCACCGAGCTCGCAGAGAAGACATACATCGAGATTTGGGAGCGCGTGACACGCGAGTACCGCGCCACGCACTCCGCGCTCTGGGAGGAGCGCAATATGAAGAGTGTCGTCTGCTACTCGCGCTTTCTCATGCAGCACAAAAGGACTGAGCATGCGCGTAGCATCCTCTGCACTGCGTGGGAGGAGTACAGGTACTCGTCGTCACAGAGCGTGATGACTGAGAGCACTTCGGCAATGTACCTTGAGATGTCCACCATGATAAAGTCAGTCGGCATGGTGACGGAATCGCTGGCGCTGATGAAGCACTGCTCGCAGTACTACCACAACACGAACAACACGTCATCTTCAGCGTACAAGGCGCTGCAGCAGAGCATCAGCAGCACCTCGCGAGAGATTGTCAAGTCGGCGAGCAGCTCGAGCTCCACGACTGTGTCTGAGACGATGCTCGAGGAGATGGTCCTCGAGCAGAGCAGCTCGACGGTCACTGTCGACCAGAGCACGTTCACGGCGACCCAGAGTCTCGTGAGGCTTTACATTGTGCAGCACCGCTGGCGCGACAGCACCCGCCTGCTGAAGCAGATCCTCCGAAACGTCTGGCCTTCTCTATTCTCGTCCAACGTGCAGGACGTGGTTGCACCGACCAAGCACGTCGAGGAGGCTGTCGAGCTGGCCGAGCGCTTGGCTGACTGCTACCACGCCCGCCGCCGCCGCGCCAAGGAAGAAGATATTCGCATCCGGGTATACCGGGCGATGCGTTCATCTCGCAAGGTCGACGACAAGCTGCGAGAGAGAGTGACGAGGGATCTTGTACAGCATCTACGCCGGACCGACGAGCATAATGAGCTGTTGATCACGGTCCGTCAGGAAATGCTCGATGACTACACCGCACACTACGGTAGTGAGCACCCCACCGTGATCAAGATGCTGTGGGAGCTGGCCGAGTTGACTCGCCCGCATCCGATATTCCTCGAGTACTACCGAAAGATCATCAAGGCTCTGCACCGCCCCAACAGCACTGATTCAACAATCACCCCCGAGGCATTCGAGCCATATGTGACTGTGGCGACTGAGCTATATAACAAGGGCCAGTTCAGCGACGCCGTGCCGTATTACAAGGCAATCTTCATGACGTTTCTTCGCCAGCCCAAGACGAATCCCAAGCTCTCCGAGCCGGCTTCGTCAAGCCAATGTTTGAACAGTACACACACTGCCTGCGCAGCGTGCGTAGCGACTTTACCCTGATTCATCGCGTAACAGTCGAGTACCAGACGCAGTGCAAGACCGTACTCGGAATGAATTCCTCCATCACGATCCGGGCCACACTGCAGCTTGCCAAGATCTGCCAGGAGTCGAAGCGGTACGAGCTCGAGGCGGTCGCTCTATACGAAGAGCTGCTCAAGATCCAGAGTGACGAGATCGACCATGCCGAGATCAGCGCCATTCTAGACTCGATCTACGAGGAGCAGGTCGACTTGGCGACTGCCACATCTGGCAGCCGCTCACAGACCCTTTCGTCTGAGCAAGCCCAGCGCGCCATAAAGGTGCTCCGCAAGCGCGTCACGACGATCCGCGAGACGCACGGCTGGGCGCACGAGGAGTCATTGTCAAAACTGTCTGAGCTGGTTCGGTTCTACAGCAGCCAGTAGACGAGTTCGTCCCAGGAGGAGACTACTCGCTCCGAGATGATTCTGTCCGAGCTCAAGACGGCAACCACCCATATCTTGAGCCAGGAGACGTCATCGACTCGACTCATCGCCGCAGCATCGACGATCGCCTCGAGCTATATGCAAGCGCATCAGGTCCAAAAGGCTACGGAGATCAAGCACGAGCTCTATCGTCAGATCATGACCAAAGACACTTCGCAGACCTCGACTTATGGGTTTGACTTGACCTCGCGCGGACGCGAGAGTCTAGTCTTCCTCGCTCAATTCGAGCACTCGCTTGCTCGCCGCCATCACAGCGTTACTGTGACCGACATCCTCGCGGAGCTGACGACGCAGTACATCTACTTCGAAGAGTTCCGCAGCCTGACCAGGGCCAAGTCTACCACGACCGTGTCTCTCAGCACAGTCGTCGGCTCAGCTGCCCGGCTGCACACCTTCCTGCTCTCCTGCGACCGCACGGATGCTGCACAAGGGGTTTTCCACGAGCTCGAGGACTACTTTATGCACCACAGCAGGGAGGGCAAGTCAGCCAAGCTGGCCAAGCCGTCCCAGGTACACGCACTGCTGCACAACCTGCTCCAGTACTTTAGCACGTACCGCTCCCACAGCTTTGTGCGATCTGTTGGCATCAGCGGCACTCGTGGCGTCGAGGGCTTACTGAAGCAGCGCAAGTACGATGCTGCCATCGACCTGGCAACCGCTACCTTTGCGTTCATTTCCTCCCAGGACGCGTACCGTACTGATCCTGATGTGGCAAAGCTCGTCCTCGTCTTGGGTCTGACTCTCGCCGACGGCAGCGGGATGAAATACAACGACCTGGTCTCTTCATCGTACCCTTCCATGTTTCCGCAAGGTTCTGGCTCCTCCCCTCGCCTGCCCTCCTCTGCCAAGCCAGGCACCCCTCCCGTGCCCGCAATCCGTCCCGCTAGCCGGAAGCTCGATGCGGGCCCCCGGGCAAGGCTGCTCGAGGCGTCCCAGCCCATCACGAGCTCCGTCCTAGGCGTCCTCGGCGACATGAAGATCAACCTCGAGGGCATCTCCCTTGTGCACCTCAATCTGCTGATCGGCGTGCTCGGCGCGCAGCGCGACTACACGAACCTGTCCTGGCTGCTGACCATCCTGTGGGAGTCGCGCGAGGCGCAGCGCAGCTGGACCAGCAACGTCATTCTCGCGCTCGGCAGGCGGTACATCATGGCGCGGTACCTCGTGGGCGACACGACGGCCGCGGTCAGGCTGGCCGAGGACATTGTGTACAACTGCCGGCGGGAACCGGCACCCCCGGACGCCGGACATGAGCGTCTTCCTCACGCAGCTGTACACGGGGATCGCGCAGAAGTATCACAATTCTGGTGGCAAGGACGGCAAGAACGGTGTCTTGCCGGGCGGCAAGGACATGGCGGCGCGGTACTACAAGAAGAGCGCGGCCGTGCATGAGAACATTCTCCGCATATTCAGCGACCCTGCGTACGCCGAGATGGAGGGCGGGCTGGACGGAAGCCTGCACTTTGACGACGGGCAGTCGACGTTCAGCGGCATGTCTAGCAGCAGGGGCAGTGGTTACTTCCATCACCACCATCACCACCACCAACAACAACAACTGCAGCACCGGTTCAGTGGGATGGTTGGCCTGCTTGGTGGGCCTGTCAGCGATGGCGATGCCCTGTCTCTGAGTGAGTCCGGCATGAGCGACGGCGAGAGGGTTCGGATGCACTTCAAGCTCCTCAAGGTCGCAGTTGAGAGGCTGGGTGCTTGGCCCAAGGACTACAAGGAGTACGAGCGGCTCAACGCTGATGTGTTCCGCGAGTATGGCGATAGCCTGAGTGGGTTTGAGGGTGTTGAACGCTGGAACCTGGGTGGTTTCGGTGGGGGCAAGGCTGAGAGCTCGGAAGACTTGCTCGACATTGAGGGTTTCAAGCACTGGGAGTTGCTCGGCGGCAACGGCAGCGAGGACAAAGCCACGACAACGACAGAGCTAGAGCTAACAGCATAGCCAGATCTATATCTCCACAAGGCGAGCCGCGTACTGATCTGCACGCTATGTAAGGCAGGCATCCCAGCGGCCGTAGGCGGTCTGGTTGCCAACTACCGATAGAGGCACTGGCTCCAGGGCTACGGGCGGTCAAATCAGCAGCGGCGGCAGCAGCAGCAGCAGTAGAAGGCTTCGGATCGCTCGTGGACCCATACGAGGCAGAGCTCCCGGCGGACGGCAGTCCAGCTATCACGCAGCTCCAGGTCCACTCCGGAGTCTGCTATATAGCAGGTAACGCTCCTGCCAAAGGAGCACGCCAATCTTCAAGGTTCGAAGGACATACGATTCTGCAGCAATGGCCACCGCTCGCAAGCGGCCTCGGCCGGAGGAGTCCACCGAAAACGTGGCCGAGTGCCCGTTCACTGTCATACCTCCGGATCCCAATGAGAAGGAGAAGAAGACAAAGCGCCGCCGTGGCGGTTCAGAGGATCGGCCCGCGCCTCCGCCAAAAATCCACCTCCAGGTCTCGCCATTCTCTCCCATCGGCAAGTTCAACGCCAAGGACAACACCATGGACCGCCACTACCAGATCGCTCCGTTTGCCAAGTGGATGGACATGACCAGATATAACAGCTTCGTTTGTACGCGCCCCCCACACCACCCCTCTCTGTTTCAATCTGTTTTGTGATGCCTGCTGCTTCGTCCTCTGACAACGCGCCTCGATACTGACATGCGGGTGCATAGTGAATGGTGTCAAGTACCACAGTGAAGGCTTCGTCTTCGTCGCAAATGACAACACTATTGAGCGCCAGACGAACCCCGGCGAGTCCCGTCAACCTAGAAAGTCGGATGACGACTGGGTCGCAAGGATTCTCGAAATTCGCGCTGCGGACGAGCATCACGTGTATGCGCGCGTCTACTGGATGTACTGGCCTGACGAGCTGCCGGCAGGCACGACAGAAGGAAAGCGGGTCATCAAGGGTAGACAGCCTTACCACGGCAACAACGAGCTCATCGCTTCCAATCACAGTAAGGAATTTTGCGCGCCCAAACTGGTGTGTATCGCGTGGATAGCTGACATTCGTCGTCTTTGCAGTGGATGTCATCAACGTCGTCAGTGTCACGGCAAGCGCTACTGTTCATCAGTGGGACGAGACAAATGAAGATGAAGTACAGCCGGCTCTGTACTGGCGCCAAGCCTTTGACGTGCGAACCATGGACCTCTCGGTATGCCATCCACATTCGCACAGGACTCTGGAAATTGCCTGCTATTGAGACGCTGCTGACTCATGTATTGATAACAGTCCGCCGAAGAACGTTGCCGCTGCAACCGTCCCGAAAACCCCGACAAGAAGCTCATTGGCTGTACCAACGAGGAGTGCCGCAAGTGGCTGCACGACGATTGCCTGGTCCACGAAGCTCTCCTCTGCACTTTCGCACGCCTCGGAACCAACAAACCTCACAAGCCGGCGCCCGTCAAGGACGAGCAAGATAATGAGACTGGCCGCCGGCCTCTGTCACCCAGCGAGTCGGGAGCAGCACCAACGGCGGAGCCTTCTATTGATGTGAAGCCCGAGGAGCAAAACACCGTCAAGATGGCTGATGTCGACAACGTGCTTCCCATCATCACGGCAGGGCGCCCGAACCAAAAAAGAGAGGCCGCGGCCGCAAATCAGATGCCCAGAAGGCAAAACCCTACGAGGGTTATTTCTCTGCCATCATTAAAAGTGACGTGACTTCGCTAGTTGTCGAGATTACTGATCTGCGGAAAGAAGTGACCGGTGGTCTCAAGGAGTGGACGGAGCGTCTTGACTGCCTTGTCTGTGGTCAGCCAATCCACTAAACCAGGAAACTCTAGCATCTGTTGGCAGAGTTTTGCTGCAGGCATAGACGACAAGGACGATAAAGGTCTGTGGACCAGACGATCGGTAGACGAGATCTCGCGGGCTCGCCAAGGTTTCGAGGCAAGAAGGAAGCCGACCGTCCTAGGTTACCTAGAGACCCTTCGCAGCATGCGTAGATAATGTTCTCAGACCTAACTACTGTCTTATTCCACCCCGTAATCGAGTCAATTTGCAGGGGTCCACATGCATGCAGTGTCGACCGTGCACACTGCGACGTCCCTCTCATATTGGTAAGGCTTTGTTCACCATTTGTGGGCGCAGTTCATCGATTTTGACCTATACAATCGCCAAATGTATTGCAATGAGAACGTGAAGCTCCTTCAGTACGGCGGATCTGGATGTGGCGAGCTTCTCGAGGAGGGGCCCATGGTGATTGATGTTGATAAGGAGATCTCGACTGCCCAGTACGTCACGGGATGATACCGCACTCAGCGACATAAGATGGAACCGAGCCGGGAGTGCCTTGCTTCCATTTCGGGGTACAAGAGCGCCAGCAAGCCGACAGCAGCACAAGCAATGTGGGTTGGGTAGGTACTGAGGGTCAGCCTGCTGGAAGCGGCGGTATACACGCGTCATTACCTTCGTGAGATCTGATTGTCCTTATTCCCATAACCTGGCCAAACTGTGGAAAGAGTTACGTAAATGGGCGTTGTTGGTTGCTTAAAAAGTCATTATGAGGTCTGATGCGTGTAGGTGTTGGCTAATATCACTTATGGACGCATGTACCACTCGCTAGCAGCACAATACCGTACTTTCGAAATGTAATCTAAGCGATCACTATGAACAACCATGACGTTCGCCTTCAAGGAAATGAAATACCCTTCGCTGGTCTGATCCCTTATTCTGACGAGATGCGGCGGGAAACACAATATCGAATAATGTCTAATCTGCAGATATTACTTCGGACGTGGGCAACCATTCGCCGTGTTTGTCATTCTTTATATACAGTTTTGACGATTTGCATACGCACATGACCGGTTTACGGGTTTCCAATGAAAGTCTAATTAAATTAACGTAAATAGCCTGTGGCTCATTAGTCTTGATACCCCTTGATCCTTTCCGCCACGTTCACTTAACGTAAGAAGCCGCATATATATACCTAGGGATCTACGTGGCGGGTGAACATAATCAGGTGCGAGGGAAGTACTCGCTTCGACTGAAATGCAAAGCCATATTACGCAAGCTTTGAAAGAGCTTGTTGCAAAGGATTGGACTGATATCCACGAGTTGGCAAGCTTTAAAAAAGAAAATGAGACGATACCCTCAAAAAAGCCAGTCAATTACCGCTGGAATCACTCTTGCGGAAGCTTAGGTTCTTTGTCAAGAATCAAGATGTAAAGAAACTGACCAAGGCTAAGGTCGGAATAAATCAGACGAACTTGCGGGCATTTTTCACCCTCGTTAGCATGCACATTACAAAAGAGTATACCAAACTCAGCATTGAGGACGCACGGGTATACTACGTCCTAGCAGCAGTAACCCATCTCTGGATTCGTTGGCGCATGAATGGAGATTAGAAACGAATAGAGGTCGAAGAATAGGGACATCAAAAAGTTCTTATACGTCAACCCTCCCGGTTTCTACAAAGTATAGCCTCAATTGGAAAAGGCAAACTGCACCAAATCACGCGACTTCAAGTTAGCGAATCTGCCAAAAGTTTTATCACTGACCTATCTAGGCACGACCGGTCACACGTAAAAACACTTCACCCTCTTTGGAAGGCGTTTCAAGAATACACCGACCGTTTAGAATAACGTACTACACGGGTGACCCGCCCACACGGGTGACCCGCCCACTTTCTCAATCTTTCTGTATAAGCTATCTTCAATCCCATATTCCTCCACCAAAAATCATGCCACAGCAATCAAATGAAGGCGACATTATTCTAGCGCTAAACGCGCTTCAATCCGATCCAAAATTAAGCGTACGAAAGGCTGCGCAGATCTACAAAGTCCCTCGTACGACACTTCGAGACCGACGACGCGGTGCACAGCAAAAACGCGATACCCGACCACCCTGCCAGAAATTGACCTCGTACGAAGAGGAGAGCATTATACGATACGTAATCGACCTAGATTCGCGATCATTTCCACCGCGACTCGGTGGTGTTCGAGAAATGGCGGATCGACTCCTCGCCGTACGCGACGCGCCGCGCGTCGGAACGAACTGGGCCTCAACCTTCGTACGACGACGACCTGAGCTCCGTACGCGTTTTAATCGAAGAATCGACTACCAGAGAGTCCTCTGCGAAGATCCGGACACGTATCGCGCGTGGTTTACGCTCGTACGAAACATAACCGCGAAATACGGGATCCACGATAACGATATCTATAACTTCGACGAAACGGGCTTCGCAATGGGCAAGATCTCCGCTGAAACTGTCGTTACAACCTCCGATCGACGCGGGAGGCCAAGAGCCGTACAACAAGGCAATCATGAATGGGTTACAGTAATCCAGGGCATCGCGTCGTACGGCTATTCGATCCCGCCGTATATTATCTTCGCGGGGAAGGTCCACCTCGACTCCTGGACCGAGAACAGCCCCCTACCGCCCGACTGGGTAATTGCTCTCTCAGAAAACGGTTGGACGACGAACGAGAGAGGCCTCGAATGGGTAAAACACTTCGATTTCCATACGAAGAGTCGTACGAAGGGTACCCACCGCCTCCTCATCCTCGACGGCCACGAGAGCCACCATTCCGTCGATTTCGAGCTCTACTGTAAGGAGCAGAACATTGTGACACTCTGTATGCCTGCGCATTCATCACATAAGCTCCAGCCTCTCGATGTCGGGTGCTTTAGCCCTCTAAAACGGGCGTACGGTAAAGAAATCGAGGGTCTTATACGGGCGCATATTACCCATATCTCAAAGGAGGACTTCCTCCCAGCCTTTTATAAGGCGTACGACGCTGCGATGACCAAGTCAAACATCCAGGCAGGCTTTAGAGCGACAGGCCTAGTACCGTACGACCCGAACTATGTGATTTCGCAGCTAGATGTAAAGCTTCGTACGCCGACACCGCCAGGTTCTGCCGGACTCCCACTACCTTGGGTCTCGAAGACGCCGAATAACCCAATTGAGGCCGAATCGCAGACGGAGTATATCAAAAATCGCATCGTACGACACCAGAATAGCTCTCCGTCGTCAATAATTGAGAGCCTACGGCAGCTAAACAAAGGAATCACAATGATGGTGCACGAGCAGACCCTTATGCGCCATGACCTCGCCGAACTTCGAGATGCAAACGACCGCCTTAGCCGCCGTCGTCGTACGAAAAGAAAACAGCTACAGAAAGGAGGGTCCCTTACAATTGATCAGGCAAAGGATTTGAAGGCTCAAATAGATGCGACGCAGCAGTTAAGGGCGGAAACGAGTCAGAATAGTGGTCGTACGAGGAGGCCAGAAACGCGCGCACGACGATGTGGCGTTTGCGGCGAGCCCGGCCATAATGCTCGTACGTGTCAGAAAGTTGTATCTGCCTCTGAAGAAGAGGATTCCTCAATAGTTTCAATTGATTTAAGGCGTTGTGGTTGAATTATCTTATACAGTGTCGTCCGAGGGCCCGGAAAGTGGGCGGGTCACCCGTGTGGGCGGGTCACCCGTGTAGTACGTTACCTGTCTTCGGCTAAGATAGTTCCCGGAAAGACGCCTAAAGAACTACTCGACGACATAGTCAGAGAATGGGAAGCAGAAAATATAATGATGGAATTTGAAGAGATGCGTGACATAACGAGCCAACCCTATCTGCAGCTTGCAGCTTTCGTAGGTCGATTCAAATTCGATCAGACCGGGCCTATTGAGGCTAGACACCTCCTGCCACTGGCCCAAGCGGTGAATAGGGTTCGCCGCAGTTCCTGGATGATAGAAAAGTCTATCTTGTCTCTCCAATTGAAGAACGCTAGAGAGACAATCAAAAACAATGTCCCGAGGATTGAGAAGGGTACGGATTCGAAGAGTGCGAGAATTATTATAAATGAGACAGGACGCCAAAGCAAGATCACGGGCAACCAAGAAATTATGGTCAAGGTGGTACCAAGATACGAATACTATCTGAAAACTGCATTTTCTGAGTTCCTGGACCATACAATCCAAAATGTACTTCGCCTTAAGAAGGAAGGCGTAGACCTGGACGTGGCCGAGGACAAGAGCGTCCTTGCTTCTCAACTTATAGAGGTCTTCCGCGAGTCAGTAGACCTAGAAACCGAGACAAGGGTTAAGTTAACACGCGACGAAATCAAAATGAGAAATCGTAGACTTCTTCAACCTGGAGCTATCCTCGATTACCCCGTAGATGCAACCTGCGTGGGAATCCCGTCCATTATAATAAAATTAATAATGATACTAGTCCAAGAACGGGAGTAAAAACCTTCTCTTCTAAAACGGCTTGATTTGGGTTGTAGAATAGAGTAGTAGTGCAACGAAAAGTTCATTACGGCGATAAGTCAAAATGGTGAATGACTTGCGAACGTTATGGGAAAGATGCCGTGTAGCATATATTACATGATTTCAGTTCCCTCGAAGCTGCACTTTACCTAACCATTACATTGACAGCCGCAAGGCCGTAGATCAGCGAGACGCAAGGACGGCACACACCTTCTGGGGAATATTGACGCGGCTGCATTTGGATGTTGTCTTTTTAGGATGGTCGTATGGCACTCAATGCGGTGTATGCAGCTGTGTACTTGAGTTTGGCACCCCCACTCGTCTGAGCCTACGTGAAGAGCAGCATTGACAAAGGGTTTGATGGAGAATGTGCACATCGAACGCTCTGGCCCTAGTTTCTGACTTACCTTAGAAACCTACTACTACAGTCTTAGGCGGGCGGGCCTACTGTCATATTCCACCCCAGAATCGAGTAAACTTCCAGGGTCTAACATGTGTCACATATACAGTGTCGCCCGTGCACACCTCGACGTCCTTCCCACTCCCACGTAGGATATGCCGGCTTAGGGCATTTATCAATTCCATGGGTTGCGAAATTGTTTGCTTGCCAGCAGACAAGACATCCATTGAGTTTGTTATTTCGCAAGTGGAGGTTGTAGCACAACAAAACACCACCTTCACAGTGTTGGTCGTTGAGTCTGCTTGCTTGCTCGCCGGCACTTGGAAAGGGAAGAGTAGTTTTTCACATATATTGACAATAGCAGACATCGCTGCACTCATAGTTCTCGCCGTTGTAGGCATATCCGTGCGGTTCTCCTCCCCGCGCTCCTGAGGACCGCAACTTGTGCAGTTGTTTGACACACGGCCCGAGCCGGGGAGCGCGCATAGGAGACTAGGATCTTTGAGACATTGATTGCCAAAAAGTCCATCCGGCCGGGTCTCCGGAAGAGGTGTGAGTGAGCCCAGGCAACCAGCCCAGCGAGGCTGGCGCTTAGCGGGCGCAACCAACCGAAGAGAAGAGCCGCGGCCCAACTTCGCAAGACACAAAAAGACTACGAAGCAAAGAGGAAACGGATTTCTTCGATTCAATTCTTACTCACTCTCAAATCCCGGCCTTCAGACATTACACATCACCGGGCGCGACAGTAAATGGCGCCCGCACCCCGTCTTCGAGTTCCGCCCAAGGAGCCAGTGGCGCGCAAAGGGCAGGGAATGGAAGACGACGCATCCGGGTCCGGTGAGGCAGGACGCCCTGCTCTTCTCTCGTTCGATGAGATGCCGGAATGGTTTCAACACGACAACAATCAGTGGATCCTTCACGGTTACCGGCCCATCTCGGGCTCGTTTCGCGCCTCGTTCCGCAGTTGGTGGTATCTCCACAACGAGACGGTCAACATCTATTCCCATCTCATTCCGGCGGTTGTCTTCCTCCTCGGCGAGTGGTATATCTTGCAGTACCTTGCTGGCAAATATTTCAGAGTCACTAGTACCGATTTTGTTGCTTTCTCGTTCTTTATGCTTACGGCGACCATTTGCTATGCATTTTCGGCTCTTTATCATACTTTGATGAACCACTCTTACACGGTGGACCATCTCTACCACCGACTAGATATGCTCGGTATAGGGATCTTTATAGTCGGTGACATTATCTTGGGAGTAGACATAATCTTTTGGTGTGAGACTGCGCTACGCAATATTTATTGGTCTATGGTTAGTTGATCTCCATAAGCTCGGCTTTTTCTGTGCCAGGACTGGTAATCGGATCTAACACTGTCTTCATCGGTCAATAGATTGGGGTTTTTGGGGCATTGACCATCATCACGAACATCCATCCCAAGCTCCAGAGCCATAAGTATCGCTCCATGCGAACACTAGCGTTCGTGGCGACTGGCGTGTCCGTTGTGGCGCCCTTGATTCATGGGCTCGATATATTCGGGCTAGACCTGATGAACAAGAAAGGCTTCACTTATACTCTGGTGGCAAAGATAGGCTGCCTTCTCTCTGGAACCGCGCTTTATGCAGTGAGTCTCCCATTTTGCCCATACAGGAGAAAACTTGATCCTAAGACACCTGATTCGAAAGATGAGGTTTCCCGAAAGTTGGTGGCCTGGAGGCTTCGACATGTGCAGCTCCCACTCATTCATGCACATCCAGGTGGTCTGCGCCGCAGTTATCCAGATGATAGGGTATCTGGAAGCCTTCGACTATGCTTACTTAAATATTACCTGCTCGGCCTCTTGAGTTACTACCTTTGTAGAGCCTCTCATCACCGGGACGAGCGGCGACCTTCCAACTTAGGTAGCGCTGTTGGAGATTCTGGCAGCAAGGTGCTTTCGGGAGTGGGCGCCATCGGATATTCGCGAGGAAGAGCGCCAGTAAGCCGACAGCAGCACAAGCAATGCGGGTTGAGTGGGTACTCAGGGTCAATCTACTGGATGCGGCGGATATCAGGAAGGCAAAACTCAATTCCTACACCAAAGCCGTGCACCAACTAAGACCGGTATAAGTACCGTGACTCCAGATTCCTGCTACGATCCTGACTCCTACAGCGAGACATCTATCTATCACCACGTGCCGGTCCTTCATCTCATCCACACTCTCTGCCACGGATCCTTTATAGTCTCTCCTGCCCTCCTTAACTCCTCTCCAGCCCAGTTCGCTTGTGGCCTTTCAAGCGCAAGTGCTTACGGACCTCGTGGCGTCGGAGATTCTTTTTGTCTTTCTTGACTTTCTCGAAAGTTGGAACATAAGTAGACTGGAGATACTCTTCACTCTGTCCATACGTCTTGCATAGACTCTCAACCAGTTTTGTCCAACCATCCCTCAATCACGTCACGATCTACGTTAGGCAAGGTTTTCATAGCTCAATAGATAAGGGAATACTTACGTAGTTCCAGAGTCCATTTATTAGCATCGTTATGCAAATTCATAAGTTCCACATCGTCCAAACCTCGGTCAAACAACTCCCAAATGTCGAGAGTGTCTTTGTGCTACTTTCTCTTGAACATCGCGCCGCGTGAAAGATTCGTTTGTGCTAACGGCACATGTCAGGGCTTGGCCTGTTGACTCATCCAGAAGGCTGTGCCCTCCGCGCCACCATTATGACGACCTTATCCGCGCATTCGCCTTTTGCGACGTCTAACAGAGATAGACGGAGCACAGCCACACAGCTATGGCGCATCTTCTGGAGCGGCAAATCGCCCTTCGCACATACATAAGCAGGCTCTACCAAAAGAGGACGGCTTTGATCTGGGGACTCATTTGTCCTGTTGCGTCAAAATTCCAATCAAGCTGACCTGCTGTTACTTTCGACATAATATTACGAAATCTACAAGTGCAGAGCATACACGCAGAGATGTAGTCCAAAAAGCGGAAACGGTTCTCAGGGTAATGACCGAAGTGCCTCCATCTTGAACCCGTGGTCCGCGATTTCAATATTATCTATCAGTGGTAAACGAACAATGCCAGGGGACAAGAGTCAGGCGCGAAGGCAAGGCCCCCGAGAATCACGAGGTTCGAGCACCCCGTTCTCTCGAAACGATAGGAGCCAGTCTATCTCCCGTGCCAGGCACCGCCACAAAACCTTGAAAGGCATACAAGCGTCGGAAGAGAATGAGAACGTATGTAATCGGTTGTTAGAGCCTGCCACTTACGCGAACTTCTGCCCATCAACACCAAGATTATACCATACACCACACTATTATCATAAAGTGACTCCACAAAACACAGAGAGCACCGTCGCCGATTCAGGACAGCAGACCTTCCCAGGATTTGAGGCAACAGATGGTATGCTCCATGATGCAGTCAGCATCATCCCCATATTGCGCGCAGCACGTATATCGCCCGTCCCGACTGCTGCGCATCTCGACCGATGCAGCCATCAATTCGGGTGTTAAACCTGCGCAAGATTTGAGTGAGCGCTCGAAGCTCTGGGCCGAGATCAATCAGTGCGATTGGGAAACAGCGAGCGCGACACGTCTCTCTCACGACAAAGCCATGCGCAAGCCTTATATCAAGTGGCAGAAGCATCTGCGCAGTAAGTTCTTGCTTCCGGACCGCAGCGCGCGGCAGGGGAGCGAAGTGGCGATAGGGATGGATATATATGATGCCTATCTCTTAAGTTCCAGCTCTTTTATACGGCTACAGGTGCGCTTTTCCTTCATCATCTGGACCAGGCAAGCACTATTGTTACGACCGGCACCGCTTTCCTCAGATCACGCAAGATCTGGCCACAATAACGTATTTCTTCTGGGTGAAAAAAGGCCCTATTGGTCAATCAGGCCAATTGATCAAGACCGCTGAAAGCCCAGACCTGAGGGTACTATCGAGAAAGTTCAGCTACCACTTCAAGGGCTATACTAGCAACACGTGGGCACGGCGCTACACTGTTTCCCCAGATGAACCACGAGTCAGGCAGTACGAATTCGTAGAGCTCGACTACGGACAAACCTTACATTTACCGGATCTACCCGACTATACGGCTCTGCACTCGACTGCTCCGGGCGGAATCGAAGTCCTTCTGGACTTGGCGTTGTATGGCAAAGTATGAACCTGTAACGACCGAGCCCCAGACACGAGACGACATGGTCACCATACACGGCGCCTTTCAACCAGCTCAGTCGCTATACAATATATCTGGCCTTCTGGATTTTGAAGGACATATAAAGCCTGCTGGATAGTAGCGGCACTTCTCTGAGCTGGAAGGCTTTGCAGCATCATACAACTCGCTACAGGAAGCAAATTCCGCTGTATCAGGGTCACAAAATCTTCACACCAGTGATTTCAAGCTACAAGGCACTGTACCTCGAGTTACGGGTTCTGCACTCGCTGTCGCCTTATCAGCAGGAGATTTCGCGGACCGAGCACGTTGTTAAGGAGTGCGCGATGATGGACTGGCGGTTTCACGGTGCATTCGCACTGCCATGGTACCATGCTTATAGTTCCTTGAGTCACGGTTTCAGACGCCTGGAAGATCCTACATCGACCGAATACAGGGAACTTTGCCAGTATTTATTCGGCTCGAATCAGCCTACTCACAAGATGAGCTTCGAGATCAAGGATATCTACGAAGTCTTTGTCAAAACCAGAGCGAGAAACGCATATGAGAACTGGATTCAGAGTCGCGAGGACCGCGACACCGAGGAGCGCCTGCTTTTATGGCATGGTACTAGGCTCTCTTCGCTGCATGGCATCTTGGATGTGGTCTGCAGATCCGACGGCCTGGCGTCTGGTACACTGGCACCATGTTTGGTGATGGTATATACCTAGCTGATTCATCGAGCAAGTCAGCAGGGTACTGTCGAACCCGAGGTAGCACTGGAGATGGTGATGCGGTTCTGCTTCTATGCGAGGCCGACGTCGGAAAAGCTCGCTTACAGAGTGAATCTTCCAATTATTTCGCTCACTCTGATATCGCGGCCTCGTGTGGCCAATACAGGTGCTTTTCAGGGCTTGGTGAACTTCAGCCAGTGCGATGGAAGAATACCACCTGGGATATGTGAAGGGCACCTGCTGCCAAAGCAGGTGTTGTGCAGATGGTAAGTTAACGGATCCTGTAATGCTAGCCTCCGCTGAGTAGAGCTTTCTGGTGAGGGATATACCTTCGCCACGACGGAAAAAGAGATATCCCTAACCAGAAAGCTCTACGCCGCCCAGAACTCTTCACTTGCTGAGTGCCTCTGGCACGAAATCACTTTGTTACATCTTCCGGCAGATGTAAGGTCACAGTCATTGAAACACCAAGCTGATGGTTTTCGTTATTATCTTCTAGCCCGACACTCGGATTCCGTATCATGCATCGAACCCGCGAGGCGATTTGAAATTTAACGAATATGTTATTTACGACCCCTCGCACTTGACCATTCGATATATTCTTCATCTGAAAGTAAGTAATTGAAGGACGGAACAAATTGAAATTCCGTAGTCCTGTTACGTTTGATAGACACTCAGCACCGGTGGACAGCTAGTAATGAATATAGAGTTGATGTAATTGAAGTACTTCGTCCTCTAAAATGAGCTATGAACGCACTCACTGAACAGGTGATTCTCTGCAGAGACAGATAAAAGACTAAATCAATCAATTCATCGATGTCCAACAAGTCTGTAGGCCTGCGAAGCAGTATCCTCGCCCAACATTGGTGTTCGATTTCTGGCACGAAGAAAGTCAAAGGTTATGGGAAAATCTCGTGTAGCCGGGCTTGTGCGGCATGCCTCAGATGCTCGTTAGAGTGTGCCTTGGGAGAAAGCTAGGCTCTAACGTGTCTGAAGGGCGCTGATCGCCGGCGCAGCAAGGCATAAACGCAAGCCTTCGACTCCATCCCACAATGCTCTCGATATAATTCAGCGCCTAATTGCTTTCTCGCGACCGATTCATGACTTGCCAGTCAAGCCTCTACTGCTGAGGCGAATGGTACCGGTAGAACCGGTCACCCTGCCGATTTGCCTCCAGAAACCCCTCCGTGTATTAGATACTTGTGATTCAAGACGACTTTATATAGGATCAGGGTTCTACGACCGTCTCCACGCTACCGACGGACTTTTCCAAAAGCCATATCTCGTGTAAAATTTTAAAGCTTCATATCGTCGTGAAAGCACTCTAAGCTCGAAGTCTTTTCCGAAAGCCTGGTTTGAGTTTCCTCATCGAGAGTTCTTTGCGAATCGGCATTGCCTTCTCGAGGCAGACGATCTCCTGATTCATCCTCCATGGACAGTGGGGCGCCACGACAAGGCAGAGTGCTGTCTATCCCAGGCAGGTCGCCACCGTGGATGTGCGGATTCGTTCACTCCTCAGCTGAAGGACAGGGACCACGCGTTTCGGACATTCTAGCTAGCGCATGAACAGGCAACAGGCTTCGATGAACGCAAGAGTGGCGAAAGGGGGTGCAAGAAGGGGGTTAAGGTGGCAGGAGGAGAGGAGAAGCGGCCAGTCGGATGATGTAAAAGGACAGCTGATCACCATCATGAAGCAACCGACCGCGGATACGCCGAGATGCATGAACTCCGCCCTGAGGGGATGCCTCGGGGCCACGCGTTTTGGACAAACCAGCAAGCGCATGGACAGGCAGCAGACTTCGGTGAAGGCGAGAGTGGCGGAGGGACGAAGCGTCAGGGTGCAAGATGGGGGTAAGTGTGAGGTCAGGAGAGGAGAAGCGGCCAGTCGGATGGCGTAAAGGCACGGCTGAACATCCATCACATGAAGCAACTGACCGTGACTGCGCCGAGATGCATGAACTCCGCCCTGGGGGAACGACGGACCGGCAGTGAAGGCCTCGGGTGTCTCCCCTGATGCAACCTCAGGAGGTGGCAATCGGCTCATCTGCCTTGCAAGTAACCTAAAAGGAGGCAGCCCTCATGCACGTTTCTGGCTGCTAGGGTGGCTGTCGTCACCTTCACATCGTTCCGCTCCTGTAATTCGCCGTTGCCATGACTCCCTCCATCCGCTTCCGCCGAGTCTGCCTTGCCGATGCAAGACTGCGCGGGTCTGCTTTGTGAAACTGCATAGACAAGACCACATATGGGCGCCAGGTGGAACCTTGGCACGCCTGCCGAGTTGGGGAAAGGCCCGGGGGAGCCAGACAAACAGTGACAAGCACAGCACTTCCAGCAAAGGCTGTCTGGGCTCGACGATCCAAGTGGAGGCAGCCCATGGTTGAGGAAATCAGCCCGATGTGCCTTGCGGAACATGTCTAGTTGAATCAACTTCGTACCTCCGTTCGTCGCCTCCCAGACAGAGGCGTCAGCCAGACATGGCACAGACTTGGACTGGACCGAGAAGCCCCTGAAGCATCAGCCGTCTGCGGTACAGGGAACGCCCCAGAGGCGAGGTACCCGGAATTCTCAGAGGCAGCCGGAAGACCCAGTCCCTGCGCCTTCACCCTGCATTCTGCCCCCGCGTAACTCTTGAGGCGGCCTCCCTTCCGTCGTGGTTGGTAACAGGGAGTGGCAGTAAAAAGCGTGCCATGACCAACTCCTGGAGCCATTGACGCTTGCGAACCTGGTCCTTCACGGGGCCATACTCCCACATTCACAAACTCCCTGAGCAACAGTTTTCCATCAACGTTATCCGAAATCTCGCAGTGTCTGGGCGATTCTCTGCGGCGATATTGCTGCTGGACGTTGAGGATCTCCAGCCGGACTTTTTCCGATCCGCCCGGGCCGGATCCATTGGATAGCAGCGCGCCTGCCTGCGTCGCGTCTCCGTCCACCCACGCAACCACGAACGCCCATTATCTTCTCGACCACAACCCACTCCCTCGTTGACATCAGATACCAAACTCCCGCATGTGCAGTCATCACTCTTCGAGTTCTCGTTGCTCTTCTCGACGTCCCTGGTGAATAGTGCATGTTGATTGGTTGGTCGGGGGCCCACTTCTGTACCATGAAGCTGCTGACTAACGGTGCAGGGGCTGAGAATCGGGTGCGTCGGTGGCTGGGCGGCAAATTTCCCACCGCCCAAAATGTCGCGTCGCGCGACCTCCCACGGCCTTCCCCGTCCTTCTCACCATCGCATTCCGTCGACCATGGCAGACCAAGCGCGGTCGCAGATCATCAAGGAGAACCCCATTGGCAAAGGACTTGATGCCTTCCGTGCTTCATTCAGTCTGATCTGCGAAGGCGCGAGCGTCCCCTGCACTCCGGACTCGCTAGGCAGGCTCGACCGCGAAGGTAAGAACGACAGCACAGCTTCGTTCCATGTGGCCCTTCTGACCATTGTGCAGAGCTGCAGAATCTCACCCTTGATCTTCTTCTGGCGCTCCAAAGCCTTCGAATCTCTCGCCTACTTCGTTCCAGCGGTAGTGGCAAGAATCTCCTGAGCGATCTCTCAAGACTCAATTCCGCTGTCAACTCCGACGACTTCGACCTCAACAGCATCAAACCTCTTCTGAATGCGGCTCTTACCGACGACCCGGACGACGCAGTTATCTGGAATGAAGTCTACCACGCCGTCACCGAATCCACTCCGCCGCCCCGACCGACAGCATCATCCCTCCACCAAACCCCTTGGCTGCACAACACGAGCAGCTTCGCGAACTCCTCCGAAGGCCGCAAAGATGTGGACAGAGTCCTTAAGTTGGAGCTTGGTCCTCTCTACGTCGGGCTTCCTCGCTTCTGCGAGACATATTTCGGACGTGTGGCCGGTCTTGAGACAGCTGCCGCGGCCGTCTTCAAGGAATGCATGGGAGGCAGCAGTCCGCTCTTCAATAAAGGCTGGATTGGATGGCCAAAAGACGCAAATCAGGACGACGTCTTGAGCTGGTTTGCGGACTTGTGCGAGAAGCTGGCGGCCTTCGCAGAACACCACAGGTCAAACCCGGCATGTCGACGGAGACCATTGGCACAACCCAACAAGCCAATCCGCGGTTCCACAGGGGAACGCAAATTGGACGTCGGCTTCGTGAACGACACCAAGGCCGATAAGAATTCTCGATGCCACTGGTCGCAGGTCCTCGTCCCCGGCGAGCTGAAAAGCAACCCATCGGCCGACAAAGCGTCCAAGGCATGGCTTGATCTTGGGACGTACGCGAGAGAGGTTCTCGCTGCTCAAGACACTCGTCGGTTCGTTTTAGGCTTCACCATCTGCGGGTCTCTCATGAGGATATGGGAGTTTGACCGGCTGGGGGGGGTCGCATCCGAACAGTTCGACATCAACAAAGATGGACTGCAGTTTGTGTCCACGGTCCTCGGCTTTCTCTGGATGAACGAGGAGGAGCTTGGGTTCGATCCGACAATCATGACGGCAAACAACGAACGATTTATCGAGATCGAGCGGGAAGGCGCGACTGAACGCCTCATCATCGACCGGGTGATGCAACGCGCACGTTGCATAGCTGGTCGGGCGACGACTTGCTGGAAAGCCCACCGCGAAGGACATCCACAGTCACCGCTTGTCATCAAAGATTCGTGGCAATATGCGGAACGCGATGAGGAAGGCGAACTGTTACGCGAAGTGACCGGCAAAGGCGTCGTCAACATGGCCCGATATTATCACCACGAGACTGTCCAAGTTCACGGTACGGATGACGATATTCGAAGCAATGTTCGAGGAGGACTGGATGTTACAAGAGCTACGAATTACCGGCCGGAACGCTCGATGCCTCCACCGAGTACCACCATGTCTGATGCTTCGCGGAAAGGCCGCAGCAACAGCATCGCTGGCAAGAAGCGGTCTTCGAGCCAAACTGGCGCCGCTCTGCCCCCCAGCAAGCGATCCTGTTCGACATCTCCAACGAAGGCTAGTAGCAACGCCATGTCAAACCGGGTGCATCGACGTGTCATTCTTCAAGACTACGGAGAACCCATCTACAACGCGAGCTCCCGATCGGCTCTCCTTGCCGCACTAGAGGGTTGCATTGAAGGACACGAATCCCTGCGCAAAGCCGGCGTCCTTCACAGAGACATCTCCATCAATAATCTCATGATCAACGAGGACGACGACAACATCTCATGGCGTTCGTTCTTGATCGACCTGGACCTCGCCGTCAGAGAACAACGCGAAGGCGCCTCCGGAGCGAAGGGCAAGACCGGCACGAGAGCGTTCATGGCAATTGGAGCACTTCTAGGGGAGCAGCACTCCTTCATGCACGATCTTGAGTCGTTCTTCTGGGTGCTGTTCTGGATATGCATCCACTACGACGTACATGGTAAAGACATTGGGCCCACCGAATTTGACAGTTGGAATTACGAGAGCGACAACAAGCTGGTTCGGTCAAAGGTTGGTACGATCGGTGATGAAAGCATCTTTCTCAAGATCGCAGAAGAGAACTTTACACCGCACTACCAGCCACTGATTCCGTCCGTCAATAGATTGCGGAGGAAGGTATTCCCGAGCGGCGAGAGGTGGAAGAGGCCGGAGCCGGAGCTCTATTCTTTGATGAAGGAGATTCTTCGCGAAGCCCGAAAGGACCCGAAGGTGGCGGCGAACAAATAGCGTTATACCATAGTTTGTTGGCATTGCACACAGATCGTGTTGACTCCTTCCCGCCGTCACGGCCGGCCATCTGCCTCGGCACACCAAGTTCAATGCCGGTGACGACGTGATATCGACGGTTGCCTGAGGGCATGGCAGCGCTCCAGTTGGAAGACGCCGCCCGGTGGCGTCCCTAGACAGCAGACCGTCCTCAGCAGCCGCCTCGCGCGCCTCTCTGTTCGGCGAGGAAATGGAAATGGGGCCGTGGGTCTACGCTGCACGACGGCTCTCGCAGGGCCGAGAATCCGAAACTATGGGGCCAGGGCAGGGGTGCATGGCGGGGACGGTGAGGTGGGCAATGCCCCGCCGTCAAACGCAGCCGCACAGGCGCCCTCTCGATGACGCGTCAGGGCTCGTCGTCGTCGACGTCCTCCCCTCAGCAGGTTGGTGCCCGGTTGCTCGTGTCGGTCGCTGGCGCTGGTGTTAGATTGTGTATGGTCTCATCGAACTTTTCAAATTCATTACGACGAGGTTTCGGCGCTTCCATTTCCGTTGAGCGCCCCAGGTTACAGGCAAAGCGGGTGGAGAGTTCCAAGGATGACAGACCGAACATAAACAAAAGTCTGGGATGGTGTACCGGGGTGGCAGCCAATAGGCATCAAGATAGTTGCAATCGGGAGCAAAATCCTCATCAGAATGCAACTTCTTGCATTGTGATTGGACAGCGTTCCCAATCTGACGGAGGAAAGGTTGGGGTTTCGATACACAGGCACGAGGCTGCTTGATCGCGCAGCGGTTCGTGCAGCAGGCCGTACTCCACTTCCAGCTTCTTCTGCTCCTCACTAATCCACCTGACTAGCTCTTCGATCTCCACTTCGTTTTCCTTAATCTGCTCCAGGCGCGCATCTGTATGAACCAGGACAATGCCAGATTGTCAAGGCTGTGCATTATCGCGAGGGCTTGGTCGGCGAGCTCAGCCAGAGTCTCCATCCACACCTTCTCCTGCTCCGCGAGCTCCTCTCTCCGGCGCGGGTCGTTGTCGTAGAGTTTGACGTTCGTGATGATGGCGTGGAAAGCTTGGTGGCCTTGACTGCGCCCTTCTCCTCCCAGCGGAGTAGGACCTTTCTGTCATCTTCTCCACAACGCCACGAGAACTCGAAAAGGCCTCTCTTGATGGGTGCTCTGCTGAATTCGATGCTCTCTGGGGTGGCATTGTTGCTTTCCACGTCGGTGGGTCGTCGGCTTGGCCGCGCTGGTTCCTGGCGGGGGCTGCTCATGCTCGACTGCGGTGAGCGGCGCGAGTTCGGCATGGTGACTGGTAATAGGGGGATGGCTTGCTGGTGTGCTCTGTCACGCGATGTGAGATTCTCGATGCTCGCGTTGGAGTCTGCTTCGTTCGGTTCTGGCAAGGAAGCGAGCATGATGATGAGGCGTGAGAAAGACCTGCGTCGAGCTCGGAGCCCTCTATCGGCATCTCAATGTCTTTGAGCCCCGTAGTTGAGGTCGCATAGCGGCATGGAAGACAAAGGAGTCCCTGTTATGCAAAGCACTTGAGAGAGAGAGAGCCTCGATTCCGCTTGCGACAAGTTACACCCTGCTGTATGCAGCTAACAAAGCTGCGCGAATGTTGCGAGCGGGCACAAGAGGCAGCGAAAGCTTTTGGCGAGCCGCTTGTACCTTATGGCTGAAATTCACTCTCTTTGACCCAAGCGCATGGAACTATACAGGTCATGCCAACTGTGCTACCCGGCGCTTTTTCTCGTTCTCACCATTGTGGAGTTGTGTTGCTACACCTGCCCGCTACACGAATAAAACAAAGCGTGACCTGATGTCACACATCTATGATTTGCGTTGCGATTCTAGTGCAACCAACGTCTCCGTCGGGGAGTTACCAATATGGCCAGGGTAACCCAGCTGTGGGGGCGGGCGATGGGTGTACTTCCGCTACCGTACCAAGCTTGATGGGCTCGACATATCAATCTCTAGTTGCCGGATGCTCTGAGGGTGTGAAAAGATGCAGGGTTGTCCCTATATAATTTATCCCTTCCTGAAGGTACTCAATGAAGCGACGTCTAGCCACCACCAGCGTGACATGCTGCACGGAAAGAGTCACAGAAACATCCGAGAACCCCTGCCGTGGATCGATCGAGGGCATACGCATAGGTAGGCGAGTGGGGTGGGGTCTTGATGGCTCGGCCGCTCCCGTGGTGTCATATGCGCCGCGGCCCATGGAGACACCTGCCAAGTCGTGTATGACGCTTGCGCGACAGCAAACTCGCGACACACGTATGCACACCCTTGAGAACCCTATGTGATGATAGTCGTATTTCCGTGTCTATATACGTGGGCTGGCAAGTTCGACTATTGTCGAGAGTCGAGACAGGCTTCCCAAAAGTGTAGTGCCGATCCGCCAACACAATGCAATGGCGCCAAGTCGATGTGCATACCAACGGTGTAACCCCACGGACTAGAGCTGGCGAGCGTAATAACAGACGATCCTTCCGCGGTCAGCGAATTTCCACATCTTCAGCCTGCAGGGCCTAACAGCAGACCACCTCGCGAGTCCTGCCTGTGCGTATGTAGAGAGCCGTTGACACAATGCGAGCAGCAGGCGCCATACTGGGGATTCGTCGCAGAATAGGGCCAGCCGACGACGTTGAAGACTGAGATTGGGTGCTGTAGGGAGGAACGAGAATGGTCGGATGGTCGGTCTCGAATTGGATAACGGCTGCTTGCGAGCTCGAGGTTATCTGTTAGACAGACGCGTTAGTATACAATAATTGGCAGTCCGGACAGGAGGGTTGATATCCCGTGCGTAACTCTGATGTTGAACCTCTAACATGGTGAGTGACATTGATCTCGCGGGCGGGAGAGGGGCCGGCGGCGCCTGCGCCAGCATTGCAAGAGCAATGCAGCTGTGGGGAGCAGGGCTACGAACACGCCGACGATGGCGATCGCGGACTCTGCACTGAGCGTCATGCTGTTGTGCAGATAGTGGCCGGGTGATAGGGGGAGCACGTGTAGTTTGTGCCGAGTGGAAAAGGTACAAAGGGCTCTCTGATGGGTGCGGCGAGATTTATCTTCAGATCTGACGTGACGAGCCTTTCCCATCATCCCTGCAGCAGACCTTGAATGCAAGCTCCCGTCACGCTTTGTGCCCTTGTCGACAAGTGTCAAGGCCAGCCACCTCAGCCGTGGTGCATGCCAAGCATACATGACCCTCGGAAGATTTCCTGGCTCCAGCCCAGTGTCCTTCTCCACTGGCCTTTACGCAGATGCAAGCCTTGCAGGCAGGGCAGGTGGAGCTGCGACACTTGTGGACAAGATCCCCGCCGCCCGCGAGCTCCAGCGATGGGTTCCCGGCGATGAATATTACCGTAGGCGTTCCTTGCGGCGGCTGTCCTTCCTGCCGAGCGGACCGCAGTCCTCGGTGTCGTCAACATCGTCAAGACACTGGCTCAGACAGGAGGAATCGGGTCGACAGGTCTGCTCGCGAACGCATCCCTGTGGATTGTCGCGCTGGGAGGCGCTGGCTTGATGAAGGCTGCCTATGATGTTTTCATGCTCTGGATGTTCGTGCACACCAAGCGGAGTTGAGAAGGACATGGAAGTTTATATATTGGACACAAAGCTCTTCCGGTATCAGAGAGCACCAACTGCCCAGTCAGTCACCACAGTTGCCCTAGGCACTTCCCAGGACACAGATATAGTACATTGGTAAAGCGGCGCCCTTCGGGGACAGACCACTGTTCGCCTAAAATGCCCCTTGCACGCCTGGCAACCAGGTTCAAGTCATCACCACCCCAACAAAGGACCTCTTTCCCACCCTCGTTAGATACTTGTGATGCTCAATCTGCCCAATGGCGACGATTATGAGCTGCTCGATCGCGTGCTCGTCTAGCCCAGCCCTCCAGATCCGGATGCTGCCGTTGCTCTGGCTGTCGTCGATGGCTGCCGACATGACGAGGCCGTCGGCCACCCCCGTTTCGCGCATCTCCCACGACGCGCCGGCGTACAATTTCATGGGGGCACCGGTGTCCTTACGGCACAGCATGCCCAGCTTCCCACGCGAGCACTCGCTGGCATCGAACTCCTGTGTGTTGATGTAGAGCTTAACAATGTCGCGCTGCTGGGTCCTCTCAATCTCAATGTACGGCTTCGTCGAAAAGGTGTGGAAGTCGATCGTGGCGAGCGTCGTGCCCTCCGACGCTGACTCTCCGGTCTCCTTGTCTCCCCGACCGGTGCGGGTGACGATACACTTGCTGCCCCATGCCCCGAGCTTGGCCTGTCGCTCGACCTGCCACTGCGGTGTTGTGTCTCCCGCCACACGAAGTATGCGCCGGTGGCCGCCTGTGAGGGCGGTGTAGTGGACTTCCACGGCTGGACGGGCGCCGCTGCTCAAGCGTGCGTCCGGAGTTACGTCTGCGCGGGTAATGAACTTTTCCATCCACGCGGGCGGCATGATGAACGATGGATGATGGATTTGAAGAGGAGGAATAAAGTGATGGTCGGTGCTGTCGACTAGAATGCTGTCGACTAGAGTCTGATGTGCTGAACAAGATCTTGTGAAATGAACAGTGTACAGGGCTTATATAACAACGTCGACGGTTGAATGCTTCTCCCTGGCCCTTGGCTCCTCACCCAGCAGAAGGTATTCAGACCATTTACCCGGGTATGCTCTGCTCGTCCCGGGTTGAGAACTGAGCCCGGGACTTCGGCCGGCAAGCGCCGTGTCAGACACAAAGAGGGCTAAGATACCCAGGGGACCCCAAGCATAATCTCCGCTAGCGGCCCCTCGTCCAGCTATTTATAAGTCTTACCCAACATCAGTTGTTGCGGGTACAGTATAGGGCTACGTAATAAGATGACTGCAGCGCCGGGATACTGACTCTCAACGCTCAGCCGCAGCTGTCCTATAATCTCGTACGATCGTTTCGGAAGACACTCCGGCTTTTCTGTATGTATAGCTCAAGATTCTATTAGTAGATTTGCTAGCCAGCACTTGCTCCGTGCACGAGCAGGAGCACGTGCACGAGCCCAGGGATTCCGGAAACGTAGATAAGATCTAGGACTGGCTCGGCAGACTTGGAATATGCCACGCCATTAATGGATTACAACCTCCCATCACCCCTGACAGTCGCTCGTGTCCTCAGCCCTGCCGCGTAATAAGGACGACCCTTGAAGTGGAGCCCCTCTAACGGTGAGCCAAGTGTTGCCGGAATGGGAATCGTTGTGGCTTAGGAGGATTTCCCAACGTATGATAATCCATGATATAGCACACTGTCCGGAGAGCAGCCAATGCTACTAGAGTGTGCAATGGGAACCAGCTCGTTGCATTGTGCCTGCGTCGGCCTCAACCTCGAAAGAAACTAGTGCAGTCTCTCTCGTGGCCATTATCGGCTCCTCGCTGCTCGTGGGCTTCGTCATGACTCCGTCTCGCTTAGAGTCTCTCCCGACATGCCAGGAAGACATTGGTCTGTAGCTGGCCTGCCCATCATTCCGGCGGGAATCGAGGCTCGAAATCCCGGCGGGGCCATAGTGAAGGCTGAGTCAGCAGGACCCCTGTCGGGGGTTTTGAGGCCGGACATCTGGAGGCCGAATGCCCAGGCAAATCTGGCGGCGCCGGGGACCCCAAGCCGCTGCAACGGCCCCCTTTTAACCCTAGCCCCTTTTAACCCCCCCCCCCCCAACCCCGACCCCGAAACCGACAACACCGTCACACACCCAAACCGACCTACAGGATACCACGGTAATCGATACTCGGTGAGAGGGGAGTGAGTGGGGAAGAAGAGAAAGAAGAATAAGAAAAAGGAAGAAAACAAGAGAAGAGTCGGGACAGCCAGGCCGCGCGACGGGATGTATTAGCACAGCGACAAAGACAACGACCTCCTAGGGGCCGAGGGTGCGAGTACGGGCGTGCGGGTCGCGTGCTGGCGAGGGACCGACGGCGAGGAGCGCAGGGTACTGGTGTGCCGGGACTGCCGTTCGGGCCTGCGCCCGGGCAGCGGGATCGAGACGCACCTCCGACAGGTGCACCGGCGGAAGGGCTCGATACTGCGGCGCGCAATCGAGTGCAGCTGGCTGGCCGAGCCGCTGTCGGATCCGCGGTCGGTCGAGCTCCCGGGTGACGGCAAGCCCGCCGTGCCATGCCTGCCAATATTAGCTGGGTACAGCTGCGTGCGGTGCCGGTTCCTGACCATCAACCGCAAGGTGATCCAGGCTCACCATCTCAAGGCCGGGCACCAGCCGCCAGGGCCTGGCACGGGGCCGCCGGGCTGGACTGAGGTCAGGCTGCAGACGCTGTCAGGCGGCAGCAGCGCCAGGTACTGGATCGTCAAGCAGGCGGAGCACGATAGCGTCGCTACTACGGCAGGCAGGCCAGGCACCTCGGGATCGGGATCGGGTCTCGCCAGCATGCTAGAGGCACGGCTTGCGAGATACGAAGAGGGCCTGGCTGCCGAGCTGGAGGAGACGCGCCGGACGGCAGACAGCCGGCAGGGAGCCGACTTCGAGTCGACGTGGGTGCGCGAGATGGGCTGGGCCAGGCACCTATCCGGCAGCGACCTTGGCGAGCACTACCTACTGTCTTATTCCACCCCGTAATTGAGTCAACTTCCAGGGTCTAATATGCCCCACATATGCAGTGTCGACCGTGCACACCTCAACGTCCTTCTCATTCCCACGTAGGACATGTCATATCCTACGAAAGGCCTGTGCACGTAGCAGATCCGTCTCATTCCACTCATTCCAGCCCCTTTTCCCAGCGGATTTGAGTCCACTCTTAACTCCAAATTTGCCCCAATTCTTCCCCAGATACGACCCACAGACAGTCCAGAATGCCGGTACTACGAAGACGACCTACAGTACGACGATGCAGAACCGATCGCGAATCAGACCAGCTACGAGGCCGGAGGGCGATAGTAGTCCCGACGAGGTCCTCACGTACCTACAACTCTCCGCCGATCTAGAATATCACGTCCTCATCTGCTGCAGAATCGAGTGTCGACACGCTATCTCACCAGATGGAGCCCAAGTGACTGCACACCTCTGGAACAAGCACAGCGTTCCACTAGCCGACCGGTTAGGCCTCACGGAGCATATACGCGATAACTACTCTCAAGGCTTTCGTAAACCTACAGATGCAGCCCTGCCGCCTTGTGGTTCCAAGCCCCATCAGGACCTCCAGACCTATGATGGCTTCAGCTGCCGCAAGTGCGTCTTCTTCACAACTAGCTTCCACGAGCTTACAAGGCACCTCTCTCATAACCACCTTCACGGGGAAACCGCGACCCGGCCGCGAATTGGCCTTCTCTACGACGACGTTTACCTACAGTCTTGGGCGGGCGGGCCTGATCGACGATATTGGACCGTTACTGGTGCAGATGGGAGTACAGTCCGGCCAGTGCCCGGCCGTGAACCCGAACGGCATTCTCCCAAGGCGCCTAGAAGGCCTATTGTCTCGGACTTCGACATAGCAAGGAAAGACCCGCATGATAAACGGACTGCTATCTCTCAGAGCAAGCCATGGCTTGACCGGACGGGATGGCCTCAGATCTTCGAGGGCGCCAACTGTGCAGTACTAGTAGCCCTCACAGCTGCACCTTCGAACCCGCCTACTAGGCTCCTGCACCTTGGAAAGGGGCTCCATCCTGCGACCGCTCCATACATCAGCACACGAGGAGATGAGGTGAAGATATCTGGGCTCATTACTATGGCCGACTGGATACTCTCTCGCTGTGAGGAGACAGCCCGCGGAACGTCCCGCTCGGTCCTCTGCTGGTTCCGGAGCCTTCACCCGGATAAGATATATCCAAAGCCATTCACTCTAGTATCAGCAAAGTCTAGCCGACGCAGATATCTGCGGGTCTTCCAGCGTTTCATAGCCTTCGTCTTCCGTGTTTATCGCTTACCAGACTTTCAGCGTCACGACCTTCTCTCCGTCCGATTTGACTCAGAACAGCAGCAGCTACTTCGAGCTATCTGGTTCCACGAAGCCTGGAGTGGGGAACAGCTTCTTCGATGGATTCTAGCCGGGAAACCGGCTTGTCAGCCACGGTTAACCCCTACGATGGAGCGGTCTGCAACAAAAACCAGCCAGCATCCAGAATATAAAAGAGAACAGAAACGTAACACGTCAAACCTCTCCTCGGCTAAACCACAATCGAGAAAACGGTCATTTACTACCTATCAGCAAGCCGCCAAGATTGATTTCGGACGGGCGAGTACGAGGAGTAGTCAAGATATTGACGAGGACGAAGATGAGAGCGACTATTTTGACGAGGACTTGAGCGACTCGGATTTCAGCGACGGACACAGCGAAACAGGGGATAGTGTCCAAAACACTAGTATTCCTAAGCATCAGGCCAGCTTCTTCGAACCACCACTAGGCCGACTTCTCGAATTACTCTTCAAGCTAGCGATCACTTTCTGCACCGAGGACTTCATCGACGGCCATCCCAACTCAACACATCTCGTCTACTTCAGTAGTATTCTCGGCATTAAATCCGATAGCCAAGGGTTTCGAACGGCAAGGCTGTATACTCCGACCCTGTCAGCCTTAATCTATGTGCAGCGGCTTCTCTTCCTGGAGTATGCCCTCCCTCTCGAATCATACGATCACATCGGAATTCCTCAGCGTCCGCGATACCGGCAATTTGAGCGGCTTGATTCCGTACGACATAGGTTTATGCTAACTAAGTCAATGACCCCCCTACCCGAGATGTTGAGCCTCCGTGACTACGGGAGAGTGATAGCTAGAACAGACACCCCATCCTATTTCCTTTACTGGAGTGACGATTTACAGACTGTGTCGTACGGAGACTCCTTCACTATCTCTACGGGCGCCTTCCGACAGCTGTCAGCATACTTCATTAAGCTTGCAGAGGAGCTCTGCGAGGAGCCTATGCTTGGTTTACAGGTGGACGTTGATCTCGCGAAGGTCAAGGACGACCTAGTTAACACTATAGATGGGTTCAGTTTCGTCAGCCATCCCTATAATAAGCTGACCCATGCCTACGTTCAGCTGTTCAAGCAGGCTTGTGTTCCTGCTTCTGGGCTGTTCGACGAGACGAGCGGCATATGGAAAGCAAGCGCAGTCTTACGATACCAAAGGAAGGCAGAGAGGCTGTTGGAATCCCTTGCAGGCTGCATCCACACGATAGGCGGCCAGACTGGGCGATCACCAGAGCTTTTTAGTCTCACATACCAGAACAGCGCACTTGGTGAACGCGGTTTATACATCTACAACGGCTCGGTAATGACGCTTACACGGCATCACAAAGCTAAACGTTCAACCAATCGGGAATTCAACGTTGCGCGCTTCCTTCCTCTCCGAGTCGGCCGAGTTGTGTTCCGATATTTGGCGTACATCCGTCCCTTCGTTACAAGACTGAGACAAGAGCCGGCCTTCATGCAGAGATCATCAGCGGAGCGCATAGTCTCGTCGCCTCTACTCTTTACCTCAGATATTGATGGTCTAAGGCCTTGGGACGCGTCGAAACTTTCAGCTATCTTCAGGAAGGCGACATCCATATGCTGGGATACTTGTGTGACCCCTCAGCTGTACCGACAACTTGTTATTGGAATAACGGAGAAGCACGTCGCGGAAATCGCCACGCCATTTAACCGGTACGATGACATAAGTCCAGACGCGAGCATCAATGCCGTCTTTGCCTGGCAGAGCAGCCATCGCCCTATGCAGCGCGCGAATACATACGGACTCGATGGGGCTTTCCCCACGCAACTCCAGCCAGCCCTATTACGTATCTATGAGTGGGCGTCGTTTCGCTGGCATGAGTTCTTACGTCAGCCAACAGCTAATTAATCATGTCCATTGCCGCACTGGGCTTGTAATATAACAGCCACAATGGATACTTATCTGGCTTGTTTCAGGACTGCATACTCTGAAGGACCTGGATTCCTCAATCAGCACGACTCGAAGCCTCAAGTAGCGAAGCTTTATAACTCATCGCTCTCCTTCTAACCTGGAAAACTCTTAGTACGTATTACGGAGAATTTGCGGGCTACGTCGGGTGCAACACCACCGCCCTCGACGACGCCGCCGCCATCACGTGTCTGCAGTCCATCGACACCCTGGAACTCACCAAGGCGTCACAGGTCACATACCGCGGAACCTGTGCCGACGACATTTGGCTGCCCAGTATCGACGGGGACTTCTGGCCCGACGCGCCCTCGACGATGCTTCGCGAGGGCCGCTTCGCCAGGAACACCAGCGCCATCATCGGTTGGACGCAGGACGACATAACGCTGTACACGTCCCCCTCCATCGCGTACGCCGAGGAGACGTACAATTCGATCCGCGCGAGATACCCCTGGCTAAGCGAGACGAGGCTCGACGCGCTCCTGGCGCTGTACCCGGTCGCCGAATTCCCCGCCAACACCACCGCGAACCGCACGAGCGAGTCGTACCGCGTGGCCCGGATCTGGCGGGACGTGCTGATGGTCTGCCAGCCCATGTACGTCGCCCAAACCCTCTCGGCCGCTGGCAGCGACGTGTATCTGTATGACTGGAACCAGACAGTAACCGGCCCGGCGCTGGCTGCGGTGCGGGGTCTGTACGGCGGCGGCGTGCTGCACACGGGCGAGTTCGCGAATACTTTTGGCAACGTGTCCGTGTATGTCGTCAACGGGGTACCCGTTCGCTCCTGCGCCGGAGGACTTCGCGCTGCAGCACCGTGGCGCGCGGTCGTGGTCGACGTTTGCGAACACGGGGAGGCCGCGGATGGAGGGGAAGGGTACACTCGTGGGGTGGGACAGCGCGTTTCCAGGCTCCAAAGATGAGCCATTCATCTGGATCGCGGGCGGGCCTAATGAATGGTTGTCCGCTGTCGATGGGCCGGGGGCGAGGCCGGAGATGGCGGAGCAGAAGCTGCACCAGAGATGTGCGTTTACCAACTCGCCCGATATGATTGAGCAGCTGAGATATTAGTTACAGTCTCGAGATCTCATGGCCAGGTGCGAGGCGAGAACGGCACTATTGCTCGGAGCAGAGACGAAGTCAGCTTGACATTGACTGTCGTAGAGCTTAGCATGATCAAACTCTTTTTCGGCACATTAACAAACTCTTTCTCGGTGTCAAGATTTTCAACGAAGCTGCTTGCAGACGGTCGCTGGCGTGCGACCACCCTTGACCAATAAGTCCACTCTCTCCTGGATCGGCGTGACCAGAAGGGCTATCATGCTGCATCGGATCCGCGCCACGTTCTCTAGCAAGTGCCTATCAGCGATCTCATCATGACCATCGTAAAGCCTGGCGCTTGAAATAGTGCGGACGACTCACCTGCTAGATTTGGCGGCAGTGGGCGGTACCAGTAGGAGCCAAAGCCTGAGCCTGGAACATCGACGACAAGCCTCGTGGCTGCCCTGATGTAGCTGTCTGCACAGCCCAGCTGGTAGAATATTGTGACATTGAGCAGGTAAGGTACGTACTGGTGCTCCCCTGGACCGCTGAGTAAGCATTCTGGGCTCCCATGGAGCATATAAACCGAGCTTCAGAGCTCGTGGTCACTCTTTTAGAGCTTTTCCTTTAGACAGATGACTATCAATTACCACTGTTCAAATCATCCATTCAATGCTCTCTCAAGTGTGCTGATATCCATGCCGTGATGCGGCACGCCGAAGAAGATGATGCCGCGGATGGCCCTGCGGATCTTCCCCGAGCCGCCATCGACCTCACGTCTGAGGAGGAGGATGGTCTACCTTGGTTGATCAATACGGAATGGAACGGCTAAACTGCGGGGCATTCTTGATCCAGATAAGACATACCTCTTTCAAGATTAGTCCTCCCAGACTGTGGGCAATGATAAGCATGGGTCGTATGGGTTCTTGCTTAGAGACAATACGCGAAAGCGCGGTGCGAAATTTCTTGGCAAGGTCATGCAAATTTCTGGAAGCTTGTACTGCCGGCCACGGCCGAGGCGTAGCCGTATATCATGACACGAGCCATCGGTTGGCTGGTCTGCTCCCCGACAAGGTCGCCAGGCAGCGCGTCTCGCAGCCACATGTGTTCGCCGCCGTGCTCTTTGAACGAGCCGAAGGCATGGCCACCGAGGCCGGAAATGGCGACGACACTGGTTTGCAATCAGCACATCTACAAGTCCACAAACGACCATGTAGGCTGGAAGATCTTGTGGGCGCGAGGACTGACTCGAGCTGGTGATCCTCCTCTGGCGGTCTGAACAGGGTAGTGAGACCCAAAATCTCATCGTCGAGAGCTAGTGCGCTGCGCCCTCGAGGATGCTCTCGGCAGAGTCGCAGATTCTTCGGTGGCGCCAGGTCGTCTTCGAAGCTGACAGTTGCCGTCTGCTTGCTTCCGTCGTACTCGAGAGCAAGCGAGTCGACTTGTAAACTAGGGATTTCCTCAATACCGTCCCACAGGTGTTGTAGGCATTCGCGGTTACAGCCAACAGGGAGCCCACGAACACGCCACGCTTTTCCCTTGATTGCGGCCATTGTGCTGTGGATGACTCGAGGCTGACCATTAAGCGGTCGCTACGAGGTGCGGCCTGAACGAAAGATAAATGGCGAGCGCAGGTTGGTTGCCGCAAGAAAGTGGCATTCGTGAATGATGAAGAGCTCGAGATTGTGTTGGCGGTAGTGACAAAGACCTGTGGGCGGACGAGAAGACTCCTCATTTCGCCAAGTCATACCCCCCTGCTCGCTGAGGCTGAGCAAGGATGAAAGAGGTGCAAACCTCATCGACCGCCTCGCATTGTCATTGCCTACATCCGCACTGCGTTGCAATACATCCTGGAGCCTGCTTCTATGCAGTGGCCGATGACGGACCTCTATGATTTGTCTCCGAGCTGCATGAAGCCCCCCCGTCCCAGAACACGCTTGATCAAGAATATGGGAGCCTTATCGCCCAAATGCATGCAATATGCGATGAGCATCCTTGTCCTCGGCAGCCAACATGGTGGGTGTCCTGCACGCGTGATTGGTTCGGGAACGGTGCTGCTTGAAGACTGCTGCACGCTGCGAAGTCTGTTTCGCCGATCATCACCATGCGCAGCCTGCAGCTCTTAGCGTGGGCCAAGGCTGACTGACTGACGTGCGCTCTACCTAATGCTAGATGTCAGCAACTATGGCGTCAGGAAAATACTGCGTGCCCGAGTGGCGTGGACGACCACCGCGTACTCGACTGAAGCTGTGTTTTCTCATCCCAGTCGAATTATGCCCCAACCTATTTCTGCCGCCACTAAATGAGCAAGATATCGTCCAGAACTAGATGACGAGATGATTGATTCTCGACTGAAAACCATGGACCCGCCGTTCTCTACAGACACCACTCTTCGGAGCTGGCCAGACACCACTCTTCGGAGCTGGCCAGTGGCAGAGGATGAGCTCCCAGTCGCTTTCGAATGCAACAATCAATTGAGAAGCCCCGAATCCGACATTCAAACATTTCTGGCCGTCGACTTGCAGACGCCAAGACTCAACAGCCTCCGTCAATACTTGTGGCTAGCAGGACTCATGCAGCCCGCCCGCTCACTTCACAGGCAACAGCTGTTAGGAAGGGTTATATGCATTACAGAGAGGCCCCAAGAACACCTCGTCTGGCATGAGAACTCAATGTTTATAAAGCCACTACCTGAGTACCTCCTGAGCTTCAAATTCTGGTCGATCAACATCTGCCCACACGAAGCATTATATCGCAGTGCTCTCGGGCTTCTGTGGTCGTACACATGGCTTATCCGCTCTAAATCCGATCTCAAGATTGCCCATGAGACCGGCTTGTTGCCTGCCGCCGTCGACTGGCCCATCTGGACCCTCCTAACACAACAAATTCTGAAAGAGAACCACGAGCAGCTATGGCGCGACATCGACCAGCGCTATACGTACGGCGAGCTCCGCCTCTCCCGTCTCAACACCCTCGCTCGTCTCGGTTTCGCCGGCTTCTCGCTGCGAAACGCGGTCCGCGGCTATATGACGGGCTCCCAGAGATACACGACGCTGTTTGAGCGCAACTTCGGTTGGCTGCTCGCCGTGTTCGTTTATATCACAGTAGTGCTCTCGGCGATGCAGGTCGCGCTCGCGACTGGCCGCTTTGAGAACGATCTGCAGTTCCAAAAAGCTTGCTACGTATTCGCGATAGCTTCCATAGTGCTCGTCCTGGCGGCGATTGCGCTCATGGTACTGGACTGGTTTGGGCTCTTTTGGTTTCATGTACTGTCGACCATCTACTACCATAGGAGGGTCAGATCACAGAGACGGTGGTAGATGAGGGAATCAACTAGATGTAGAACAAAGGCAGCATTCGCTCTATCAGTCAAAAGACCAGTATAGTCGGCATAGCGCTATCTGGAGCTTTACTTGCCTGCGGAGTGGGCGACGTGCTCGTGTCTTCGATCCTCACTGCTTTTATCTCCGCTTTGTTATGGGGAGACAGCAGCAATGCCAGAAACAGCCCACCCCTTCTCATAAACTCCGTAGCCACAGTGCCAGGACCGTCAGACACAGTCGTGGTAGGCGCCGTCATGGCGGTGCTGGCCGCTGCGCCTCGCGTCTTGCTGTTGCCTGAGTCCTCCCCCCAGTCCCAATCTTGTTGCTACCTGGGCTGGCCTGCGAAGCTCGGCGTGCTGACGATGATCGTGATGCTGCTTTTCGTGATAATTACCGAGCCTGTTGCGTATGGCACCGTTCTCGCAGCGCATAATTTCTGGGAGGTTTGCTGCGCTCTCCTTACCGACGTTACGGGATCGCCATTAATTGCGCTAGAAGTCACGGTAATTGTTAAGAAAGTCGCCGACTTCACAGTATAGTCAGCATGAAACCTACATGATTTCCGCGAGGTTGAGCGCTGCGAGGTGGGCAAAGATAGTACCGCCGCTGACCTGCATCAGGAGTTATGACTATGGCAGGAAAGTTGATTACTCAGGTGATCAAGCTATGCGGCTCTTGTGCTGGCCCAAAATTATTCGTCATCGAACTGGTACTTGATCGAAAAATTGGTATCCGCTGTTTAAGAGAAAGGCAGCTTCTTCGAGACTTTTCCCCAATGGGTTGCATCTGTTTTGACAGAATATTTATGTCTGACCATTTACTGCCTCGTTAAGCTGGATCGGTGCAATTGCCAAAGCTTGAATATGTGTATGTCTCTAGATGAAGCAGTTCGTCGGGCACTCTTAGCCACCTATCGTGGCACTAAACGCATATATTTGTGATACTTAGTAAATATGTAATCTGCTCAGTTCCCAGAGCTGGGTGGCCCGCGAGTCGTCCGGCAGTGGCCCCAATCCCGTCTGTTGCACCCGCTTTTCGCCCTCTTGCTGACGGACGAATCATTTCGAGATGCGTGACATTTTGCCAGAAGTGGACGATGTTCTTCTCAACCGCGTGCTCTATCTCGAAAATGACCTGCGACGTCTCATTTGCGCTGGGCCGCCGGTAAGTTCCGCGAGAGGCCGCGTTCGAGCATCTGGCGTTGGCCATAGCAGTTAAGGCCATTTTGAGCAGGGACGAGCACAAACCCTTGCGTGCTTGTGGAGAGCCCGCGCATTGGTAGTGTTGTGGATGAGCCGCGGTCATACTCGCGCAAGGACACAAAGGACACAGAGGACCACGCTTTGCCGGCACTGAGTGAACTACCTATTCGAGACAGCACTCAGATAAGGTTCTGACGGGTTGCAAGACGGAGAACCAGGAGCGGAGATACGGAGAACGGAGGTAAGGGGTGGTATTGCCGGGGCGGGGCAGTCATATGCGTGCAGGGGTCAGCAGTCCCCGAGCTGCAACGCCCCGACGGCAATAATCAAAAAGCTTCGCTCTACTCATCACACCGCTGTCTTACATCCCAGAAACTCGCCGGTTCGGGCCAACACGTGTCCGCGTATTGGAGACTAGCTGAGTTGCTACTGGCAACTCAAAGTCATAAGTCCCCGAGACGACGATTGCCAGTGAGTTTGGGGCCCCCGGCCGGCCCGCTCGGTCGACCCCATGTGATTGACTGCAGCTTTAAAAGCTGCGTCTCTTCTCTTTATCGCCGTCTGCGAAGGCAAAGGTCATAGACGCCTCTCACCGACCACCTCCACCACCACCACTACCACCGCCACTACACAACCATCACAATGGGCGCATCCGGCAGCAAGAGCGTCACCTTCGACCCCAAGACCGACATCCCGGCCCTCAAGGACAAGGTCATCCTGGTAACGGGCGGCTCCAGCGGCCTAGGCATGCAGTCGATCCTCGACTTCGCCAGGCACGAGCCAAAAGAGATCTGGCTCGGCGCCCGCAGCGCCACGAAAGCGCAGGCCGCCATAGACGACATCAAGGCCAAGGTGCCTAATGCGACCGTCAAGTTCGTGCAGATGGAGCTCGGCTCCTTTGCGTCTATCCGCACAGCGGCCAAGACGGTCCTCGATAGCACCGACCGCCTCGACATCCTGCTCCTCAACGCGGGCATCATGGCCGGGCCCCCCGGCGCCACCGAGGAGGGCTACGAGATTCAGTTCGGCACCAACCATATGGGCCACGCGCTGCTCACCAAGCTGCTGAAGCCGCTCCTCCTCAAGACGGCCGAGCAGCACGGCGGCGCCCGCGTCGTCGTCTTATCCTCTGCCGGCCATGCGTACACTCCCACTGGGGGCATTGATTTCAGCACGCTCAAGACCCCCGGCGACACCCTCAACGCGTGGCAGCGCTACGGCCAGAGCAAGCTCGCCAACATCCTCTTCGCCAAGGAGCTCGCGCGGGGCCACCCGCAGATCAAGGCTGCCTCGCTCCACCCGGGGGTAATCAAGACGAACCTCTCCACCACGGCGAAATCGAACAGCTGGCTCATGAGCGTCCTCGTGCCGCTGACCTCGAGGTTCATCACCGATGTCGAGACCGGCGCCCATGGCCAGCTCTGGGCCTCGACCTCCAAGGACGTGGTGTCGGGCACCTACTATACCCCAGTCGGCGTGACGGGCGGGGAAAGGCGCCGACCAATGACGAGGAGCTCGCCAAGAAGCTGTGGGAGTGGACGGAGAAGGAGCTCGAGGGCCAGGTGGCCGCGTGAGGATGCCGGGGAACCGCCCGGGTGGCAAACCGCCTGCTCGCGTGAAATTTCGTGTGTGGTGTTGCATGCGCGAGGTTGACTGTAGGATATCTCATTGTGTAGCAATAATGTTTTGAAAACAGATACAGGCATTACCTTCCTGCACCTGTCCGTTCAATAATTACCCGGGACCTTTACATTATTTCTCCAGTTGGTGTTCGCAGCAATGTTCTTGACCCAATAATGGATGGTTTGAAGTGTTTGGCCTCAGCGTCTCTACTCAAGTGGCTGCGACGAAGCAAGCAAACAGGCGTCGAACTGGGGCTGGCTTGGAGGGATCTGGAAAGGCAGGTCCCGGCCATGTCTGTCATATAGGACCTCGCGCTTGTGAAATTGGCTTGACTTCAAGCTTCCAACCGCGGTACCCAAACTGCACCAGCAATATCTCATGACCGTTTAAAACAGGTTCTGCCTCCCACTTGATCGCCGGCTCTGTGGGACGATCATCGGCAGCAGAAGCAGCGGCAGAAGTCTGTCGCTCCGCCCCGCAGCTTCCCGCGTAGGCGTTGAGCATAAGCTCGGCCATGGTGAAACTGTCACGCTGGTGGCATATATAGAGCCTCGCCGTCCGCCAGAAAACCATGGCATTAGGGCCAGTCACGCCATGTATTGTAGCTGCGCCGGGGCTGGTGTTGCTTTCTCCGTCTCCGTCAGCCGTCATCAACACGCGCAGAGCAAAAGACTTGGTGCCATGGTAGTCGGCACAGTCTAGGTAGATCTCACGTGCGGTCGTCGTTAGGGATCGTGGCCCGCAGCTGCGTGCCGTGGCGTCGATCCCGGATGGGCGGGTATGTAGTGCGGACGCAGAATCACCCTGCATTCTGCCCCCGCGTAACTCTTGAGGCGGCCTCCCTTCCGTCGTGGTTGGTAACAGGGAGTGGCAGTAGAAAAGCGTGCCATGACCAACCCCTGGAGCCATTGACGCTTGCGAACCTGGTCCTTCACGGGGCCGTACTCCCACATTTACAAACTCCCTGAGCAGCAGTTTTCCATCAACGTTATCCGAAATCTCACAGTGTCTGGGCGATTCTCTGCGGCGATATTGCTGCTGGACGTTGAGGATCTCCAGCCGGACTTTTTCCGATCCGCCCGGGCCGGATCCATTGGATAGCAGCGTGCCTTCCTGCGTCGCGTACTCCGTCCACCCACGCAACCACGAACGCCCATTATTTCTCGACCACAACCCACTCCCTCGTTGACATCAGATACTGTACCAAACTCCCGCATGTGCAGTCATCACTCTTCGAGTTCTCGTTGCTCTTCTCGACGTCCCTAGTGAACAGTGCATGTTGATTGGTTAGTCGGGGGCCCACCTCTGTACCCTGAAGCTGCTGACTAATGGTGCAGGGGTTGAGAGTCGGGTGCGTCTGGTGGCTGGGCGGCAAATTCCCCACTGCCCAAAATGTCACGTCGCGCGACCTCCCTCGGCCTTCCCCGTCCTTCTCACCATCGCATTCCGTCGACCATGGCAGACCAAGCGCGGTCGCAGATCATCAAGGGGAACCCTATTGGCAAAGGCCTTGATGCGTTCCGCGCTTCATTCGGTCTGATCTGCGAAGGCGCCAGCGTCCCTTGCACTCCGGACTCGCTAGGTCGGATCGGCCAAGAAGGTAAGAACGACATCACCGCTTCGTTCCATGTACCCCTTCTAACCATTGTGCAGACCTACAGAATCTCACCCTTGATCTTCTTCTGGCACTCCAAAGCCTTCGAATCTCTCGCCTACTTCGTTCCAGCGGCAGCGGCAAGAATCTCCTGAGCGATCTCTCAAGACTTAGTTCTGCTGTCAATTCCGATGACTTCGACCGCAACAGCATCAAACCTCTTCTGAGTGCGGCTCTCGCCAACAACCCAGACGACGCGGTTATCTGGGATAAAGTCTATCAAGCCGTCACCGAATCCACTCCACCGCCCCGAACGATAGCATCGTCTCTCCAACAAACCCCGTGGCTGCACAACACAAGCGGCTTTGCGAACTCGTCCGAATACCGACGCGACATAGATAGGGTGCTCAAGCAGGAGCTCGGTCCTCTCTATGTTGGGCTTCGTCGACTTCCGGAAGTTTTCTTTGGACGGGTACCCGGGCTGGACGCTGCGTCCCACGTCGTCTTCACCAAGTGCACGAAAGGCAACGACCCCCTCTTCTGTGGAGGATGGGCTGGCTGGCCAAAGGACGCACACCAAGATTCTGTCCTGGAGTGGTTCTCGGACATAAGCCAGAAGCTGGCAATCTTCGCCGAGGAAACATTGCCGCTTCCAACGCATGGAAGGCGGCCTCTGGCGCAACCCAACCAACCGATCCTCGATTCTACGGCAGAACGAAAGTTGGATATCGGGTTCGTGGACGACCCCAAAGCGTTGAAAGACACCCAACTACATTGGTCGCACATTCTCATTCCAGGAGAGTTGAAGAGCAACCCGTTGGCGGACACAAAGTCTAAAGCATGGCTCGACCTAGGGAGGTATGCCAGGGAAGTTCTTGCGGCTCAAGACACGCGTCGATTTGTCCTGGGCTTCACTCTCTGCGGATCCTTTATGAGAATATGGGAGTTTGATCGCTTGGGAGGAATCGCATCCGACAAGTTCGACATCAACGAAGACGGGCTGCGCTTCGTCTTCACGGTTCTAGGCTTCCTCTGGATGGACCGTGAGACCCTCGGTTTCGACCCTACAATCACTACAGAGGGCAGTCGACGCTTTGTTTCGATCACCCGAAACGGCCAGGCAGAGCGACTCGTCATTGACAAACGGATGAAGAGAGCACCCTGCATTGCCGGTCGCGCCACAACTTGCTGGAGCGTCCACCGAGAGGACGACCCTCAGACCTCGTTGGTAGTCAAAGATTCGTGGCAATACACTGAACGGGACGAAGAAGGCGAGTTGCTCAAGACGGCGACCGAAAAAGGTGTGGTCAACGTGGCCCGTTACTACCACCACGAGACTGTTCATGTCCGTGGCGAGGTCGACGACGTTTTGAGCAATATTCGAGGGAACATGAACATCCAAGAAGCGAGCAATTATCGAGCAGATCAGTTGATTCAACCAGGGAGCTCGAGTGCGGCCGATGTTCCCCGGAAAGGTCGGAGTAGTCTTGCTGCTGGCAAGAAACGCTCCTCCAGTCAGACGGAGGCCCCTCTACCACCGAGCAAGCGATCTTGCTCTGCGTCACCAACCAAGGCTAGCGATCCTGCACTGCCGAACCGGGTGCATCGTCGCGTCGTCGTTCAGGATTGTGGGACGCCGATCTACAAAGCCAAGTCCCCTTCAGTGCTGCTCTCAGTGCTGAGCGACTGCATTGGAGGTCACAAATCATTGCGGCAACAAGCCGGTCTCCTCCACAGAGACATCTCTATAAACAACCTGATGATTCGCGGAGAGAAAGGGTTTTTGATTGACCTCGACCTTGCCGTCACGGAGCAACGCGAGGAGGCATCAGGAGCACATGGGAAAACCGGTACAAGAGCCTTCATGGCGATTGGTGCCCTTCTGGGCGAGCAGCATTCGTTCATGCACGATCTCGAGTCCTTCTTCTGGGTCCTGTTCTGGATATGCATTCACCACACCGGACCTGAAGAAAGCCGAGTGGTTCCGCGATTTGAGAAGTGGAACTATGTAGATACGGAGGAACTCGCAGGGATGAAGTTGGGAATAGTGTCTGACGACGATATCTTTGGGAAGATCACGATGGAATTTTTCACCGACCACTTCAAGGCCCTGATCCCTGCTGTTGGTCGGTTACGAAGAGCGGTGTTCCCCAGAGGGGGGAGATGGAAGAAAGAAGTCAGCGGGTTGTATTCCTCCATGCAGGAGATTCTCCGTGAGGCCCGAAAGGACCTTTATGTCGCAGAGAATTAACAAATACTCGACGCCATGGAAGTCATTGTCAGACATGGCCGCCTCCGTTCAAGAACAGGAGTACCTCGATGCGCTCTCCCGCGTCGTCCCTTGAGCGATGATGCACATGTCTGGGGTCGACCCGGACAGTTGAGTCGGTCCAGTGCAAGGCTCCAAAATGGTGTTTAGGGCCAGCCAGAATTGTCGGTCCTATTTTTACAGGTGACCGAACCTGCCAAGGCCCAGTTTTGGGTCAACAGGCGCCCTTAAATCCGTGGCCATCCACCAGCATTTCCTTCAGCAGCCATTTCCCCCAACCATTGCTCATCACCATGACTAATCTATCCCCCAAGAAACGTGACCAAACCAAGGAGATCTTCAACAGAACATGCAAAGGAGGCGCCAAGCGATTTAACAAGATAAGCAAGAAGTATGGCGCTCGAGTCTACGTGCAGGTGTGCTGGAGGGGGCGGCACTACGAGTACACATCCCACGATGAGCCTCACTGGCCGAGGACAAAGGATGACCTAGAAATCATCTACCCCTTGACCACTCAATGGACCCCTCAACATTCGCGAAACAACCTGCCTCTGGGATCGCTGCCGATGTGCCTGTAAGTCCGCCATCAAGCTCTAACTTGAAAGCCACGCCGGCGTCGCCAGGGAAGCCGCTCGAATCAGCGGGAGAGCAGCCAATGGGGCCAAAACTGGCTGAGGATGGATGGACTGCGAAGAGATTGATAGCATGAGAGGGGGACTTGGAGACGGCGTTTTGGATGGGCGAAGGAAGTGGCAGGGCCGCGGGGCATGTACTACGAATATTCCTGCTGTGCTCCTTGCAGTCCCTTGCGACTTGGTGGGGCGGCGCCACGCACGGGTGCGCCATCCGTGGGCCGCGCGGAAAAGGCAAGCTCAGATGCTACCAACGTAATGCTAGGCTAGACGGCCAGGCCTATAGGTACGTTGCACAGAAGTCACTCTTCGAGTCAGACACATGTTGCGACTCGCTAGAGTTTTGTACGCAATCCCTAACGCCATCCCCCCCTTCGCTATGTTTGTCGCTACAATCAGACTCGTACGTCGAAGATCTTGGGGTACAGACCCCGGTGATGCTACCACAATCAGACTCGCGCTTGGAAGATCTAGAGGCAAGAACCCCATTGATGCTGCCTTCACCTCTGATCCGACACGAAACGACATTTGGGTTTATCTGCCTGAAGAGGAAAGCTGGGAGGTATCCGCCTTCTGAGCCACCACGGAAGAGGCAGATGATTGGATGATAGCCATTACATCAATACAATGTCCTCGTCTCATAATCCACTCAGCCTTCTCGTGAGGCAATGTCCGCCCTCGCGTATTTTTCCTGTCAATATGAATAACTGCAAGTCTCCTGGGAGCGCTGCTTGCGTTCAGACCGCCCATAGGAGGTCAGGCGCACGCCGGGCTCCAGCACACATGGGTGTGTGGTCCCTTTGCGCCTCCCCCTGTCCCCGGCCTCTCCACGAAGCCACGTAAGTTCGGGCTGTTGATGGTTGGTCACCCGTCAGCCGGGCGGCGCTTGTAAACGATGACCCATTAGCTTGTTTTCCCGTGAAGACGGAGCTGTAGTTGTCCGGACCCGACCCTTTCCCGGTTTCTTGCGCATTGTGGGTCTTCTCCCCGAGCATCCATTTGAATCCGGAGGGCCGATAGTGGGTCACTCGCCGGCTGGCCAGCGCTTATGATCGATCAGTCATTGGCTTGCTTTCTTGTGATCACGGATCTGTGATCCACCTCACCCGGGATCCGCCTCCCGGCTTAATTATGGCTACAAAGCCGACGCGACGAGTCAAGTCCGGAGGCCATTTGCCAAGCCGGCGCCGTGCGGGGCATGATGATGATCGCCCGTGCAGAGGCGCAATACATAGTGGCCACTAAATGTGTCCGCTTTGCCAGTCGTTAATTGACTCTCCCGCACAGACCAGCAAGCTGTGGCGTCTTGTGGCGTGGACTGTGCAGGCAGTCCCACAATAGGTACCCGCCAGAAGTAACTTACAAGATCCAGCAACGGGTTTGTTGTTCGTTGCCCCATTTACTGTCAGATTCAAACTTGGTGTCCGCTTCCGTCGAACACAGAATTTCGGCCGCCCAGTCTTAGCTACATCAGGTACAGTAGCGGACAAACTGCAGCGTGTCTGCAGGTGGGTGGGGTATCAAGAACAGCCGTCTTATGCTCCATTTCGGGCTTCACCACAAAGCTTCGTTTATTGAATCCACAGGGCATCCTAAACAAAAGCCGCATTTGTCAATCGTGTAGACCCCTTCGAATTCTCTCGCACTCATTACGCACTGTCCAAATTCCATATTTGATATACCTGGGGCTCACGCTGCACAATCCTCTGGACCTATTTTTAATTGCTGCACAGCTGACAGTCAGGCTCGACGCAACGATGAAGCACACGGATGTTTAAACCTAAACTCAGGTTTACTCTCTCCAAAAAGCGCGCGCAGTCATTACACCTTGGCCGACAAACGACAATTGTGGCGCTTGTTAATCCGTCATTTGGCCTCACTTTCTGCAGCCTTGCGAGTCTGCTTTCCAGCAGTCCTTCACTCTCGGGCTGACTCATTTCTTCCATCGACATCTGTTGAAAGCTCAGGTCCAGCGAGTGAAGTAACTCGTTGCCGTCCAGTCGGGGGAACCAGTGTTTCTCCACGAAGTAGGCGATTAACTGCTTTTCTGCGTGGCACGCGTGATACCGTCCGGGGTCGCCCTGGTCGTATATATGCGGATCAGGATCAAAGCCGACTCGTTCGCATAGCCGCCGTGCCTTGTCTGTCCAATCGCGGCCCGAAACATGTATGTTGCCTTGGTAATCTGTTCCGTGTGACCAACCGCTCATCGCAGCCACAAGGGGGAAATTGCCGTTTCGGTACAGCACTCCAATTGTCTTCCACTTGTTCGGCAAGTCAAAATGAGCGATCATCCTCTTCATTGCTTCGTTTTGAGGTGGACTCGTGAAGAAAAGACCGCTTAGGATGGCGCTGCGGTCGTTTTGCAAAGACATGCCGTTGTTGAGCAAGCGTACGATCGCTTTTCGATCGAGATCTCGGTCGTGTGTGTTCTCTCTGTAGACTTGCACACTGCCTCCAGATCGATAATAGCGTTCTTCGACGTTGTCTTCGAGATACCTTGCGAAGTCAATGACTTGGAGTTGCTGGCCATTGCGAACGTACTCAAAGTCCTGCCTTGCCCCATGTCGCAGCAGGACTTGTACGTTCTCCAAGCGTCCCCAGAGAGCAGCTTCAGCTAGGGGGGTTCGGCCTTCGAGATCCCTTGCGTTCGTATTTGCTCCTTTCTCTAGGAGAAGTTCGAGCATTTCTGGAAATTGCTCGCAGGCTGCCATGTGAAGTGCTGTTCGTCCAGTCATGTTGACTTCTTGCTCAGGAGCCTTGTTTCCTTGATCTTCATCAAGACCATGATCGAAACCTGTTGAATCGTCGAAGACAGGGTTTCTGTGAGCTTCGACACCACGAACGAGAAAATCAGCCTCTTGAGAAGACTCCAGATACTCGCGCACGGCTTGGACGTTGCCCCAGATAACGTCTTGGACTACGCATGGAAGTTGTTTGCTTGTGTAGTCCTTGGAGATACGGATCGTTTCAATTGCATCGCACCATTTTGGGCATGCCATGATCTCCTCCCGGTAATGAGGGGTAGAGATGTAGGTTCCGTGTTTTGCGAGATATTGAGATGGATCGGCACCAGCTGTCACAAACAAGGCGTTGGATTTGTCAACTTCGTACGCGCCGCAGCTGGGGAACGAATATTCATATTGGGATTCCAGGCCGCGTGGGATTCGGCGAACACAATGAGAAAGACGTGGATGCCGCTTGTTGTAGTCTGTGGGGTCTCCGGAGAACCCATGACGGTGGATAATGTCGCAGAAGGGGCAGAGAACCCATACATCGGTACTGTCCCACCACTGCACTCGTGCTGTAGGCCGCATCTTGTTCGGCATGATGCCCTATGCTACGATTGTCGCTGATACTGAAACAAAGTGTTGTTGTGTGGAATGAAGTTGGAAGCGTGCTGTTGGGGTTGTCGTTGCTGATCTGATGAGAAATCAGGGACGCAGCTTTCTGCCATCAGATAAAGACAGCGTGGACAAAGACCCCGCAGATTTGGTAACCTCCCCAAATCTGCCCCCTTCTTCTTGTCCAACTGTTTCGACCACCTTTCGACAAAGATGATCCTCTGTTCAAGTCACGACCCAGTCTCATACAAATTCATGTTTGACAAGGAGTCGATATGCAAGCTTTCCTCTCATATATGCTCGTATATTTGCCCCGGTGTCGTTGGCATAGCCTCCTGCATTCGAGAAGTCACGCTCATCAAGTCCGCAATATTCCAGGTTGCATAATGGAACCAAGGCATTCGTAATGCCTCGCCCGTGATTGATTCGGGCGTCGAGAGAGCCAGGCTCACAGACGCGCCGCCTTTCTAAACCCTGTATCGTCTGCCCTAGCTCGTGACATGCGCCCACTCTACGGGGTACTATAGCATGCCCACCCACTCGAGTAGCATTATAGCGGGCAATTGATAGGGGGGCATGACGAATTGATACGCGGGCATGACCCTTAGGGGGGCATGACTTTTCGGGCCTCTGATTCGTCAATTTCTTTTTTGTTAGTGTTGGCAGAATTCTGCCGTACCCTTTTAAGTACCTCAAGGCTATCTCCCCTAATCTCGGAGCTGACACGACGCGACGCGATCAGATCAAGCCCACCAACAGCAAGCAAATCCACCATGGTCAACCTTCGATAATTGGGAACTTCGTCATGTTCCAATCCGAGTCTCCTTCCAACTCGAGACGACGAACCCGTAGTTCTAGTCCCCACGCTCAAGATCAAGTACGGCCTCGAAAACGACAGCGGCAGAGCCGACAGGGCAAGTTCAGCCCGCCGATATTTGCGAATCGGCCATCCTCAGCGAGCAGCATAGCAACAAGTATCGGCCAATACTACGGAGTCGGCGACGAAGATGTACTCGGAAATCTCTTTGCATCTTACCCAGAAACCTTCACGACAGCTCCACAGCCGCACGGATGGCGTGGACTTCACGAGCCACCATGGGAGCTCCGTTTCGATCACGAGGTGCACCTCTCAAACGATTTCCCGTCCGGTGGAAGGCAGTCCTTACGAGTGAGGATTCCTGTCCCAGGACCAGAAACCGACCCACTGTCTTCCTTGCCACTTCAATCAGCACAACAGCAGCAATCGTCACCCACACGGGCCGAGTTTCAATCTGCCCTGAAGCTAGTACGAAAAGTGATTGGGACGGAGCGGAGGCTTACGCTCGAGCTCGCTCGGTCATACGAACGAGTACGTCAATGGCGCGAGAGATGGGGCTACTCACCACTCAGCTCAGATGCGATTGAATCGCCTCCTCCCTACTCACCGCCCCGAGAGCCGTCCGCCCAAGCTTCATCTCCTCAAGAGATGCGATCTTCTCCTCGGATGTCTTCGTCCCCTGACCCAGACCCGATCCCGAATCCGCCGATCCCAGGCGACCCAAAGCCGTCAGCCGAAGCTTTGTTCGACGTGGTAAACACCTTTGCGAAAGAGAATGGCTTCGGCATCGTCCGACGACATGCCTATTCCTACAATGGTCGGAGGATGAGGTACTCTTTCCAATGTGACCGATACGGAGAACCACGGCCGAGTAGAGGTACAGGGCTTCGGCTACGCAAGTCTCGGAAGTGTGGATGCAAGTGGATGGTCATTGCTGAAGCTCTAGAAGAGGGCAAGTGGCTCCTAAGACAACACCCAAACCCCGAACACAATCAACACAATCATGGACGTAGCATTAGGCCGTCTGCGCACCCTTCCCACCGACGACTCACTACACCCATCAGGGCTACCATCGAGTCGACGAGCCGTCGGGTCGGTATCCGGGCCCGTGACGTACGGGCTGTGGTCCAAGACCAACATCCCGAGTCAATCTTGACGCAGAGGGACATCTACAACGCCCGAGCTCTCATCAACCGAGACAAGCTGAATGGCTATACTCCCACCGCCGCGTTAATCAAGCTGTTTGACGAGATGGAGATTCCCTATCTCGTGAAGTGGGCGGACGATGAGCCAAACCGTCTCGTTGGCCTTGTCTGGACTTTTCCCTACTGCCTCCAGATGTGGAAGCGGTTTCCCGAGGTGATCAGCTTCGACAACACATACAACACCAATCGCTTCAAGCTTCCATTATTTCAGGCAACAGGACAGACCTGCCTTGGCTCTGTCTTCAATGCTGCTTTCGGCCTGATTGACAACGAGAGACGGGAGGGGTTTCAGTTCCTCTCCGAGGGTATTCGACAGCTCTCAGAGCAACACTCTATTCGCCAACCGGACGTTATCATTACCGACTTCGACAATCAGATGAAGGCAGCCCTGAATGATCAGTTCCCTGATGCACAGCAGCAGCTGTGCATCCACCATATCAATTCTAACGTCTTGCTCAAGTCAAAGCAGAAGTGGGCCAAGGGCCACAGCAGCAGCAGTTCCGACAGCAGCGACGGAGAAGACTCTGCTCCACAGGCACAGGCTGAGCTGAGCCCCAAAGACCGACAGTTGGTCCACGCCCCGACGGCGGCGGTCATCCCTCATAGCTATCGAGGGGTCCTCATGATGTGGAAGCTCGTCATGTTTGCGGAGACTGAGGAGGCTCATGAGAAGGCGTGGAGAAATCTCTGCAATGAGTTTGATGACCAGCGAGCTATCCTGCGGTATCTCCATGGAACTTATATGCCTGTACGGGCGCAGTGGGCGCGCTGTTTCATTCGCAAGTATCGCAACTTCGGCGTCCGCGTCACCTCTGGTACAGAAGCAAGCAACAACAACATCAAGAGCTATCTCCTGAATGGTATGAGCCATCTCTATCGGCTCATGGAGGCTATGCAGGACATGATGAGGGACCAGGAACGAGATTTCAACGACGCTTGCGCAGCGGACGAGGTACTTACCGCGCGAGAGTACATTGGGCCTAGCTCGGAGTATCTCGGCGAACTCCGGACGGCGCTCTCTTCCAAGGGCCTTGGACTGATCAACAAACAATATCGGCTTGCAAGGAAAGCAATGCCGACCGGGAAGAATCCGTTCCCTGAATCCCTCGGGGATTGCGGCGAGGACTGCTCGTTGTCGATCGAGCTTGGAATTCCCTGCTGCCACAGGATCTACTCAAAGCTGAATAATGGCACGCCTTTCACGAAATGGGACGTCCATCCTCGGTGGCACCTACGAGAAGCATCCTCTCGAGATCCATACCGACGAATCCTCGACCCTAAGATCGCCACTGCTCTCCGTGGCAGACCTAAGAACGCCAAGCAGGCCGTTCCATCAGGGCTAGCCATCGAGACTAGTAGTCAGCCGATTGGTCAACCGGTCGACCAGGGGCCCTCGAGCCGTAGGCGAGGTCGTCCACAGGGCAGCTTGAACAAGTCGACTCAGGCCAGAATGGAACTTGGGACGAGCCGACAGGCCAGTGGCCAAGCTGATGTCTCGAATCAGCGCCAGTTACGCAGCCAGTCGACCCTTCTAGGGACGGGAAGAACCACAGGAGTTCGTGCCAGCGGGCGGAGAACGCAGCCCAGCATTCGGAGACGGAGGAATCAATGGGAGCTGGCTGATGGCGAAGAGGAGATTCTTCCTTCCATAGTAGTAAGGGGAGACGTAGACAGCTTTGGTTATGAAACAGCCCTTGAATACCCTGTACCTGTGAGGGGGGCCGCACCCACTCAATTAGGAAGCACTCGCTGAGTCAGCGAGCGCCCGTCTCTTACCTGTCGCTCGCCTGGCGCTCGCCAATCGAGCGACGGTAAAGCAATAGTCTTGTACGACAGTGACCTTTTGGAATACAGAGAACTTCCCATCGCGTGCCTATTCCGGATCAGTACCTTCTCCTTAATAGTACCGAAAGCAATACTTCTCTTTGACGCCTGTTCTAAAGGGTTAGTGTTGGTCGGGTGCATTTGCGGTCACGAAATCTGGGCTTGTTAAGAGGGCTGGCTTCACCGCCTTTGCTCGGAAGTATTTATGGATCTAGAAAATTTGGCCCAATCAAGTGTTACAAAAAGTCATGCCCCCCTAAGGGTCATGCCCGCGTATCAATTCGTCATGCCCCCCTATCAATTGCCATAATTGGATTGAGGCGCCCACGCCCACCATCGCTGTCCCGGGCAGTCCAGCTCTGTGGTCCGCTCCAGGAGGACCTCGACAGCTGAAGAAGGACTCCGGCCTTATCTACATCGCTCAAAACGCAGCTCGCCATCCGGACAGTCCCCTCGAACCTCTATTTCGCGCGTTGCACATTACGAATCCTTCGTTCGACCTCAGATCAATAGATGTTGTGACCGACCGGAACAATATCCGCAAGCTTCTCTCGTTTGTGAACCCAGGCTTAAGCAGCAACGGACTTGAACCATTCACCATCGGCATCGAGGTCATCAAAAACACTGCAATATTCTGTCGAGAGGAAACAAAGACCCACGAGTTCATTGGACTGCATGAATTTAAGGGTTTCGGCCACGAATTCGAAAAGGCATACACCAAAGGCCGGGTCACTGGCGATACTGGACATCACAGAATTATTGCGTACCGCTTCGGAGATTTGAACTTCATTGTCCGCCACGAAACCGACGGATACGTGGCCACAACGTTGCAGGCTTCCAGTAGCAAAGGGCCAGAATATGACGGTCTCTCTGGCATGCTCGCGTCTTTGTCTCTATCCCCGAACACCGGCCTTTCAGTCGCTACCAGTGCCGGATCTAAGTTGAGAATTCGCAAAGAAGGCGAGGTGGTACCACTCCATTCAACCCTTGAAGTCAAAACTCGGGTCTTCCATAAGCGTCTTGAGATCCGAGACGTCGCACCGCAGCTCCGGGTGTCTCAGACTCCCAAGCTCGTGCGCGCCTACCACCGTAACGGTACATTTCAAGAGCCGGAGGTGGAAGATGTTGCGGACGCCATCAGGAAGTGGGAGCAAGACAACCACGGGGATTTGAGGAAATTGGCCGCACTGATCAACAAGATCCTCAGTGTAGCAAAGGAACTCGGTGGAAGTATGGTCATGAAATATGATACGATGGGAGACAAATTGGTAGTTTCCAAGGTCGCTGGGAAGAAGATGTTACCAGACGACCTGTATTCCAAATGGGACGATGCGTCAGTTGAGACGGCAGTGAGTTGACAGCCTCGGATCCCTGAAACTTCGCTAACAAAGTACAGGCGATACCTGGAGAGTCATCAACAACTGCTGTCGAAGTCGCAGACAGTGAACCCCTTGCCGGCGCCAGCGCAGCCCCCGTCGCCGGAGCATCGACTGGACTTTTCGGCTCCCCGGACCAGAGCACAGCGGAATCATCAAAGAAACGCGCCGACGTTCCCTTCTTCGATGTCATTACCTACAGCGTAGAGCACGGATTCCGCCATTTCTTTCGTCGCATGCCATGCCAACTGGCCGACTACCGTGTCTTTTGCAATTCCCTCAACACCCTTGCTGTCGATGTCGTCAAGCAGCAAAGGCTCCAAGACGTCGTGAGGGAACTGAAGACGGGAGACGACGATTACGATCCATTAGAACGGAGGGCAATTAAGGGCTCGAAAGCAGGCGCCCGAAATGCGGCATTCACAATGCTCTATCTATTTCTCGTCGACGAGTCCCTATCACCTGCTCGAGACGGTACTGTGGCGTACAATGCGGTGCTCTACATTGTATCCCATGGTCGAAAATTCAAATACAGGACTCGTAAGATGGTTCGAGAGGCCTTCGAGGCGAGGTTTGTTGACACACAAACAGCGAATGGGCTTGGACAAGTGGCCGATCACCAGCTCACAACAGGACGGAGGGCAAGACACCGAGGGAACGACCGAAGAGGAGGCAGACGACTACTTGTGGGACTCTGACTGGTCTTGAGAATACCAGGTCCATGGTAATTCAGAAGTTTCGGCTATGATGGCGAGTATATAAATCACAGAAGCTCGTGAGATCAGTTGCTGACAGACCTGCTCAGAAGTCTCAAACAGCCCTATCAGATCTGGCAAACCGCCGAGATCCCCATGCACAGCAAAATTGCACCAAAGCCCGTCTGTTATCTGTCTTTCGCGTTTCAAACTTCATGGACGGCAGCCTTCGCGAGAACAGCGCCGCCCCGTTTTGCAAGGACGTCAACGACTACTTCGCCCAGCGGCAGGAGCTAGGCCGCCGCGAGCATGTACTCGCGTGGGACCACCACTGCACCGTCAAGGCCTCAGACCTAGAGCGGAGAGCAAATGCCATACTGCAGATCCTCAAGGAGAAAGACAAAATCAGGGTTTACGACGCGGCGCCAAAGAGGAAGGGATATGACGACCAGCTGCACTCTAGGGCCCCGGCCGACCACTTCTTGTCGAATGTCGACCTGATCCCGCCGACGGACGTGTTCCAGGTGGCGAGGCGGATGCCCAAGGGAGCTCACCTTCACATCCACTTTAACGCGTGTCTTCTTCCTAACGTCTTATTGGATATCGCCAAGACGATGGACCGGATGTTTATTACTAGCGACCTACCGTTGACAGAGCGCATAAATTACGATCGGTGCGAGATTCAATTTTCCATCCTTTCTCCAGGGAGGGAGAAGCCGGGCAACATCTTCGACACCGCCTACCAATCTAGGGCGACGATGAAGTTCCGGCAGTTCCGCGAGGAGTTCCCAAACCACTTCTCGGAGGTTACTGTAGATCGGTGGCTGGAGCAAAAGCTGGTATTTCATGAAGAGAAAGCGCACAACTCGCTTCAAACAGCTCAGGGGTAATATGGCGGATTTAATCTATATCAGAAGGTGGTTTTTACTAACAACGAGGCATGGATCATTCGCTTTCCAATAGCCGGCAAAACGAGTGAGGCACACCTCGACGAGAAGGTCGCTGGCGAGGTGGCGACATTGAGGCTTCTCCACGAGCGAACCAACATGCCCGTCCCCAAATTCAAGGCTTGGGGCCTCGCCAGCGACAATGCACTCGGCCTCGGCCCGTTTATCATGGAGGACTTCATCCAAGGCGTAAGCCTCAAGAACATTCTGAGGGAAGAGGCCGAGGGATCTACGCTCTTGAGGAATGACCTGGACGACAAGGAAGTCGAGATCATATACCGACAGCTCGCTCAATTCACGCTCCAGCTCTTCGACCTCAACTTCAGCCAGATCAGCGGTCTACCCTTTGAGTCGACCCATACGCGGCGGCCGCTCAGAGTGACGGCCCACGAGATCATCCGCCTCGGGGGGGTTGACGTTCTCGGTATTGCTATGCTCTCCCCGCCCCCTCGCCTCCCCTCTTTCCAATACTAAGAACGACCAGGCCCACGCAGTGAAGGATTTTCGACAACCAAGGAGTATTTCGACCACGTCGTCGAGCAACACTGGCGGCAGCTTCTTGGACAGCTGAATTCGGTCGAGGACGAAGAAATGCCCGACAGAAATACATCTTCTTCAGGGTTCTCAAGTCCTTGACCGATCGTCATGTCTGGCCAGAGTACAACGAAGGACCATTCAAGCTCATCTGTGACGATCTCGGCCTAGCAAATATGCTTGTCGACAGCAGGGAGAAGCTAAAAATCACTGGAGTTGTCGATTTTTGAGTGGTCGTATACCGGCCCGGCTCAGCTACTCGGCACTGCACCCTGGTGGCTCCTCCAGGAAAGGCCAGAACTCTGGGACTTCACCCCCGACATGAGAGCTCGGATTCTCAGGCACTTGGGCTTATTTAAGCGCGTTCTGGAAGAAGAAGAGAAGCACGCGCCGGAGTACCAGAGCAAGGAGCTCTCGAAGTTGGTCGAGCGATCCGAAACCGAGGGGACGATGTGGTACCACATGGTCCTGCAGGGGTTCTTCCACGGTCCTGGCAGCTTGCCCTGGGAGCAGCTGAAAGACCACACTCCAGACTGGGACTTGCTTGCTGCAGGGATTCCCGAGGAGGATATTCGGTCCTTTGTCGCCGCCAAGATGGAGCACTTGAAGCTGCACGACGAGCGGCTGAAAAAGACGGAGATCACATACGACGAGATGCTGGCTGGAAAGTGGTCTATTCAAGGGTTTATCGACGAGGTCGAAGCCCCATACAAACATGCTGCAGAGATTCCTGAGGAGGGTATTGGGTCTTCTATCGCTGCGGAGATGGCACACTTGAAGCTGCACGACGGGGTGGCTGAAAAAGATGGAGACCACCTGCGATGAGATGTTGGCCGAAAGGTGACGGGTCGGGCCGGCCGCAGTAGGCGGCGACAGTGGCGAGACAGGCGAAACGCTCGTGCCACGACGGAGGCCAGGCGAAGGAGGGGTCGCTGCGTAGGCGCGGAAGGGCGGCGTGTCCGTGATGCCCTGTGCACCCCGATGATCTAAATGAATGGATGCCAATTCCCTTGGAGAGGTCGGCAGAAGAACGCTGGATGCTGTTGGTGCGCGACGAGATGAGAATAGGCGCAGCCTGTTGCTGCCTTTCTGCCTCGGGCAGTAGTGAACTTTTCGTGCACTCCCTTCCAGGCGCTTCTGGCTTCACCTCTGCCTTCGTCTCCTCATTCCTTCGCGGGCACGATGAACGCCTTAGTCCATCCAGCTTGGCTGGGCGTCCGATGCTCGTGTTAATCGCCTGTACGAGTGGTAAGTCCCCATCCATGCCTTGGCGGCATCCCCGCCGGTCATCGTCAGACCGTCCATTGGATTTCCCTCGCCACACGAAGATATTGTTAGCCTCGGCGGACGAGCCCCACGACGAGGAGCCTGCCAAGACCGCCACCCTCGCTGGCGTCTGCGCTCGGTTCAACCAGCGACGAGGGAGAACAGACTCCATGTCGACTATTCCGGCACCCACCGCCATTGATGGCCGCTCGCGGGACGGGTCGTGGGGCTGCATTTATGGGCGCAAATCGTAGGTCACATTCCGACGGCTCCAACCACCCTGACGACTCCCACCACCACCAAGAGCCGATCGCTGCAGACCTCCTCGAATGGAAGACGGCGGTGGAGGACCTCACACACACAGACATTGCGCAAGTTGACCGTTCCGAGCAATAACTCGCAGTATCTATTTGTCCGCCAATGCCTTAGGAACCCTCTTGGGCTTCCTGAAGGATCTCCCTCATCCGAGCATACAATCCTGTGTCCTCTCTTTCCCACCTCCCACCATTTGGAAACACAACTTTCCGTAACCTGTTCACCCAGGGTACCAAAGGCTGGTAATAATGCGTGAAGTTTTCTTCCGCGGTTCTGATGAAGTCCCCTTCATGGGATACTTGCCCCTTTTTCAGCTCTGCTAGCTCATCCGTATCGACATAATTCCACTTCTCAAACCGCGGAACGGCTCTGCCCTCGTTGGGCCCTTTGTAGTGGATGCATATCCAGAAGAGCACCCAGAAGAATGACTCGAGGTCGTGCATGAAAGAATGTTGCTCGCCCAGAAGCGCCCCGATTGCCATGAACGCCCTCGTGCCGGTCTTGCCCTTTGCTCCAGAGGTGCCCTCTCGTTGCTCTCTGACGGCGAGGTCCAGGTCAATCAAGAACGAAGGCCAGGAGGGATTGTTGTCGTCCTCATTGATCATGAGATTGTTGATTGAGATGTCTCTGTGGAGGAAACCAGCCTTGCGCAAGGATTCATGTCCTTCAATGCAGCCCTCCATCGCGACAAGGAGAGCCGATCGGGAGCTCGCCTTGTATATGGGCTTTCCATAGTCACGAAGAATGACACGCCGATGCACCCGGTTTGGCATTGCGTTGCTGCTAGCCTTCGTTGGAGATGCCGAACAGGATCGCTTGCTGGGGGGCAGCGCGGCGCCAGTTTGACTCGAAGACCGCTTCTTGCCAGCGATGCTGTTGCTGCGGCCCTTCCGCGAAGCGCCAGACATGGTGGTACTCGGTGGAGGCATCGAGCGTTCCGACCGGTAGTTCGTAGCTCTGGTAACATCTAACCCTCCCCGCACGTTGCTTCGAATGTCGTCATCCTTACCGTGAACCCGAACAGTCTCGTGGTGATAGTATCGGGCCATGTTGACGACGCCTTTGCCAGTCGCCTCGCGTAACAGTTCGCCTTCCTCATCGCGTTCCGTATATTGCCACGAATCCTTGATAACAAGTAGTGACTGGGGTTGTCCTTCGCGGTGGGCTTTCCAGCAAGTCGTCGCCCGGCCAGCTATGCAAGGTGCGCGTTTCATCACCCGATCAATGATGAGGCGTTCTGTTGAGCCGTCCCGCTCGATCTCGATAAATCGTTCGTTGTTTGCCGTCATGATTGTCGGATCGAACCCAAGCTCCTCCTCGTTCATCCAGAGAAAGCCGAGGACCGTGGACACAAACTGCAGTCCATCTTTGTTGATGTCGAACTGTTCGGATGCGACCCCCCCAGCCGGTCAAACTCCCATATCCTCATGAGAGACCCGCAGATGGTGAAGCCTAAAACGAACCGACGAGTGTCTTGAGCAGCGAGAACCTCTCTCGCGTACGTCCCAAGATCAAGCCATGCCTTGGACGCTTTGTCGGCCGATGGGTTGCTTTTCAGCTCGCCGGGGACGAGGACCTGCGACCAGTGGCATCGAGAATTCTTATCGGCCTTGGTGTCGTTCACGAAGCCGACGTCCAATTTGCGTTCCCCTGTGGAACCGCGGATTGGCTTGTTGGGTTGTGCCAATGGTCTCCGTCGACATGCCGGGTTTGACCTGTGGTGTTCTGCGAAGGCCGCCAGCTTCTCGCACAAGTCCGCAAACCAGCTCAAGACGTCGTCCTGATTTGCGTCTTTTGGCCATCCAATCCAGCCTTTATTGAAGAGCGGACTGCTGCCTCCCATGCATTCCTTGAAGACGGCCGCGGCAGCTGTCTCAAGACCGGCCACACGTCCGAAATATGTCTCGCAGAAGCGAGGAAGCCCGACGTAGAGAGGACCAAGCTCCAACTTAAGGACTCTGTCCACATCTTTGCGGCCTTCGGAGGAGTTCGCGAAGCTGCTCGTGTTGTGCAGCCAAGGGGTTTGGTGGAGGGATGATGCTGTCGGTCGGGGCGGCGGAGTGGATTCGGTGACGGCGTGGTAGACTTCATTCCAGATAACTGCGTCGTCCGGGTCGTCGGTAAGAGCCGCATTCAGAAGAGGTTTGATGCTGTTGAGGTCGAAGTCGTCGGAGTTGACAGCGGAATTGAGTCTTGAGAGATCGCTCAGGAGATTCTTGCCACTACCGCTGGAACGAAGTAGGCGAGAGATTCGAAGGCTTTGGAGCGCCAGAAGAAGATCAAGGGTGAGATTCTGCAGCTCTGCACAATGGTCAGAAGGGCCACATGGAACGAAGCTGTGCTGTCGTTCTTACCTTCGCGGTCGAGCCTGCCTAGCGAGTCCGGAGTGCAGGGGACGCTCGCGCCTTCGCAGATCAGACTGAATGAAGCACGGAAGGCATCAAGTCCTTTGCCAATGGGGTTCTCCTTGATGATCTGCGACCGCGCTTGGTCTGCCATGGTCGACGGAATGCGATGGTGAGAAGGACGGGGAAGGCCGTGGGAGGTCGCGCGACGCGACATTTTGGGCGGTGGGAAATTTGCCGCCCAGCCACCGACGCACCCGATTCTCAGCCCCTGCACCGTTAGTCAGCAGCTTCATGGTACAGAAGTGGGCCCCCGACCAACCAATCAACATGCACTATTCACCAGGGACGTCGAGAAGAGCAACGAGAACTCGAAGAGTGATGACTGCACATGCGGGAGTTTGGTATCTGATGTCAACGAGGGAGTGGGTTGTGGTCGAGAAGATAATGGGCGTTCGTGGTTGCGTGGGTGGACGGAGACGCGACGCAGGCAGGCGCGCTGCTATCCAATGGATCCGGCCCGGGCGGATCGGAAAAAGTCCGGCTGGAGATCCTCAACGTCCAGCAGCAATATCGCCGCAGAGAATCGCCCAGACACTGCGAGATTTCGGATAACGTTGATGGAAAACTGTTGCTCAGGGAGTTTGTGAATGTGGGAGTATGGCCCCGTGAAGGACCAGGTTCGCAAGCGTCAATGGCTCCAGGAGTTGGTCATGGCACGCTTTTTACTGCCACTCCCTGTTACCAACCACGACGGAAGGGAGGCCGCCTCAAGAGTTACGCGGGGGCAGAATGCAGGGTGAAGGCGCAGGGACTGGGTCTTCCGGCTGCCTCTGAGAATTCCGGGTACCTCGCCTCTGGGGCGTTCCCTGTACCGCAGACGGCTGATGCTTCAGGGGCTTCTCGGTCCAGTCCAAGTCTGTGCCATGTCTGGCTGACGCCTCTGTCTGGGAGGCGACGAACGGAGGTACGAAGTTGATTCAACTAGACATGTTCCGCAAGGCACATCGGGCTGATTTCCTCAACCATGGGCTGCCTCCACTTGGATCGTCGAGCCCAGACAGCCTTTGCTGGAAGTGCTGTGCTTGTCACTGTTTGTCTGGCTCCCCCGGGCCTTTCCCCAACTCGGCAGGCGTGCCAAGGTTCCACCTGGCGCCCATATGTGGTCTTGTCTATGCAGTTTCACAAAGCAGACCCGCGCAGTCTTGCATCGGCAAGGCAGACTCGGCGGAAGCGGATGGAGGGAGTCATGGCAACGGCGAATTACAGGAGCGGAACGATGTGAAGGTGACGACAGCCACCCTAGCAGCCAGAAACGTGCATGAGGGCTGCCTCCTTTTAGGTTACTTGCAAGGCAGATGAGCCGATTGCCACCTCCTGAGGTTGCATCAGGGGAGACACCCGAGGCCTTCACTGCCGGTCCGTCGTTCCCCCAGGGCGGAGTTCATGCATCTCGGCGCAGTCACGGTCAGTTGCTTCATGTGATGGATGTTCAGCCGTGCCTTTACGCCATCCGACTGGCCGCTTCTCCTCTCCTGACCTCACACTTACCCCCATCTTGCACCCTGACGCTTCGTCCCTCCGCCACTCTCGCCTTCACCGAAGTCTGCTGCCTGTCCATGCGCTTGCTGGTTTGTCCAAAACGCGTGGCCCCGAGGCATCCCCTCAGGGCGGAGTTCATGCATCTCGGCGTATCCGCGGTCGGTTGCTTCATGATGGTGATCAGCTGTCCTTTTACATCATCCGACTGGCCGCTTCTCCTCTCCTCCTGCCACCTTAACCCCCTTCTTGCACCCCCTTTCGCCACTCTTGCGTTCATCGAAGCCTGTTGCCTGTTCATGCGCTAGCTAGAATGTCCGAAACGCGTGGTCCCTGTCCTTCAGCTGAGGAGTGAACGAATCCGCACATCCACGGTGGCGACCTGCCTGGGATAGACAGCACTCTGCCTTGTCGTGGCGCCCCACTGTCCATGGAGGATGAATCAGGAGATCGTCTGCCTCGAGAAGGCAATGCCGATTCGCAAAGAACTCTCGATGAGGAAACTCAAACCAGGCTTTCGGAAAAGACTTCGAGCTTAGAGTGCTTTCACGACGATATGAAGCTTTAAAATTTTACACGAGATATGGCTTTTGGAAAAGTCCGTCGGTAGCGTGGAGACGGTCGTAGAACCCTGATCCTATATAAAGTCGTCTTGAATCACAAGTATCTAATACACGGAGGGGTTTCTGGAGGCAAATCGGCAGGGTGACCGGTTCTACCGGTACCATTCGCCTCAGCAGTAGAGGCTTGACTGGCAAGTCATGAATCGGTCGCGAGAAAGCAATTAGGCGCTGAATTATATCGAGAGCATTGTGGGATGGAGTCGAAGGCTTGCGTTTATGCCTTGCTGCGCCGGCGATCAGCGCCCTTCAGACACGTTAGAGCCTAGCTTTCTCCCAAGGCACACTCTAACGAGCATCTGAGGCATGCCGCACAAGCCCGGCTACACGAGATTTTCCCATAACCTTTGACTTTCTTCGTGCCAGAAATCGAACACCAATGTTGGGCGAGGATACTGCTTCGCAGGCCTACAGACTTGTTGGACATCGATGAATTGATTGATTTAGTCTTTTATCTGTCTCTGCAGAGAATCACCTGTTCAGTGAGTGCGTTCATAGCTCATTTTAGAGGACGAAGTACTTCAATTACATCAACTCTATATTCATTACTAGCTGTCCACCGGTGCTGAGTGTCTATCAAACGTAACAGGACTACGGAATTTCAATTTGTTCCGTCCTTCAATTACTTACTTTCAGATGAAGAATATATCGAATGGTCAAGTGCGAGGGGTCGTAAATAACATATTCGTTAAATTTCAAATCGCCTCGCGGGTTCGATGCATGATACGGAATCCGAGTGTCGGGCTAGAAGATAATAACGAAAACCATCAGCTTGGTGTTTCAATGACTGTGACCTTACATCTGCCGGAAGATGTAACAAAGTGATTTCGTGCCAGAGGCACTCAGCAAGTGAAGAGTTCTGGGCGGCGTAGAGCTTTCTGGTTAGGGATATCTCTTTTTCCGTCGTGGCGAAGGTATATCCCTCACCAGAAAGCTCTACTCAGCGGAGGCTAGCATTACAGGATCCGTTAACTTACCATCTGCACAACACCTGCTTTGGCAGCAGGTGCCCTTCACATATCCCAGGTGGTATTCTTCCATCGCACTGGCTGAAGTTCACCAAGCCCTGAAAAGCACCTGTATTGGCCACACGAGGCCGCGATATCAGAGTGAGCGAAATAATTGGAAGATTCACTCTGTAAGCGAGCTTTTCCGACGTCGGCCTCGCATAGAAGCAGAACCGCATCACCATCTCCAGTGCTACCTCGGGTTCGACAGTACCCTGCTGACTTGCTCGATGAATCAGCTAGGTATATACCATCACCAAACATGGTGCCAGTGTACCAGACGCCAGGCCGTCGGATCTGCAGACCACATCCAAGATGCCATGCAGCGAAGAGAGCCTAGTACCATGCCATAAAAGCAGGCGCTCCTCGGTGTCGCGGTCCTCGCGACTCTGAATCCAGTTCTCATATGCGTTTCTCGCTCTGGTTTTGACAAAGACTTCGTAGATATCCTTGATCTCGAAGCTCATCTTGTGAGTAGGCTGATTCGAGCCGAATAAATACTGGCAAAGTTCCCTGTATTCGGTCGATGTAGGATCTTCCAGGCGTCTGAAACCGTGACTCAAGGAACTATAAGCATGGTACCATGGCAGTGCGAATGCACCGTGAAACCGCCAGTCCATCATCGCGCACTCCTTAACAACGTGCTCGGTCCGCGAAATCTCCTGCTGATAAGGCGACAGCGAGTGCAGAACCCGTAACTCGAGGTACAGTGCCTTGTAGCTTGAAATCACTGGTGTGAAGATTTTGTGACCCTGATACAGCGGAATTTGCTTCCTGTAGCGAGTTGTATGATGCTGCAAAGCCTTCCAGCTCAGAGAAGTGCCGCTACTATCCAGCAGGCTTTATATGTCCTTCAAAATCCAGAAGGCCAGATATATTGTATAGCGACTGAGCTGGTTGAAAGGCGCCGTGTATGGTGACCATGTCGTCTCGTGTCTGGGGCTCGGTCGTTACAGGTTCATACTTTGCCATACAACGCCAAGTCCAGAAGGACTTCGATTCCGCCCGGAGCAGTCGAGTGCAGAGCCGTATAGTCGGGTAGATCCGGTAAATGTAAGGTTTGTCCGTAGTCGAGCTCTACGAATTCGTACTGCCTGACTCGTGGTTCATCTGGGGAAACAGTGTAGCGCCGTGCCCACGTGTTGCTAGTATAGCCCTTGAAGTGGTAGCTGAACTTTCTCGATAGTACCCTCAGGTCTGGGCTTTCAGCGGTCTTGATCAATTGGCCTGATTGACCAATAGGGCCTTTTTTCACCCAGAAGAAATACGTTATTGTGGCCAGATCTTGCGTGATCTGAGGGGGCCGGTCGTAACATTAGCGCTTGCTTGGTCCAGATGATGAAGGAAAGGCGCACCTGTAGCCGTATAAAAGAGCTGGAATTTAAGAGATAGGCATCATATATATCCATCCCTATCGCCACTTCGCTCCCCTGCCGCGCACTGGGGTCCGGAAGCAAGACCTTACTGCGCAGATGCTTCTGCCACTTGATATAAGCCTTGCCTATGGCTTTATCGTGAGAGAGACGTGTCGCGCTCGCCGTTTCCCAATCGTACTGATTGATCTCGGCCCAGAGCTTCGAGCGCTCACTCAAATCTTGCGCAGGTTTAACACCTGAATTGATGCCTGCATCGGTCGAGATGCGCAGCAGTCGGGACGGGCGATAAACGTGCTGCGCGCAGTATGGGGATGATGCTGACTGCATCATGGAGTATTCCATCTGTTGCCTCAAATGCTGGGAAGGTCTGCTGTCCTGAATCGGCGACTGTGCTCTCTGTGTTGTGTGGAGTCACTTATGATGATAGTTTGGTGTATGGTATGATCTTAGTGTTCATGGGCAGAAGTTCGCGTAAGTGGCAGGCTCTAATAACCGATGATATACGTTCTCATTCTCTTCCGACGCTTGTATGCCTTGCGAGTTTTTGTGGCAGTGCCTGGCACGGGAGATAGACTGCCTTTTATCGTCTTGAGAGAATGGGGTGCTTGGACCTTGTGATTCTCTGGGGCCTTGCTTCGGCGCCTGACTATTGTCCCCTGGCATGCCGAGAAGTGAAGAGCATGCATTAGTTATTGTTCTTTTAGCACTGATGTATACAGTAATATTGCGGACCACAGGTTTAAGATGGAGGCACATAGGTCATTACCCTGAGACCCGTTTCCGCTTTTCGCACTTCATTTCTGCGTGTATGCTCTGCACTTGTAGACTTCGTAATATTATGGCGAAAGTGACAGCATGTCACCTTGATTGGAATTTTCACGCAACAGGACAAATAAGCCTCCAGATTAAAGCCGTCCTCTTTCGGTAGAGCCTGCTTATGTATTTGCGAAGGGCGATTTGCCGCTCCAGAAGATGCGCCCTAGCTGTGTGGCTGTGCTCTGCCTATCTCTGTTAGACGTCGCAAAAGGCGAATGCGCGGATAAGATCGTCATAATGGTGGCGCGGAGGGCACGGCCTTCTAGATGAGTCAACAGGCCAAGCCCTGACATGTGCCGTTAGTATAAAAGAATCTTTCACGCGGCACGAGGTAGTGATAAGACGTTCAAGAGAAAGTAAAAGTAGCACACAGACGCTCTCGACATTTGGGAGTTGTTTGACCGAGGTTTGGACGATGCGAAACTTATGAATTTGCATGACGATGCTAATAAATGGACTCTGGAACTACGTAAGTATTTCCTTATCTATTGAACTATGAAAACCTTGCCTAACGTAGATCGTGACGTGATTGAGGGATGGTTGGACAAAAACTGGTCGAGGGTCTATGCAAGACGTATGGACAGAGAGAAGAGTATCTCCAGTCTACTTATGTTCCAACTTTCGAGAAAGTCAAGAAAGACACAAAGAATCTCCGACGCCACGAGGTCCGTAAGCACTTGCGCTTTGAAGACCACAAGCGAACTGGGCTGGAGAGGAGTTAAGGAGGGCAGGAGAGACGATAAAGGATCCGTGGCAGAGAGTGTGGATGAGATGAAGGACCTGCACGTGGTGATAGATGGATGTCTCGCTGTAGCAGTCGGGATCGTAGCAGGAATCTGGAGTCACGATACTTATATCGGTCTTAGTTGGTGCACGGCTTTGGTGTAGTAATTGAGTTTTGCCTTCCTGATATCCGCCGCATCCAGTAGATTGACCATGAGTACCCACTCAACCCGCATTGCTTGTGATGCTGTCGGCTTACTGGCTATCTTCCTCGCGAATATCCGATGGCGCCCACTCCCGAAAGCACCTTGCTGCCAGAACAGCGCTACCTAAGTTGGAATGTCGCCGCTCGTCCCGGTGATTAGAGGCTCTACAAAGGTAGTAACTCAAGAGGCCGAGCAGGTAATATTTAAGTAAGCATAGTCGAAGGCTTCCAGATACCCTATCATCTGGATAACAGCGGCGCAGACCACCAGGATGTGCATGAATGAGTGGGAGCTGCACATGTCGAAGCCTCCAGGCCACCAACTTTCGGGAAACCTCATCTTTCGAATCAGGTGTCTTAGGATCGATTTTTCTCCTGTATGGGCAAAATGGGAGACTCACTGCATAAAGCGCGGTTCCAGATAGAAGGCAGCCTATCTTTGCCACCAGAGTATAAGTGAAGCCTTTCTTGTTCATCAGGTCTAGGCCGACTATATCGAGCCCATGAGTCAAGGGCGCCACAACGGACACGGCAGTCGCCACGAACGCTAGTGTTCGCATGGAGCGATACTTATGGCTCTGGAGCTTAGGATGGATGCTCGTGATGATGGTCAATGCCCCAAAAACCCCAATCTATTGACCGATGAAGACAGTGTTAGATCCGATTACCAGTCCTGGCACAGAAAAAGCCGAGCTTATGGAGATCAACTAACCATAGACCAATAAATATTACGTAGCGTAGTCTCACACCAAAAGATTATGTATACTCCCAAGATAATGTCACCGACTATAAAGATCCCTATACCGAGCATATCTAGTCGGTGGTAGAGATGGTCCACCGTGTAAGAGTGGTTCATCAAAGTATGATAAAGAGCCGAAAATGCATAGCAAATGGTCGCCGTAAGCATAAAGAACGAGAAAGCAACAAAATCGGTACTAGTGACTCTGGAATATTTGCCAGCAAGGTCCTGCAAGATATACCACTCGCCGAGGAGGAAGACAACCGCCGGAATGAGATGGGAATAGATGTTGACCGTCTCGTTGTGGAGATACCACCAACTGCGGAACGAGGCGCGAAACGAGCCCGAGATGGGCCGGTAACCGTGAAGGATCCACTGATTGTTGTCGTGTTGAAACCATTCCGGCATCTCATCGAACGAGAGAAGAGCAGGGCGTCCTGCCTCACCGGACCCGGATGCGTCGTCTTCCATTCCCTGCCCTTTGCGCGCCACTGACTCCTTGGGCGGAACTCGGAGACGGGGTGTGGACGCCATTTACTGTCGCGCCTGGTGATGTGTAATGTCTGAAGGCCGGGATTTGAAAGTCAGTAAGAATCGAAGAAATGCGTTTCCTCTTTGCTGCGTAGTCCTTTTGTGTCTTGCGAAGTTGGGCCGCGGCTCTTTTCTTCGGTTGGTTGGGGCCGCTAAGCGCCAGCCTCGCTGGGCTGGTTGCATGGGCTCACTCACACCTCTTCGGAGACTCGGCCGGATGGACTTTTTGCCAATCAACGTCTGAAACATCCTAGTCTCCGATGCGCGCTCCTTGGCTCGGGCCGTGTGTCAAACAACTGCACAAGTTGCAGTCCTCGGGAGGAGCGCGGGGAGGAGAACCGCACGAATATGCCTACGACGGCGAGAATGATGAGTGCTGTGATGTCTGCTATTGTCAATATATGTGAGAAACTACTCTTCCCTATCCAAGTGCCGGCGAGCAAGCAAGCAGACTCAACGACCAACACGGTGAAGGTGGTGGTTTGTTGTGCTACAACCTCCACTTGCGAAATAACAAACTCAATGGATGTCTTGTCTGCTGGCAAGCAAACAATTTCGCAACCCACGGAATTGATAAATGCCCTAAGCCGGCATATCCTACGTGGGAGTGAGAAGGACGTCGAGGTGTGCACGGGCGACACTGTATATGTGGCACATGTTAGACCCTGGAAGTTGACTAGATTCTGGGGTGGAATATAACAGTAGGCCCGCCCGCCTAAGACTGTAGTAGTAGGTTTCTAGGGTAAGTCAGAAACTAGGGCCAGAGCGTTCGGTGTGCACATTCTCCATCAAACCCTTTATCAATGCTGCTCTTCACATAGGCTGAGACGAATCGGGCTGCCAAACTCAAGTACACGGCTGCATACACCGCATTGAGTGCCATACGACCATCCTAAAAGACAACATCCAAATGCAGTCGTGTCAATATTCCTCAGAAGGTGTGTGGCGTCCTTACGTCTCGCTGATCTACGGACTTGCGGCTGTCAATGTAATGGTTAATAGCTCTGGTTGCTTCGAGGGAACTGAAATCATGTAATATATGCTATATGGCATCTTTCCCATAACGTTCGCAAGTTATTCACCATTATGACTTAACTTATCGCCTTAATGAACTTTTCGTTAAACCACTAGTCTATTCTACAACTCAAATCAAGCCGTTCTAGAAGAGAAGGCTTTTACCCCCGTTCTTGGACTAACATCATTATTGATTGTATTATAATGGACGGGATTCCCACGCAGGTTGCATCTACGGGGTAATCGAGGATAGCTCCAGGTTCAAGAAGTCTACGATTTCTCATTTTGATTTCGTCGCGTGTTAACTTAACCCTTGTTTCGGTTTCTAGGTCTACCGACTCGCGGAAGACCTCTATAAGTTGAGAAGCAAGGACGCTCTTGTCCTCGGCCACGTCCAGGTCTGCGCCTTCCTTGCACCTCGCCGGCAATACCGCCGCGACTAGCAAGCGGTGAACTCCCTTCGGTCGCAGTGGTTGTTTTGTCCCCGACCAGAAGAATCCTCATTCGCCCCAGGACACCACTCGATTAGTGTTGCTTTGGTTTCCCAACAGAATGACTCCTTGCTGCCTTACAGTGAATGTTATATCACCCAGGTCCATGTTCTAAACTGTTAGGACGCCTGCTCGGTGGGTGATACGTCACCCGTCTTACATCGGAGTTCGCGTAGCCTATGACCACTTACGTGTTAATAACGATTCATCTTCGATCCCCGGGTTCGGATTATACAAATGACACGATTCGCAAACGTCTATGTTCCAGCCTGGAGGCATCCAATTTAATGGCGTCGTAATCAAGTCCGATGAGCTACAGTCCTTTTAGTGACTCCAAGTCTATCCATCACTTCATAATCTCTCAATCGCGTCGGGCAGGTAAATACTTCCGGCGAGAGTTCCGTGTGGGAGTGCATCGTGCACGTTTCTTGATAATATCACTCATACACGTACTCCACTTTGAACCGAATCTCTTGGACTGTGCACCCATTTTTGACCATTCCTAAGGATAGCCTCGCGTAGACCGGACCACCGGAAAGCGCGAAATCTCGTCTACCGATCGTCTGTTCCACAGGCCTCCATCGTCCTTGCTGCTGTGCCTCCAGCAAAGCTCTGCCAACAGATGCGAGGATTTCCTGGTTTATCGGATTTGCTGACCACAAACAAGGCAGTCCAGAGGCTCCGTCCACTCCTTGAGACCACCGGTCACTTCTTCCCGCAAATCAGTGATCTCGACAACTGGCGGACTGGCGTCACTTCTAATGATGGCAGAGAAATAACCCTCGTATGGTTTTGCCTCCTGGGCATCTGATTTGCGGCCGCGGCCTCTCTTTTTTGGTTCTGGCGCCTGTCCCGTGCGCTCTGCCGTGATAATGGGAAGCACGTTGCCGACGTCAGCCATCTTGACGGTGACTTGCTCCTCGGGCTTCACATCAATACAAAGCTCCGCCGTTGGTGGTGCTCCTGACTCGCTGGGTGACAGAGGCTGGCGGTCAGTCTCATTATCTCGCTCGTCCTTGACGGGCGCCAGCTTGTGAGGTTTGTTGGTTCCGAGGCGTGCGAAAGTGCGGAGGAGAGCTTCATGGATCAGGCACTCGTCGTGCAGCCACTTGCGGCACTCCTCGTTGGTACAGCCAATGAGCTTCTTGTCGGGGTTTTCGGGACGGTTGCAGCGGCAACGTTCCTCAGCAGACTGTAATTAATACATGAGTCAGCAACGTCTCAACGGCAGGCAATGTTCAGAGTACTGTGCGAATGTGGGATGGCATACCGAGAGGTCCATGGTTCGCACGTCAAAGGCCTGGCGCCAGTACAGAGCCGGCTGTACTTCGTCTTCATTTGTCTCGTCCCACTGATGGACAATTGCGCTTGCCGTGACACTGACGACGTTGATGACATCCACTGCAAAGACGACGAATGTCAGCTATCCACGCGATACACACCAGTTTGGGCGCGCAAAATTCCTTACTGTGATTGGAAGCGATGAGCTCGTTGTTGCCGTGGTAAGGCTGTCTACCCTTGATGACCCGTTTTCCTTCTGTCGTGCCAGCCGGCAGCTCGTCAGGCCAGTACATCCAGTAGACGCGCGCATACACGTGATGCTCGTCCGCAGCGCGAATTTCGAGAATCCTTGCGACCCAGTCGTCATCCGACTTCTTTCTAGGTTGACGGGACTCGCCGGGGTTCTTCTGGCGCTCAATAGTGTTGTCATTTGCGACGAAGACGAAGCCCTCGCTGTGGTACTTGACACCATTCACTACGCACCATCATGTTAGTATCGAGGCACGCGTTATCAGAGGACGAAGCAGCAGATATTACAAAACATATGGATACAAAGAGGGGTGGTGTGGGGGCGCGTACAAACGAAGCTGTTATATCTGGTCATGTCCATCCACTTGGCAAACGGAGCGATCTGGTAGTGGCGGTCCATGGTGTTGTCCTTGGCGTTGAACTTGCCGATGGGAGAGAATGGCGAGACCTGGAGGTGAATTTTTGGCGGAGGCGCGGGCCGATCCTCTGAACCGCCACGGCGGCGCTTTGTCTTCATCTCCTTCTCATTGGGATCCGCATGTATGACGGTGAAAGGGCACTCGGTCACATTCTCGGTGGACTCCTCCGGCCGAGGCCGCTTGCGAGCGGTGGCCATTGCTACAGAATCGTATGTTCTTCGGACCTTGAAGATTGGCGTGCTCCTTTGGCAGGAGCGTTACCTGTTTGTGATGCCGATATTCGCGCGTGGGACTCGAGCGACGTGTCCGGGTCGCGTGGACGGCTGAGCAGTAGCCGAGGGTGGAACTCGGACGGTTGGAACTCAGCGCGATCTCTTGTAAAGGGAAATAGAGCAAGTAGGCCCAGGCAGCAGCGGAGAGTCTGCAACAAAGCGGCGCGTTGGAGCTGCGCGCAGGCTCGGAGGCGAGGTGGCAAGTGCTGCACGGATGACGCAGCAGGAGCTACTACTAGGTCCCCAGCCAGAGAGCTGCGCTGGCGTGGCGCACGCGGCAGGCGCGACCCTGTCTCAATCCAGCGTCAAAAGGAGGGATGCTGCCCACGATGATATGAGACTTGCAGCAGGCAAAGAGGATGGATATCGGCTGCTATGCGCGGCGCAGGCGAGCAAAAGCTTGTAGAGGTGTGTGGGCTGGGGGTGGGCGGGTGATGCGGCCCGAGGTGCTGACTGACGCGCAGACGCGGAGGCGCGCACGGCTCTGAACAAGGAGCGAATTCGAGCTATTCTGAGAGAGCGACGAGAGCGCAGGCGTTTTCGCGATTTGACAGGCGCGATGATTGAGACGGAGCGGCGCGCGGCGGTGACGCTCGCGTGCAGCGGCTACTCTAGTGGACAAGGGTGTGGGCCGGCGGCCGGCGCGGCGCGTGGGAATCAGCTCGTGCTTGGGTAGGTGGGCAGGCAGCACCATCTAGCAACTCGACAAGCTGCAGCTCGTCAGAATGGGCTGGCCACTGTCCTTCTCGTTACGGGCACCAGCCAGCACAACACCACCCCCTCCGAAATCCTGGTGGCGGGGGTGAATCGTGTCAGCCAAGCCCAGCCGCCTCTGCTTTGTGTGTTCCCCCGCCATGCTGGGCACCACCACAACGACCTAAAGTCAGATTCTCAATTAAGGCACCACCAAATGCAGAAGATCACGCCGAGTATTATACTCACGCGCCAATCCCTCTGGACCTGTAATGCGATACGCAGAGGCCTAATTCGTGACAACACGAGATCCTCCGATGATCATTACCAGGGCCTTCTGGATGCTGGACAGAGCTGGCATGCAGACCAGCTGCGCGCTAGAGCTCGGCCATGTCCTTGCCGGCCGGCCCATCTGGCGGACCCACGGCGACTTCAAAGTCGACGCCGGTCTCGTTGTCGATTGTCCGGCCCCGTTCCGCATATTCGGTCGCCACTTTTGCCGCCATCTTGGCCTCACAGTCTTGACCTCCACCGCCGCCACCCGGCCCCGGCTCCGCCCTTGCATGCGTGGTAGCTTGCCCCGCTGCCAGCGTTCCTACGATCCAGTACCGCGTGCGGTGCATCGCCGACGAGAACGACTGTAGTCGCACTTCTTTCCAATGCGCGTGGCCTATGCCTGCAGAACAGTCCTTTTGGCTGGGATCATGGCTGACCGCCTCTGTAGCCCGGTGCTTCTGAATCTCTTCCCGCCTTCTTGTCACGAATCGGCACGCTATACAGCAGAATCCGGAGTAGACCTGGAGCTCCGTGATAGTTGGACTGCCGCCCACTGGGGGCTCTGCCTCGTATGGGTCCACGTGCCCTCGGAAGCCTTCTACTGCTGCTGCCGCTGCTGATTTGACCGCCCGTAGCTGGCCGCCCTTGAGCCGGTGCCTCGTAGAACCTAGAGCACCCATGCATATGGAGCGAGGTATTCTCCACACACTCGCAGACCAGATGCTTGGCCATCGTTTGCAGGCAACGTCTCGCTGATCACGGTGGGCCCGCTTTCTCAGTCTCCCGCCCACCTCCGTTCAGGACACCAGCTAGATGCCGCTCGAATAGAGAGTCCAGTAGTGGATTTCTATGGAATTCAAAGAACACCAATGAGTTGAGAAAACCCAAAGCTATTGTATATTATGATGGGAGGAGGATTCCGTGAAGGCCCTTTTTAATAGGTAGGTGCACGAAGGCGTACTCAAGGACGACCTCTTCCTTTTGGAAAGCCCCACTGTGCCGGGGTCCTCGCGTCGTGTGTTGGGCGCTCACGATAGCCAAATTACAGGTATGATCCAGCGTGTTCTATCTTTCAAGCATATCCATCGCGTGTATCACTCTTGGACGGCAGCTTGACATTTGGTCAGTGCACCTCTAAGTCCACCCTCCGCCTCGCGACCAGGGCGCATCACGACCAGGGGTCGCGACGCGACGCGTTCAAACACCCCACCATACAATCTGCCATATAAACCTGTTTCCTCGCGTCTCTCTGCGACATAATTACGACCATTACAAACCCCAAAAATGAGGCTATCGTCATGGTGCCAAAAGACTACCAATTGCGCGCCCGCCGCGCACTGGACGACATCGAGGCTGGCGTACCTATTGCGACAGCTGCCAAACTACACGAAGTCGACAGATCCTACCTACGTCGTCGCCTCAAGGCCGTTCCAACCTTCAAGCAAAAATACCAAGTCCGACAAGCCCTCTCCGTCACCCAGGAAGACTATATGGTCTCCTGGGCCCTCGACCAAGCCAAGCTGGGCTATGCAGCACCATTGAAGCAATTCAAGCACTTCGCGATGCGGCTGCTGTCGATCGACGACCCCGCCGCACATCTTGGGCAGCACTGGTACCGTCGTTTCATCCACCGAAACCCAGCCTTGACAACCTCGAGATCACGACTTATCGAATACAAACGGTACAACGGTGCCTGCAAGGCCAACATTGATATCTTCTTCGACCGGTTGACGTCATTGCAGCGCAGAAAGGTGCAGCCCGAGAATATCTGGAACGTGGACGAGTGCGGAGTGGCAGAAGGCCTAGGTCACAATGGCTTCGTGGTCAGTGATGCTCTGCGCAAGTTCACGTTGAAAAAGGACGGCGCCAGGAGGACCTGGATCACGATAATCGAGGCCATTTCTGCCGGCGGTCGTTCCATCCCTCCATTGGTTATCTTCAAGGGCCAGTCCGTTCAACAGCAATGGTTTCCTGATGTCAAAATCGATCGATGGAAGCATTGGTGTTTTGAGACTTCACCAAACGGGTGGACCAGCAATGATATTGCGCTGAAATGGCTCAAGGAGTTGTTCATCCCCAACACGGTTCCTGCTATTCCTGGTCAGTGGCGATGCCTTCTCCTAGACGGCCATAAGTCGCACGCAACAGAGGAATTCATGGCGGAATGCTTTATTAACAAGATCTGGCTGATTTACCTCCCGGCTTATACCTCACATGTTCTTCAGCCACTTGACGTAGGCGTGTTCTCGGCGGTGAAGTCGGCCTACCGTACAGCGGTTACAGAGGTTGCTTACGACACCATGAACGAGACCCCAGGCAAGCGGGAGTTTCTTGAGGCATATGAAACTGCGCGCAAAAGCAAGATGAATAAGGAGAACATAATGGCCGGCTTCAGAGGCACGGGGGTGTGGCCACACAATAGGTCAAAAGCGTTGAGCTCCCGGTTCGTGATGTTGACCCCTGAGGAGTCCCAGTCGACATCTCAAGATGGCCCAAATCAGGCCCAAATGACGTCTACAGAGCCGGACTTTTTGACGCCCTTATGCGCAATTGACGTCAAAACGCCAAAAACAGGTCGCGATATCTATGCATTGCATCAGGTACTGATAAAATGCGATTCTGCGCTGGCGACAGCGACGTGCAGGAAGCTGTTCCAGAAGGTGGCGAAGGCAATCGAGACTTCGAACCTCCGATACACCACTGCAGAACACCAAAAAGACCGCCTGCAAGCTGCATTGGAGGCTTCAAAGCCTAACAAACGTCGCAAAGTCGACCCGGATCCCAACAAAGACTTCGTTACCGTTATAAACGTCGAACGCGCGAAGAGACAGGTGCGGCGGGAGATGGGGTCGGACATCAGCACAGATAACAACACCGACAGTAGCGACGACGAGGTGGAGCTAATTGAAAGTGATAGTGATGAGGAGAGTTGCATAGAGGTGCAGGTCAATTAATTTAAAGCCTTTTTATTGGGTGGCTGACGAGCTATTGCAGAGTGACGGCGAGGTTGACGATGCCATCATGCGCAGGTGGGGGGTGGTCGCGAGGGGGTCTGGTCGCGAGGCGGAGGGTGAACTTATGCTTGTCGACAGCAGGGAGAAGCTAAAAATCACTGGAGTTGTCGATTTTGAGTGGTCGTATACCGGCCCGGCTCAGCTACTCGGCACTGCACCCTGGTGGCTCCTCCAAGAAAGGCCAAAACTCTGGGACTTCACCCCCAACATGAGAGCTCGGTTTCTCAGGCACTTAGGCTTATTTAAGCGCGTTCTAGAAGAAGAAGAGAAGCACGCGCCGGAGTACCAGAGCAAGGAGCTCTCGAAGTTGGTCGAGCGATCCGAAACCGAGGGGACGATGTGGTACCACATGGTCCTGCAGGGGTTCTTCCACGGTCCTGGCAGCTTGCCCTGGGAGCAGCTGAAAGACCACACTCCAGACTGGGACTTGCTTGCTGCAGGGATTCCTGAGGAGGATATTCGGTCCTTTGTCGCCGCCAAGATGGAGCACTTGAAGCTGCACGACGAGCGGCTAAAAAAGACGGAGATCACATACGATGAGATGCTGGCTGGAAAGTGGTCTATTCAAGGGTTTATCGACGAGGTCGAAGCCCCATACAAACATGCTGCAGAGATTCCTGAGGAGGGTATTGGGTCTTCTGTCGCTGCGGAGATGGCACACTTGAAGCTGCACGACGGGGTGGCTGAAAAAAGATGGAGACCACCTGCGATGAGATGTTGGCCGAAAGGTGACGGGTCGGGCCGGCCGCAGTAGGCGGCTACAGTGGCGAGACAGGCGAAACGCTTGTGCCACGACGGAGGCCAGGCGAAGGAGGGGTCGCTGCGTAGGCGTGGAAGGGCGGCGTGTCCGTGATGCCCTGTGCACCCCGATAATCTAAATGAATGGATGCCAATTCCCTTGGAGAGGTCGGCAGAAGAACGCTGGATGCTGTTGGTGCGCGACGAGATGAGAATAGGCGCAGCCTGTTGCTGCCTTTCTGCCTCGGGCAGTAGTGAACTTTTCGTGCACTCCCTTTCAGGCGCTTCTGGCTTCACCTCTGCCTTCGTCTCCTCATTCCTTCGGGCACGATGAACGCCTTAGTCCATCCAGCTTGGCTGGGCGTCCGATGCTCGTGTTAATCGCCTGTACGAGTGGTAAGTCCCCATCCATGCCTTGGCGGCATCCCCGCCGGTCATCGTCAGACCGTCCATTGGATTTCCCTCGCCACACGAAGATATTGTTAGCTTCGGCGGACGAGCCCCACGACGAGGAGCCTGCCAAGACCGCCACCCTCGCTGGCGTCTGCGCTCGGTTCAACCAGCGACGAGGGAGAACAGACTCCATGTCGACTATTCCGGCACCCACCGCCATTGATGGCCGCTCGCGGGACGGATCGTGGGGCTGCATTTATGGGCGCAAATCGTAGGTCACATTCCGACGGCTCCAACCACCCTGACGACTCCCACCACCACCAAGAGCCGATCGCTGCAGACCTCCTCGAATGGAAGATGGCGGTGGAGGACCTCACACACACAGACATTGCGCAAGTTGACCGTTCCGAGCAATAACTCGCAGTATCTATTTGTCCGCCAATGCCTTAGGAACCCTCTTGGGCTTCCTGAAGGATCTCCCTCATCCGAGCATACAATCCTGTGTCCTCTCTTTCCCACCTCCCACCATTTGGAAACACAACTTTCCGTAACCTGTTCACCCAGGGCACCAAAGGCTGGTAATAATGCGTGAAGTTCTCTTCCGCGGTTCTGATGAAGTCCCCTTCATGGGATACTTGCCCTTTTTTCAGCTCTGCTAGCTCATCCGTATCGACATAATTCCACTTCTCAAACCGCGGAACGGCTCTGCCCTCATCGGGCCCTTTGTAGTGGATGCATATCCAGAAGAGCACCCAGAAGAATGACTCGAGGTCGTGCATGAAAGAATGTTGCTCGCCCAGAAGCGCCCCGATTGCCATGAACGCCCTCGTGCCGGTCTTGCCCTTTGCTCCAGAGGCGCCCTCTCGTTGCTCTCTGACGGCGAGGTCCAGGTCAATCAAGAACGAAGGCCAGGAGGGATTGTTGTCGTCCTCATTGATCATGAGATTGTTGATTGAGATGTCTCTGTGGAGGAAACCAGCCTTGCGCAAGGATTCATGTCCTTCAATGCAGCCCTCCATCGCGACAAGGAGAGCCGATCGGGAGCTCGCCTTGTATATGGGCTTTCCATAGTCACGAAGAATGACACGCCGATGTACGCGATTCGGCAGTGCATCGCCGCCAGCCTTCGTTGGAGATGCCGAACAGGACCGCTTGCTGGGGGGCAGAGGGGCGCCAATTTGACTGGATGATCGCTTTTTGCCAGCAGCGCGGCTGCTGCTGCGACCTCTCCGTGAAGCCCCAGACGCGATTATACTCGGCGGCAGCATCGAGCGTTCCGGCCGGTAGTTCGTAGCTGTGGTGACATCCAGTCCTCCGCGAACGTTGCTTCGAATGTTGTCATCCGTGCCATGTACCTGAACAGTCTCGTGGTAGTAGTATCGGGCCACGTTGACAACGCCTTGGCCAGTTGCCTCGCGTAACAATTCGCCCTCCTCATCGCGTTCGGGGTATTGCCATGAGTCTTTGATGACGAGCGGTGTCTGTGGGTGTCCTTCGCGATGGGCTTTCCAGCAAGTCGTGGCCCGGCCAGTTATGCAACGTGCGCGTTGCATCACCTCCTCAATGATGAGTCGCTCTGTTGAACCATCCCGCTCGATCTCGATAAATCGTTCGTCATTTGCCGTCATGATTGTCGGATCGAAGCCAAGCTCCTCCTCGCTCATCCAGAGAAATCCGAGGACCGTGGACACAAACTGCAGCCCATCTTTGTTGATGTCGAATTGTTCGGATGCGATCCCCCCGAGTCGGTCAAACTCCCATATCCTCATGAGAGACCCGCAGATGGTGAAGCCTAAAACGAACCGACGAGTGTCTTGAGCAGCGAGAACCTCTCTCGCGTACCTCCCAAGATCAAGCCATGCCTTGGACGCTGTGTCGGCCAATGGATTGCTTTTCAGCTCGCCGGGGACGAGGACCCGCGACCAGTGGCATTGAGAATCCTTGTCGGCCTTGGTGTCGTTCACGAAGCCGACGTCCAATTTGCGTTCCCCTGTGGAACCGCGGATTGGCTTGTTGGGTTGTGCCAATGGTCTCCGTCGACATGCCGGGTTTGACCCGTGGTGTTCTGCAAAGGCCGCCAGCTTCTCGCACAAGCCCGCAAACCAGCTCAAGACGTCGTCCTGGTTTGCGTCTTTTGGCCATCCGCTCCAGCCTTCATGGAAGAGCGGATTGCTGCCTCCCTTGCATTCCTTGAAGACGGCCTCGGCGGCTGTCTCAAGACCGGCCACACGTCCGAAATATGTCTCGCAGAAGCGAGGAAGCCCGACGTAGAGAGGACCAAGCTCCAACTTAAGGACTCTGTCCACATCTTTGCGGCCTTCGGAGGAGTTCGCGAAGCTGCTCGTGTTGTGCAGCCAAGGGGTTTGGTGGAGGGATGATGCTGTCGGTCGGGGCGGCGGAGTGGATTCGGTGACGGCGTGGTAGACTTCATTCCAGATAACTGCGTCGTCCGGGTCGTCGGTAAGAGCCGCATTCAGAAGAGGTTTGATGCTGTTGAGGTCGAAGTCGTCGGAGTTGACAGCGGAATTGAGTCTTGAGAGATCGCTCAGGAGATTCTTGCCACTACCGCTGGAACGAAGTAGGCGAGAGATTCGAAGGCTTTGGAGCGCCAGAAGAAGATCAAGGGTGAGATTCTGCAGCTCTGCACAATGGTCAGAAGGGCCACATGGAACGAAGCTGTGCTGTCGTTCTTACCTTCGCGGTCGAGCCTGCCTAGCGAGTCCGGAGTGCAGGGGACGCTCGCGCCCTCGCAGATCAGACTGAATGAAGCGCGGAAGGCATCAAGGCCTTTGCCAATGGGGTTCTCCTTGATGATCTGCGACCGCGCTAGGTCTGCCATGGTCGACGGAATGCGATGGTGAGAAGGACGGGGAAGGCCGAGGGAGGTCGCGACGCGACATTTTGGGCGGTGGGGAATTTGCCGCCCAGCCACCGACGCACCCGATTCTCAGCCCCTGCACCGTTAGTCAGCAGCTTCATGGTACAGAAGTGGGCCACCCGACCAACCAACCAACATGCACCATTCACCGGGTCCACTAGGGACGTCGAGAAGAGCAACGAGAACTCGGAGAGTGATGACTGCACATGCGGAAGTTTGGTATTTGATGTCACCGAGGGAGTGGGTTGTGGTTGAGAAGATAATAGGTGTTCGTGGTTGCGTGGGTGGGCGGAGAACGCGACGCCGGGAGGCGCGCTGCCATCTAATGAATCCCAATGACAAAACCTGGAGGGGGGTTGTGGAGATGGTGCAGTATTCTCTGGGCCGGAACGGAATAACCCCGGAACGCCTGGGAACTCGGGCGGATCGGACAAAGTCCGGGTGGAGAACATCAACGTCCAGCAGCAATATCGCCGCAGAGAATCGCCCAGATACTGCGAGATTTCGGATAACGTTGATGGAAACTGCTGCTCAGGGAGCTTTATGAATGTGGGAGTACGGTCCCGTGAAGGTCCAGGTTCGCAAGCGTCAATGGCTCCAGGAGTTGGTCATACTGCCACGTCATTAAGAATATTCCGTAATAAGGCAAAGGGCATGCTTGCATGTGAACTGTCCCCGGATCAGTGCTCAAACTTGTGGTGCTCAGATATCTGTTGACGTAGTTGCGTCATTCGCCTAAGCTTACAACTGTTAAGTCTAGCGCGCAAGGAGGCACCTTTGTAGAGCGTCGGGATCGAATGTGAGAGACAGCATCGAAAGATAGCGATGGCTGAAGGGAATAGGTGGTGACAGTGAGGATGTAAGCTCGCCGCGCCGCCAGGCCCTGCGGCCGTGTTCGAGACAACGGTACAGCTCGCCAAGTGACGCTCCTACGAGCCATGATTCCAGCCAAAGACGCTTGCGGGCCGTGTCATGCGATGATTTCTGCGCACGGTGGGATGGTCCCCCCGCGATGTTATTTATCCTGATTGGAGACAGCCTTTTATCCCTTGACTACCTCGTCCAGCTGACTTAGCGGCACAACTGGCGGACAGACTGCAGCAAAAAGTGGAGGAGACTATCGGACTGTGCTAGATCTGGGACAGATACCCGCGTAAGAAGAGCCTTTTAGAAAGCTAGGCTAGGTTCTCGTCCATTTGACGTTTGCTCCTTTGCGTTGGTCGTGACGATGTCTCGAGTGCCACTGCAACCCATGTGGTTTCAGTGTGGGTCGCTGGCATGATTGACGCGCCCTCGTTTGCGGAGCTTCCGGGGCTACAGGCTTCCCGGTTCGGTTCCCGATTTAGAGGAAGTGCAAGTAACTATTCAATCTTCCTCTCTGCTCTTTGGCCTCTGAAAGTGACGCTGTCTTATGATGTTCCGCCAAGCCACCAAGATAAAAGGTCCGTGCGTAATCGACTTCCCTAGATCCCCGGAATCCCGAGCGGACACCGATCTGAAGTTGACTATATCATTCCTTACTCATTGATCTAACAAATCAGATGCATGGGAGTGATATCGCTTCCGAGAGACACGACAACCTAGGGAGAGCATTTGACCCCAGAGGCTAGACCATAACAAGTGTCTCGTCATCCAGCTGAGCAATAGACCTTGACAGCCGTTTTAGGATGTTTGTTTGTTCCAGGCCATAATTGGACCCAACTGCAAATAACTACATTAGCATAAGGGGACATAAAAAGCCTCGAAACCCTTGGTACATACTTCAAAACAACGAGGCTCCTTGAACCTAGCAGTTGAACAATAATGCTTGAAGTTATTATTAGCGGCAAAGAAGGACTATCACTTACATCCAGCCAGGAAAGCCTTCGGGGGACAATGATGTTTGATATACCTGACGAGCTTAAGGCAGATGGGATTCCTTTAGATGTGACCGACGATGCTTTGCGGAAGATCCATGAATGGAGCGATTACCAGTTCGACTATCAACAGCGCAAGGCGGAAATAGATACATGCGGAGGGGATGCGAATGAAAAAAAACAGAAGTCAGTTCGAGAGTGGTGGACAGAAAGTGACGATCTCTTTAGGAAGAAAGTCAGCTGGGAGTTAAACTTCCTAAAGACTTTAGAGCCAAAGCTCCTTTTTGAACTGATTGAGGCGGCGGACCGTTATGACCTAGCGGGTTTGTTGGATATGACCTGCTTTGAGGCAGGACGTTTACTACAAGGTCGAAAACTCGACTCCGTCACAGATTTACGTATTGACCAGCTGAGCCATATTGCAGAGAGGATGGGCCCTAATGCCGTTAAGACTGCGCTACAGGATCACTGTATTGAGCTGGAATGGCAGCAAATTGAGCACAATGAGACATGGACTGCACTCTTCCGCGACGACAACTGGTTCGATCATATAACTAGCCCGATACACGATTATAAACCAAATCCGATCATTGTGGGGCGAGACATGACTAAAGTCGCCTTCTTCGTCTTCGCTGATATGGACTGGACGGGAGATCCTACAGTGGGGTTCAGGTTCACAGTTCCATCCCTCAAGATCCAGACTTTGAAAGTGGAGCCAATTTTGGGTCGTGCACAGTGCATGGCTTGACGAACACTATGTACTGCGGTAGCAGGTGTGTTACAGTCTGATTCAAGCAGAAGATTCTATGTGCACGGCCCATCCAGTCTTGGCAGCATCCGGTACAGTGGACAAATGTGACGCAGGGGTGGAACATCTCAGACAGCCGTTTTGTGCTTCAACGTCATTTGTGGCCTGGTTTGGAGTCTGCATACAAAATCGGGTCATGCCAACAAACCTTCCCGCACTTGTCACGAATTGAACGAATCTCCCTCCTCTCGGATTCTACGGCGGAGGTCCCAATTGGTGTTCGCTTCCCACACTCTTTGACTTTTTCCAGACAATAGGGTACGGGTGATGACACAGTGCTCGCGTCGGGTCGTTGTTGCCGTGGCTGTAGACAACGGCGTGGATGTCTTAAGCTGGGACTTCTCTGTACAGTGCCATCGCTTCCACCGTCTGATTGATCAGAAGGCTCGTCGTCAATACCTTCGCCTGGCGCTGGCCGGCATGTTGAGACTGCGAGACGGCAGCGGAAAGCGTATGGCGATCGATCGACACGGCGATAGTCTCGAGAAATATATGCTGATGGCGGTGAGGTCTGCTTTCGTACACTCTCTGGACCAAGCTTTAGCATGGCATCATGGTCCGCAAACCACCGTCCAATGTGCTCCATGACCCGGGAGCGCTCATCCTGCCCGAGGTTGGAATGTTGTTCCTCGATTGCCAGCAGGGTGAAGGCAAGTACCTTACTGACAGCTGTGCGACATAGGGCATTGTCGGGATGCGCCAGCACCTCCACTCGTGGCTCCGCAAGTTGGAACAGCAATTGCTCCGGAGTCTTCCAGTCGATTTTCAAGAAGATGATTGCCTCGCCAGTTGTACCATAGCTGTACGCAAGACCGCCAATGATCATGCAGTGATATATCTGGGAAACAGCGGCAGCGACAACCCTTCGGCATGGTATGAGAATAGCTCGTCTTTGTCGCTTGGTATCGTTGATACGTTCACGACCTCCTTCTGTATATTCATTTCCCGCAGACTAATACGAAGGTGAGGCAACGCCAACTTATGCGGCGGCTTGCAATCAACCACGAAAGCCAGGTTTCGCCGGCTCCTGTCCATGCCATCGTGCCTGTAGACGCACACCCGGTCGGCGCGAAGCTGGTTCGAATCGGATATCGCACGTCGTTGTGTTGGTTCGTCAGCGCCATTTCACTAAGCGCGTTTGGATGATTGTCGAAAGTGAGGCCTCGGCCCAGAGCGAATGCTCGCTTTGTCGCATCGTGGTCTTTGAGGATCTCGACAATGTTGGTGACGGGGGTCTGGACGATGTTGTGCTGAACTGATTCAAGATCGCGCTCGTTCGCTATCTTCTTCCTTCTGAGCCGTTCACCGAGCTCCTCGAGGAAGGTAACACTTTCGAAGGCCTGCTTGTCTGCAGGAAAGGTCGAGTACAGTCTTCCATGAATTGATTTTTGTTGCTCGAGAAAGTCGGTCCATGGCTTGAGTGTCGAAGACACCAATTTATCCTGAGGGTTTGTGATGGTTCCTTTCGAAGGGAGGGAGTTGTTGGGCTTGACGGTTATATTGAGGTCGAGATAATCGTGGCAGTTGGTGATGTGTTCAGCTAATGTTGTCTGGCGGCATTGGGCTGTGACATCCTCTGCGCGTTGCCCCTCGCTGTCTGCACGTCGCCGCTCGTTGTCTGCGCGTCGCTGCTCGTCATCTGCGCGTTGCTGTTGGCTAGCTGCACGTTGGCGTAAGTTCTCCTGCCCTCGAGAGGCTTCCACTGCACGTTGCCGTACTTGTCTCGTCAATCCAATGCGTCGTGAAAGCCCACAAAGCGAGTGTCTCGGCTGAGTCTTGGTGGAGACACAACCCAAGTCCGAGCAGGGACACACCCTGGACCAACATGTTTACCACTCTTCACTGCCCACACCCAACGCCTCTTCCTGGCGAAAACACCATTCCTGTGGCACATCCGTGCTGACTTCTAGGTTCTTCATCGCTCTCTTCGTCTGCCCGAGTATGTCAACTTTGAGCCTTGTTTGGGCTGGCTCGGTATATCCTCAAAATGCCGAGAAGTCAGTAGTGTCGGAGAACGAACAAGGCAGTCGCAGCCGGCAAGTTTGTTGTTCTATCGGACAAGCTGCGAGGTAAACCAGAAGTAAGGTGCTGGTGATTGGTCCGGGGAGTCGACCTGTCGCCCGTGTTAAGCAAGGAAATCTCTACAGCTTTATCAATTACCGTCTCCCAACTACCAGATAAGACGCAGCAGAATGACTGCACATCTAGCTCTTTTGAACGAGACAAGTCAGGAGTCTAAACGTCCTCATAACAGCCAAGACACACGAAATGATTTCCCTCAATCCACAAATTCAGATTACCACCTCTGTAAAACGTTCCAATAGTCTCTTCCATGTGGTAGAAGAGGCCGTTGGCTGCGCTTTCGCATCATCCGCGAGAACGATGGCTGGAGCCGTAAGTGTCTTGCTAGAACCCAAGATGATGATTCCGCGCCTCGCCCTTGTCAGTGCAACATTCAGCCTTCTCATATCGTTGAGGAACCCAATCTCTCCTTGCTCGTTGCACCGCACCGTGACGAAAACGACGATGTCCGCCTCCCGACCCTGATAACCGTCAATACTGGACACTTCGATATCCCCTGACAACACTGATATCGCTTTGGTGGTAAGCAGAGCCTTTTGCGCCGTGTAGGGCGTCAATATGACAATGGATTGCTGGTTGTCCTTGCGAGATGGATTAGATGACGAGCCGTCTGTGAGTAAGTGACACACGCCGACACAGTTCTGCCTGGGCCTGGTTGCGTTTGGACTTCTGGCCAATGTCTTCGTGACCATCACATTCGATGAAGACTGTCCGCACAAACTGTCCGGAAACAGAGCTTCGGGGCCAAGGGAAAGCAGACACGGCCAGAACCCTCTGATCAGCTGCCATGCCTGTTCTGAGCTCCCCTTGGTAGAACTCTTCCGAGCTGAACTCGCAGATTGACTTGTGCATACGGTACTGTGTATTGAGCATCGACGTCTGCACACCTGCCAAGCGATTGCCGCTTGTCTGCGAGTTGGTGCACAAGGTGTAAAGACGTTCGAACAGAGACACGTCGTACCCCAAGGGCAGCGTGACTGGTTGCACCGTCGGGCGAAGCTGCACATGGTCGCCTACTAGAACAGCTCGCTTGCAGCCCTTGGTCAGTGGTACCAGAGAAGCCGGCTCCGTCTGTTGGGACGCTTCATCGACGATGACGATGCCGAAATCCTCAGATCGCAGCAAGCCGATACCTGCGCCGATGCAGGTCGAAAAGGCAACACGGCAGGCTTTCATTCGTCTCTTGGCTTCGCGCATGGCCACGTGTGAGTCGTATATCTCTGTGCCCACCATGCCGTCTAGTGTGTATGGCCTCAGCTCTTCAGCCACTTTGCGCACCTAGGCTCGCAAGGCTGGTGTCAGTCACGGCGCAACAAGCCTTCAACTTTGTGAAAGACGGGAGGGGAGAATAGCATCAAACACGATAGTACTCACTTCGGTCGAGACTCGGACGGCAACTGGTCCGTCTCGTCCTTGGCCGCGGAGATAGCGACTCATTACATTATCCACAGCGTTGTGAGTAGGTGCTGTGACGAGGATGCGCTCTTTCGGAAATCTCCTCAACAAGCCAAGCAGAATCGTGACGATCGTCTGTGTCTTGCCTGTACCTGGGGGCCCTATATTAGCACGACCGGGTGTGTTAGGGAGGTAAGCACCGCGTTTCTCTGGCTGTCGTTGAGCGCGAGCTGGGTCTCATGGTCCATGGCTGCTTCTGCGTCCAACTCCATTGCATCGTTGTCCTCTGATGGGCTCGCATTCGTGCTCAGCCCCAAAAGGTGCGTTGCTATGCCGCACACGTCCTCGTCCATGCTGGCAAAAAGCCTCATCGCGGTGAACATCGTTTGCGAGGTGACAAAAGGTCCGCAATATGTCAGAGTCCATGAGCAGTGCGCTAAAAAGGCCGGCAGGGAATGGAAACACTGGAACTTGGCAGCCCCTTGTTGATTCTGCACCACGAGTGCGTCGATTGACGCTTTCCTCGCCAAAGGCGCATTGGTCGGTAATGAGGACGCTATCAAACGTACGTGTGCCCATGTCTCGGGTGCATGCGCTGCATCGATGCGAAAAGTGCATGCGACTAAGGGAAACCCATCACGTTCTTCTCCCAGATCCTTGAGCGTAAGAAGGTCCGGTCTTGTGGTTTGTTGTTCTTGAAGCTCAGAGATATGATCCATGGCGATAGCTACGACATTGCTGACAAAGTGCTTCACGAGTGCTGGTCTTGCCTCGCCTGAGAACAGCCGCGAACTTTCGCGCTCTAGACATTGGAGCAGGAAATCCATTGCAAGGTCAGTGGAATGGATTGAAAGCGCACACAACTCGGCCAGGCCTGCCATTCCACAAAGCGACAAGGAGTGGAGGCGTGCAAGGGTAGTCTCGAAGAGCGGAATGGCCAGATATCCTGCATCAGAGACGCAAAGTATCAGCGCCTTCAGTATCTGTTGTCCTCAGGCTTGAAGCGTGAGCGATATCGACTCCGGTACGCTGGGTGATTCCCAAGTGTCCAACCTGGTGAAGCGAGTTGCCATGGCTGGATTGATGGACATGTGATCGAGCAATGCTTCAACTTGTCGGCTCAAGCACTCAACGTCTGGGAAATCAGTAACGATCCTTCCGAGTACATGATCGTAGATGTTCGTGATGGCATTGATGCTGTTGTGCTGGTGCAACCACTTGAGGATGTCTACTAGCTCCGCGCGGGTCTTGACATCGTCAACAACGTCAATCTCCCCAAGGGCTACCTTCGGGTTTGTTCAGACACTCCCTCGTAGTTCGCCCCCGCCACGTTGTCGACCGAGTATATTCTTGGCTCTTCGTCAAATAAGGGAAGAACTTGCTCGGTCTCAATGTAGTTCAGCCACAGATCGAGACATCTCAAGGATTCTACATCTCGGTTGCTTATGACAAAGATTTCCTGAAATTGACGGTCAGCCATTGTCTGGAAGGGTCTGAAAATGTAAAAAGTGCATACCGCAGCCAACAGCCCGTTGCTATTCACGCGTCCGATATATCGCTGCAACTCTTGGCTGCACTTGTTGAGCGCAACGCTCACTCGGTCGTCGAAGTTTTTTCCACTCTCGATGGTGCTCTGTCGTTGACGTCTCCGATCTCCTTGGTTTGTCGTGTTGCGATAGGCGGCATCATCCGAAGCACCCCGCCTGATGAATATCCAGGTATTGCTGCGTTGATTCTCGAAGAGCTGGAACAAGTTGTCATCGCAGTACAGTCGATAATTCTTCTTTGTAGGTCGTTGTCCACCTGAGGCTGGTGAGTCTTTGACGTGAGGAAAGGCAAAGACACGGACTGTGTCATGTACCAGATAATCCTGGGACTTGACTATCTTTTGCGGTATGTAGATCGCAAGAGAGAGCCTTTCGTCAACCTGAAGCACGACCAGTTTCTTGTGAAACTGCTCCAGCGTCTTCGCGGCTGTGTCGAGAAATGTGGCAAGTCGCTCCTGCGACGAGTCATACACATTCTTCCGCCCGAGCTGGTGATAGTTGAGCTTCTGGAACGTCAAGTCGCCTTGCGATAATATATTGGATGAGCATAGACCATTGAGAACGATGCTAGGCAGCCACTGAAGTTGTAGCACTGCAGAGAGGATCCAGTGCTTCTGCTCAGTCGACAGAGAGTTCATGTCGAAGTAAGGTAAGAAGTCAGCCAGATATGATCCATTTCTGCGACACCAGCGCGCAGTCATTTCAAGAAGCTCAAACTCGGTGGTGGCTAGGTCATCGCGAGAGAGTAAGAGCTCCAGAGTGTCAAGAGCTACGCCATCCAGATTCACCGACTTCATCCTGCAGCGGAGAACAGGAGGCCGATTCGTTTGGCCTTCTTGGCGACCGTCTTCATCTTGGTAAAGTCCCCGAGCGATTCGACCATCTTACTGATGTCGTCTTTGGACGCTTCGAACATGAAGCAGGTCCTGGATTTCAGCTGACTATTGCTGTGCCCATAGAAATGGTATGATTCTCCTTGCAGCGTGACACCAGCCCGTAGCAAGCGAACCACATAATCGGTGTGCTCCCAGAATGTTGACGGACGAGTGCCAGTGAGTTCGCTCTTCAGTCCCGGAGGAGGACGAAAGTCGGCCACGGATAACATGATGAACTTGTCCAATGGGTGAACACCCGTGGCGCGAGTAGCTTCTTGTGTGACAAAACGGAGTACCATTCTTTGGTTGGTCTCTCTCGTGACCAGAGCGATGGACTTGACCAGCTTTTCTTCGTTGAGCATCTGCTCACTGGGCAGCCCTTCCAGCTCGAAGATCCATTCGCGGTCATCGAGGCTGAGCGAGTCCTTCAGCGTGAACTCCAATGAGCCAAGCTTTGGCATCTTGATGGGTGCTTTGAATAGAGATTGTGGATAGTGATCGCGGATGACTTTGCGACGTGATTTTTCATCACGAAGAGTCATCAGGGCGTTTGATGTATCTTCTGGACAGCTCTGCCAAGATGGGTAATTGCCGCATGCCGGGAGCATATTTGAGGGGTCACCACGTGATATGGTCGGCCTCCCCCACATCACTTATCATGCATATAACGTCCTCCACAAGGGAGTGGGACAAACAAGGGAGTGGGACACTTCCGTCCTACCTACGCGACAATATATAAGAGAAATCAACCACAACGCCTCAAATTAATTCAAACTATTCAGAATCCTCTTCTTCAGAGGTGGACTCAACTTTCTGACACGTACGCGCATTATGGCCGGGCTCCCCGCAGACGCCACAGCGTCGCGCGCGCGTCTCTGTCCTCCTCGTACGGCCACTATGCTGACTCGTTTCTGCCCTTAACTGCTCCGTCGCGTCAATCTGGGACTTTAAATCCTTTGCCTGATCAATCGTAAGGGACCCTCCTTTCTGTAATTGCTTTCTCTTCGTACGGCGACGGCGGCTAAGGCGGTCATTTGCATCTCGAAGTTCGGCGAGTTCGTGGCGTACAAGGGTCTGCTCGTGCACCATCATCGCGATTCCTTTATTTAGCTGCCGTAGGCTTGCAATTATTGATGTTGGAGAGCTGCCCTGATGTCGTACGATGCGATTCTTGATGTATTCGGTCTGTGATTCCGCCTCAATCGGGTTGTTCGGCGTCTTCGAGACCCAAGGCGGCGGAAGGCCTGCAGATGAACTTGGCGGAGTTGGCGTATGAGGCTTTACATCTAGCTGCGAAATAACATATTCCGGGTCGTACGGTACTAGGCCAGTCGCTCTAAAGCCTACCTGTATATTTGACTTGGTAATTGCAGCGTCGTACGCCTTTTAAAAGGCTAGGAGGAAGTCTTCCTTCGCGATGTGGGTAATATGCGCCCGCATGAGACCCTCAATTTCTTTTCCGTGCGCCCTTTTAAGAGGTCCAAAGCACCCGACATCGAGAGGCTGGAGCTTATGCGACGAATGAGCAGGCATACAGAGCGTGATTATATTCTGGTCCTTGCAGTATAGCTCGAAATCGACCGAGTGGTGGCTCTCGTGGCCGTCGAGGATAAGGAGCCGGTAAGCGCCCTTCGTACGGCTCTTTGTATGAAAATCGAAGTGTTTTACCCATTCGAGACCTTTCTCATTCGTCGTCCAGCCGTTTTCAGTAAGCGTAATTACCCAGTTAGGCGGTAGAGGGCTGTCGGACGTTCAGGAGTCGAGGTGGACCTTGCCTGCGAAGATGATATACGGCGGGATCGGATTGCCGGACGACCCAATGCACTGGATAGCTGTAACCCATTCCTGATTGCCTTGTTGTACGGCTCTAGGCCTTCCACGTCGATCGGAGGTTGTAACGACAGTTTCGGTAGAGATTTTACCCATCGCAAACCCGGTTTCGTCGAAGTTGTAGATATCGTCATTATGGATCCCGTATTTCGCGATTATGTTTCGTACGAGCTCAAACCACGCGCGATACGCGTCCGGATCCTCGCAGAGGACTCTCTGGTAGTCGATTCTTCGATTAAAACGCGTACGGAGCTCAGATCGTCGTCGTACGAAGTTTGCAGCCCAGTTCGTTCCGACGCGTGGCGCGTCGCGTTCGCGGAGGAGTCGATCCGCCATTTCTCGAACACCACTTAAGCGCGGCGGAAACGATCGCGAATCTAGGTCGATTACGTATTGTATAATGCTCTCCTCTTCGTACGGGGTCAATTTCTGGCAGGGTGGTCGGACATCTTGTTGCGGAGGTCGGCCGTGTCGTCGTCGTTGGAGGGTCGAGAAGGATACATTGTAGATCTGTGCAGCCTTTCGTACGCTTAATTTTGGGTCGGAATGGAGCGCATTAAGCGCTAGGACTAGGTCCCTTTCATTTGATTGTCGTCCCATTATTATCGGTGGAGAAAAGGAGGAAAGAAGAAGGCCTGTACGAAAATGGTAGGAGACTGATTCATCCACTTGTGTGATTCATCCACTTGTGGATTACGTTAATTCTTTTAACTTTATTATACCTAGATCGCGAAAACAGAAAAGTGGGGCCTTAAATGCCTATAAGTCTTAAGCTAGGACCTTCTATCTTTATTCTAGAAAAAATATATTTAAGGAAGACGTAGATGTGACGACCCGACCAACAGGTCGCAGGATCGGGCTGTTACGGGCTCGGGCTCTGGCCCGAGCCTAGGTGGGTCAAAAAAGGGGAGACAGGGGGGGTTAACAAAACCGTAACGCGCTCACGGAGAGTGCGAACTACCTCCTTTTATTTCCCAAGTTCGTAGTAAATCTAATACGCCTAGTATCTGTTCAGACCTAGGGCCAGTACTTAACATACTACGAACTTCCTCGTCCTCGGATATGGCCGAGGTCGATGAGCTAAGAGCACGGCTCGACGCTATGCAGATCGAGATGCGCGACCTCCGCGCCACGTACGAAGCAACCCTCCCTAGCGGCTCCCCATCCAATCACCAATCAGGCATCGATACGTTCGAAGACCGACTCAGCCGAATGCGCGTCGAAATCGAACAACTGCGGGCAGCGCAGACACCGCTCCCTTCAAGCGCACCCGGCGACGCAAATACGGACGGTGCAGGGCGTTCCCCGCCCTCGATAAGCCCGGCACGCGAATATCCCGCCAACTCGACTCGCCCATACCCTAATCCGACACCGCCGCTCACCCTACGGAAACCGCTCCCGAAAGGAGAGCCTTATAATGGCGACAAGCAAACCTTCGCGGCCTGGAAGATTACTATCCGACATAAGCTTACAGCCGACCAGCACTTCATCGGGTCCGCAGAGGACCAATGGGTGTACCTATGGCAGAATCTCTCCCCTAAGGTCCAGGCGCAAGTCGCGGCCTACTACGAAGCAGCAGGGGAGGGGACAGGCTATAACACGGACGTATTCCTATCGTATCTCGAGACCGTCTTCGGGAACCCCCACCGACAGCAGGTTGCTGAAGCGGAACTCGACAATCTTCGGCAAGGAAAGAACGAGTCCTTCGCAACATTCTTCGTGCGCTTCGAGCAAAAAATGGCCCTAGCGGGGGGGCACGAATGGTCGGCCGGAATACGCCTATCCCGTCTCCGAAGAGCCCTCTCCTCGGAGATCCGCGAAAAGAGCGTAGGAGCCGGGGTCTCCAGGGATAACTACGAATTGGCGGTCAACCAATACCGATCGATCGCGACGGATATCGAAACGTATCGAATGGAAGAACGGTTTCGCTATCACCCAAGCCATGCGCCGACCCCGAGGCGGACTCGCTTCGTAGACAACGAGGGTGATACTCGGATGACAGGAGTTAACGCGTTAACTCAACACGGCACCAGTAAGAAAAGCCAGGGCCGCTCCCAACCACGGAGCGGAAACGGGCAGCCCAAACGGAGGGCTAACTGGGTCTCGAAGGAGATCCTCGACGAAAGAAGGAAGCAAGGGGCTTGCCTACGTTGCGGAGCCAAAGGACACTTCGCTCAGGACTGCAACCTCGCCCCCGCGATACGCCCCTCGACGGCAGTACGGACACTGACCGTGGATGAGGGATACTCCGACCCGGAGTCGGACCGCGAAGACACAAAAAACGAGGAGACCTTGGCCTAAGTCTCCGGCCAAGGCGACCAGGGTCACACCCGCAATCAGTCGAAGTACAGGGTCCCCAAGGGGCGGAGGAATTTCGGAAGATAGAAGCGCAAATGAACGAACTACCATTCTTAGTGCCGATATTAGTCCATTCCCTGAAAACCTTCGACGTGCAAATCGACAGCGGTTGTGACTGTTACGGAGCAATTAGCGAGGAGGCGGCACGAGGCCTCGGTCTGAAAGGAATCAGGCTCCACTCGCCGCGGGAGTTGAAGGTAGCACGGAACCTTCCCCGCGCCCCGGCAATCAAAACGTTCGTCCGCACGTACCTCGACGTGGATGGATGGACATGCCCAGCCGCCCTCTACGTTATCCCGGGGCTCTCCCGAGACCTAATCTTAGGCCTCCCGTGGATTAAACGCTGGGGAGTACGGATGGACGCCCAGAGGAGAACATTGAATATCGGTGCGGCTTGGGACCTCGAAGTAAGGACCTCCGAACAGAGGGGTGGGCGCTCGCGCCTAACTAGAGTTTCGGGCTCGGTAATGAGACGCCTCCTACGGAAAGGGGGCCAGGAGGGAAGGACTGTAATGGCGGTTAGTATCCACGATATTAATACGGCGATCCGGGCGAGGAACCCGGTCGAGCCCGAGGAGAAACCGCTTCCCCCGGAACTTAGAGGCTTTACGCAGCTGTTCGATAAGGATACCGCAATTCAGCTACCCCCTCATCGTGGCCCTATGGACCATCATATCCGCCTTAAGAAGGATAAGGAGGGAAAGGATCACGAGTTACCGGTGGGGCCGCTCTACAATATGCCAAGGGATCACCTCTTAGAGCTCCGACGACAGATTACCGACTTACAGGATAAGGGCTGGATCCGGGCAAGTTCCTCTGCGACCGCGGCCCCAGTCCTTCTTGTAAAGAAACCCGGGGGGGGGGGGTGGCGGTTTTGCGTAGATTACCGCGCCCTCAATAAGATTACAGTCCAGGACCGATACCCGCTTCCCCTTATCAAGGAAACGCTACGGAACCTCTCCGGCGCGAAATGGCTAACAAAGCTGGATGTCCGGGCTGCATTCCATCGAGTCCGCGTCGCGGCTGGCCAAGAGTACCTAACAGCCTTCCGTACAAGGTTCGGATTATTTGAGTGGCTCGTTACACCATTCGGCCTAGCCGGAGCACCGGCTACCTTCCAGAGGTATATTAATCGGGCTATCGGTAACGACTTGATGGACTCGGTTACAGCCTACCTAGACGATATACTGATCTACACTTCTGGGGGCCGCGAAGAACATATGGACCAGGTCCGCAAGGTTCTAGGACGGTTATTAGACGCCGGACTATTCCTGGATCGTGCGAAATGCGAATTCGCGGTGCAGGAAGTAAAGTACCTCGGCTTCATCGTCAAGGCTGGAAAGGAAGTCCGACCCGACCCCGAGAAGATTAG